GCAACCGACCGACGAATGTAACCTAGAATCCTATTGCATTTGGCCACCGTCGCTTGCGCGTGCGAGGAAAATTTGAGGTCCTCGTCGATAGAAACACCTAAATCTCTCTCTCCGTTTGCCTCATCCAATTTAACATCGCCGAACGTGTCGAGAGACCTACCGTTGTTTCGACCGACGTGGAGAACTTTACACTTACTTTTATTAAACCTCATGAGCCATTTCTTGCTCCACTCGTCCAAAAGACTTAAATCTCGCTCGGCTCTAGCCCTATCCGCCTCCCCCCTTATGGTAAAACCTATCTTGGTGTCGTCGGCAAATTTACTTATCTTACCCTCTACGCCGAGATCTAATCTTACCTTGACAGGTATTAGATACCTGCAATTAATGATACTCCTGTTTTCGGATTGAATTCGCAGGATTCATAGGATCGCTTCCTTTGATTGCAGGTTGTGACACCTTTCACAAGGCTGGTTTTTTTGGATCGTCTTATGGAAGTTGATCCTCTGGAATTAGTGTTTTTTTCCGTTCTGCTTTTGCTGAGGGGAGGGGGGGGGTGGCCCATTAAATTCATTAAAACACATAAAACGAACCAAAATGCCTCCCTCAGGTCCTATTTAAATTTTGAAGCTTTCAAACTCAACCCTTGGTTGGTACACCTCTTGCCTTTGTTACATGAAGTTGGTGTCTTGGATTTATTTATTGTAGGCATCTGCAGCTAGAACAGGACAAGAGGGTGGAAGCACCAGCAGTGGTGCCACAACATCTGATTAATAGTTTGTCTTATTTGAACTTTATTCCAGATTCAGTTTATCTTCAAGTAACAGGAATCCTTTGAAGGGAAGATAAGATACCAATTCAAACTAGTTGTTTATTGAGACCTTGTTCAATAGAGAAAATCTCAAATTGTATTTTATGTTATTGTGGAAGTTAGTGATAGTATGACATTTACTTTTTCTGATGCTTTAATATTCTGTCCTCTGATTTTCAATGCATGATATTGATAACTGATATTGAGAAAAGGTCTATTTATTGAAGCAGATTAATGTGAATCAAAAAATGATATTGAGAAATAATGATTTTCATCTCTTTTTTTATATTTTTCTTCCCCAAAGCCAAGTTCACTACCCTGCCTGTCTGTATTTACATGAGTGGTTTGCTTAGGCATAGCCATGCTTTGGGAGTCCTTTCTTATACATGAACACTTTCTCCAAGATTTGGCATTGATCCCTATAAGTGTAACATCTACATAGCATAGGTCTAGAACTGGCCTGCTGGGCTATGTTGGTCAAAACAAAATGTTGGATTGCTAATATTTACTAATATCTCATATCAGTACTGGCATCAATATAATTACATCCATACTCTAATGCCTTTAAATTGCTATTATGCTTTCTTGAATGGTTTGCTTACTTATCCCCCTCAGATCCACCATGTGCCCATGTTCTGTAGCAGAATCTTAAACAACGATCACTGCAGAGGCTGCAAGGTCAAAGGAGGTTATAAATATGGCCATATGATTCCATGCTTCACTTGGCTATGACTTGCCTTCATCACACCTCAGTTCCTTGCAAACTTTATTGAACTAGTTAGAAAGAGAGTTCATAGCCCTTTGAACAAAGTTCTATATGAAGGTTTCATGGTTTTTTATAAAATGTGAAGCACCTTTTTAAATGAATGAAATATGAGACTGCGTCGATTATGATGTAAAATAATATTAGCATGAATACATTGGGAAATAGCATAGATTTCCTGGTACCCCTGTCAATACAGCTGAGAAAAGGTAGGTAAAGGTAGCTGCAGCTGTCAGAAGTGAAACATATTGAGGGAGTACCAGAGATGGGGATAATTGATGAAGATATCATAGAGTAACCATTGGAGGTGTTTTCAGAGAGGGGGCTTAATCAAATGTGAACTCTATCTTCATCTATGTAGGCCCAGTTGGGAGGCATGTGCAGTCAGGTGATGTAGTAAACAATTGGTGTGTCTCCTGGCTGGATTTGGAACTAACATAGATGTGGCTGGTTAGGTGCATTTTCATGTTTGCACATATTATACCTCATAGGTGCAGTTGAACCATTGGTTTTCATTTGTATCACAGGATTACTTGTTAGTAAGTCAAGGATGGTATGTAGGTGAACATGTTTAGGAAAACCCAAAAAGACTTCTGGATTGGAATGCTTGCTGGCCTTCTCTTGTTTCCTCTAAATAGCTTAAAATTTGGATGCAGTGGAGATGAAGAAGACCAAAAGAATGAATGTGTTGAGGAAAATTTATAGAGCTTTTTTTATTATAAATATATTGGGTGGTAAAACCATTACTGGTGAATTAGTTTAACATATCATGCTTGGTTTCAAAGTAAGTATTTGAGACTCCTTAGCTGCAGTCTTGAAATTTAAAAAATAAATTTTTTTCATAGATAAGCATCCCTGATGCATATCCTATAGTTCCTTTGCTATTAACTTTCTGGTTGAATATTGAAGCTATGACTTTATAATATTTGCCATGTGTTCTTCATGTTTTGCTGTTCATAAACATTGAACATTTTAAATGCAATAATACTGCTATTAAAGTGAGATTTACTTATTAAAGTGCTAGGTTAGTTTAGTATTGTGTTGACTTTCTGTTTAATTAGACGTTGATTTAGAGATACCACAACTTCATGCCCTCATGAAATGAGGATTGCTACCAATTTCAGTGGTCCTTCCAAAACTTGCATAACTTTATCTTTTCCTCTTACAGGTGCCAGTTGTGTTGATGTTGAAGAAGCTCAGCAATCTAGAGCAGAATGGGGAGTATATCACTAGACAAAGAAGCATTCCATCGGAGGATGGAGAAGATCTATTCTTCCTGGAAGCATGAAAGAGAATCAGGAACAGAAGGCCTTGGGAAGGTGGATGCCATTGTCGTTGCTGTTGGGGTTGATGAGGATGTCACCTATAGCAAGTCAACTGCTCTGCATTCCTGGTTGTTTGGATATGAACTCACAGACACTGTAATTGTGCTCTGTGCAAAGGGGATATGGCTTTTAGCCAGTAAAAAGAAGATAGAATTTCTCAAAGGAATAGAAACTATGAAACAAGATCCAGATTCTGACCTCCCTTCTGTGAGGCTTTTGACTCGGGACAAGACTGACAAAGATAAGGCCAATTTTTCAAAGCTTCTGGAAGCCATGAAAGCCAGCTACAAGGGGAAGACCTTGGGGACATTTCTGAAAGACAAATTCAGTTCAGAATTCATGGATGCTTGGAGGGCTGTCCTACAAAAGGAAGGGCTTAACAAAGTTGACATCAGCAGCCAAATTGCATATATTCTGGCTCAAAAGGAGGATAATGAATTGAACACCATGAAAAAGGCATGCCAAGTTTCAATGGATGTGTTTAACAAGTATCTCAAAGATAATATCATGGAGATTATTGATGCTGACCGAAAAGTGAAACATTCAAAGCTTGGCGAAGGTGTAGATCATGCAATGGGTGACAAGAAGTACATCTCTGGTGTTGACATATCTCAAGTGGATAGCTGTTACCCGGCTATAATTCAAAGTGGAGGAGCATACAGCTTGAAGTATAGTTCCCTGAGTGACAGCAACCATCTTCACTTTGGAGCTATTGTGTGTTGCCTGGGGGCGAGGTATAAGTCCTATTGCTCAAACATTGCTCGCACACTAATGGTCAACCCCACTGAAGAGATGCAGAAAAACTATGAATTCCTTCTTGAAGTAGAGGAAAAATTGCTGGAAGCCCTGAAGCCCAATACAAAACTGAATGAAGCTTATATGTCAGTTGTTGACTTTGTGAAGAAGGAAAGACCTGACTTGGTTGATAAGCTAGTGAAGAATTTGGGATTTGTGATTGGCATAGAATTTAGAGATGCATCTCTCTTGATCAGCCCTAAGTCCTCAGCTAAAATTCAGAAAGGCATGACTTTCAATGTTCATATTGGCTTTTCTGATCTAGAAAACAAAGATGCTCCTAAGGATGACCCAAAAGCAAAGAAATATGCTCTCATGGTTGCTGACACTGTTGTTGCACAAGAGGAAGGACCTGCTGTTCTCTTCACAACATCTAAGAAGAAGCTGAAAAATGTGAGCATTGTCTTGAAGGAGGAAGATGATGATGATGATGAAGAAGAAGCAGATAAAGAGAACAAACAAGAGTCAGAAATTCTTGGCAGGGGACATAGAACAGCTGTCATTGAATCCAAGCTCAGGCAAGAGCAGTCAGCTGAAGAGAAGCGAAAGCAACATCAACGAGAACTTGCTCTAAAGCTGAATGAGGTAGCTAGAGCTCGGCTTTCCCAGCAAACTGGCCAGGCAACTCAAGAAAAAGTGAGGAAGTCCAATATCTCATACAAGTCAGCTTCCAACATGCCTAAGGAGACAGAGATTAAGGAACTAAAAATTTATGTTGACAGGAGGTATGAAACTGTCATCTTGCCTATATTTGGGATCCCAACTGCATTTCACATTTCAACAATCAGGAATATCTCTCAGTCTGTGGAGGGAGACTACATGTATCTGAGAATCAATTTCTTCCACCCAGGAGCAGCTCTTGGAAAAAATGAAGGAGCTATGTTTCCTCAGCCAAGTGCTACTTTTCTCAAAGAAATCACATATCGAAGCCCTAACACCAAAGAACCTGGTGAGCTTGCTGCACCATCTTCAAACCTGAATGCAGCTTTCCGACTTATCAAAGATGTCCAGAAGCACTTCAGAACAAGGGAACAAGAAGAAAGAGAGAAAGAAGACCTTGTCAAACAAGACACACTAATGGTGAACAATAATAAGAGCAATCCAAAGCTCAAGGATCTGTGCATTCGACCAAGTATCCTGAATAAACGAATGACTGGTTCTTTGGAAGCTCACACAAACGGCTTCCGTTACACATCAGTTCGTGGGGATAAGGTTGACATTCTATATAATAACATCAGACATGCTATATTTCAGCCATGTGATGGAGAGATGATAATCTTGCTACATTTTCACCTTAAGAATGCCATCATGTTTGGGAAGAAGAAGCACATTGATGTGCAATTCTATACGGAAGTTGGTGAAATCACCACTGATCTGGGAAAGAATCAACATATGCATGATCGTGATGATCTTGCTGCTGAGCAAGCTGAACGTGAATTGAGGCATAAACTGAAAATGGCATTTAAAACTTTCTGTGAGAAGGTGGAGAATTTGACCAAAAATGAAGTGGAGTTTGATAGCCCATTCAGGGAATTGGGTTTCCCCGGTGTCCCATTCCGATCCTCTGTCTTGTTGCAACCCACCTCAAGTTGCTTAGTGAATCTCACAGAGTGGCCTCCATTTGTTGTATCTTTGGAAGATATGGAGCTGATTCATTTTGAAAGAGTGCAGTTTCATCTCAAGAACTTTGACATGGTATTTGTTTTCAAAGACTACAACCGCAAAGTGGTCATGATCAATGCTGTTCCCATGAACATGCTTGATCATGTGAAAGAGTGGCTGAATTCATGTGACATACGTTACACTGAGGGGACTCAATCTCTTAATTGGAATAAAATCATGAAGACCATTGTTGATGATCCAGATGGTTTCTTTGAAAATGGAGGGTGGACTTTCCTTGATCCTCATTCTGATGCAGAAGATGAAGATGATGATGAAGATGAGGAGGATGAAGAGTTCAGAATGAGTGAAAGTGAAGAAGTTGAAGAATCAGATGAGAGTGACAGCAACTATTCAGAAGTATCAGAGAGTGAAAGTGAGAGTGAACAGGAATTGGGCAGCAGTGAAGAATCTGGAAAGGACTGGTCAGATTTAGAACGAGAAGCTGCAGAGGATGACAAGAAACGTAATGACTTCAGAGATGAGTATACCACTAGCACTAGCAAGAAGTCAAAACCAGGTGATCGTCATCAGCCTCACAGTTCCCCAAGCAAAAAGGACAAACATAAATCACCCAGTAAAGATAGGAAGCGTGAGAGAAGCAGGGACAAGCACCAGGATTCAAAGCAGCGAAAGGACCATAAGTCCCCCGGAAAGAAAAGCCATCATCATAAATCTCCCAAGAAGGAAGATCGAAAGCCTCAATCATCTGATTCCTCCCGAAAGAGACACAGGGATGAGAGTGGACATCGACCGGGGAGGAGCCCCAAGAAGGCAAGAAAATAGAACTTCAGAGTGATTGATATTGATGGATTGAAAATGTCACCAGCTGGTAGTGCAAGCCTACTGATTGTAGCAGTGTACCATGCATTTGAATGAACCCCTTGAAGAAGCATGGACCCTTGTTGTGAGGGAATGTACAATGATGGAATGTCTTGTATGAAACTGAAATGTCCATTTGTTGGATTCATTCCTTGTGTGTTTCTTGTGGTGACTTGGTATCTATGTCCTTTTGTGAGAATGGAATAAAGTACCTGTATATTCAGATATGAATGCATGCATGCCATCTTTTTTTCTTTTCTGAGAATGGAATAAAGTACCTGTATGCTCAGATATAAATGTGCATGATGAAAACTCCTGTTCCAGCATAGCTCTCATGGTATATATGATGGAGTGTTGAATATTTATCCTCTTGATAAAGAAAGCTTCATCAATACAGCCTATTAAGATTGTTATTCTAGCATGTCAGGTATGGTATGCAAATTGATCTCAGTGGTCTCTTGTCTGTATTTCACTTGTAGTGGACACCTGCTCTCTCTGGGCATCAGGTGCCAATCTGTGGACTTCCACTGTACTGTTATACTTTAAAACATATTTTAATTTTTTACTGTTTGAGAACATCAGATTTATACCATGCTCATTGGTTAGCCAATGTCATTTTTGCCAATATTGGCTTCATCCTTGGGATTTGTACAAATAAATGGCTAGATGTTTTCAGGACTGAATTCCTTTTTTTGTGTTTTGTATAATAATGAGAACTCATTGACATTTGTGTGCTATGACGTTTTCCAATCACTCAGAACATTAATTGCTAATGGTGTAGTAGGTATACTAGTTGGTAAGATTTTCACTTCTCAAGAAAACTCAATAAAGGGATAACTTCTAAGCATCATGCCATATGAAGGTTCACTGCATTGTTCACTATTGGTGCTGTTGACGTTACAATATATTTTAAATGAAAGTAATATTAGCCTGGAAAATAAAGGATTTCTCCTGGTACATGAGAAATCCTTTTGATTGGATTTTATGGCATCACATTTTGGTCAAAGAATAGAAATGATATCTTTCACATATAAAATATAAAAGCCCTTCCATAAAACAGTGAGAACTTATTCCTTCAATCATGAAGTTTCAGGTTAGCCAAAAAAGTATTTAGGTTCAATGCTGTTTAGGTTATTCAATTTAAATAATATAATTGCCACATTTTTAATAAATATACTCAGGAACTTGGAGTTTTATTTTAAACATGTTTATCATAGACTTGCTCTATTTTACCACTTAGTCAATGTAGCACATGCTCAATGTAGTCACCTTTTATGTTTAATCACTCTCTTATCCATAAACCAAAGTTGGGGATGACACATTGGCACATTTCTCTTGGTATCACTTGAATGAACCTTGTGGTATTTTGCTTCAGCTGTCTAGAGTTGTTTAGTTGTAATTTTTCATTATTCTGCTTATGGATATCGATGTCATTTCAAGTCCTTGCATCCTTCTCTTTGAACTTTTCTTTGGATTCTATTGCACAGACTCCTGAACTGCTTCAGTATCAGGTGATGTTCTTGCTGTTCTGGACCATCCAGATCCATCCCATGTTTAAATTGTTAAGAATATCCATTGTTTTAAACTTGTTGACAGTCAATGACAGTTATCTCCTTGGTGATGTTCAAACATCAAAGTGTGGACTAAAACATTTGTGTTATTACAACTGATTTCCTCTCCAGAAAGATTTTCATAATTTTGTTCCTTTGTTTACTAGTGAGTCCCATTTTGAAGCCGCATTTTCAAATGTTCACCAATAGATATCCTGCAGCTCTTTTTCACTCTGAAAATAAAGATCCTCATAGGCAGAAGGTATGGGAAATGGGAATTTAAAATCAGTTCCATGCCAGGGTGAGAGTGCAACATTGAAACCACCTTCTTGGATACTTCTTGCACAATGAAGTGAATTGCCATGCCCTCCCTGGGAGCTACTACTGAGAACAAAGTATTCCTCCAGAAAAAGCATCACACATGCCATGCATCAGATCTCAGTGCACAGTTCTTCAAGCTTCATTCCCAAAGTCACCTCTCTGGGTGAGCCTACCACTCCATATGTTTGTGAATGATCTTGTTGATAATCTTACCTCATCAAAATTCAATGTTGTTTGTGCAAACCTCTTTTTGATATGAAAGGATCAAGATGTGCATTCTTACATGGTCTGAGTGTCAACATCAAAGATGAAAACTGTTACAAGTAGGATAAATTTTCCAGTATATTTGCCAGAATAGGCCTTCATGAGTCTCCTTGAAGGCTTATCATAGTCAACATACTGAAAGTCTACCATTTTTTGCAATGGAAGGATCTTTTAGATTTTAATTCTCATCATTTATGAGGTATGTAGTCAGTTCAAGAAAATAATATAAATGTCCCTTCTGGACTGGTTTGATGCATTCTTGTTGGTGCTCATGAATATATGAAATCTCTGAAACTAATTACTTGCTTCAGATTCTTTTCATCATTATCCCATAACTAGTGTTTCCAATCTACCTTAATCTGAAATTAGCAGTTACATTCATTTTTTTTTAAATCTGGGAGTACAAAGCCATTGCAAAATTAAGAAAAATTAGAAGGCATCTTTGCTTGGCATGGGATATTTCATCAACAATTGTGCCAGCCCTCTGCTGTCTTTTGTCCCCCCAGCCATTAAAGATCATACACCCCTGCTTAGCAGAAAAGACCAAAGCACTTAGTCTGATTTAAAGTTTGCATTCATATGTATTTCAGTTTCTACTTCTGTTGTAATTTCAGCATGATTATTCAGGTATGAATAGCTTCTCAAATCTCTCTTCTGATGGGTTGGGCTTGGAAATGCTTTTATTTTCATTGGTAATAATTGTGTGGTTCTGGGAAATTGCAACTGAAGATTGAATTCTAATGATTGAATCATTGGAAACAGGTAAGGTGTTAATAATGAACTCACGATAAGCTATTGAGAAAAGCCTGACAGCATTTTCAACTGTGAATGACAGGCCTTCAGATGGTGTTTCCTGTTTTGGAATTTTTTTCCCTTTACCAGATTTAGAGAGAGACTTTTTGGTCATTAAAAATTCAATAAATATATTTGTCAAGCAATTTATTTATTTTTAATCAATATTAATCAGGTTATTTTGATTTATTAAGAGTACTAATACTGGATAAGGCATAATGGAGGGTGATGTGTGAAACTCCCATCTTTTTTCAATTTTCTCATAAACTTTTTGAGGTGGAACAATTTTAGTATTAGAATCAGCCTTTGCTCAGCCTGACTTTGGTGGATACTTCTGTAACTTAGCAAGAGTGAAGATTTTGGGTGCAAAGGTCTTATTTTATATTTTATATTGGTCATATTCTATATGTGCATTTTTCTATATGTTTCTCCTGAGTTTCTCATATGCTATTCATAGTTCTCCTCCTAATCTGGTTTTAAAAAATGAAAACGATGTCCTGTGAACTGATGCCAGAGGGTATCTGTATTTGGATGAACTTTGTGGAACCAGTCAACTGTTCTGTCTTAAGAATGGCATCCATGCAAGTGCACTGTGCTAATGCTGCAAATTAAGAGAAACATTTTTGATTATTTTGTATTCAAGGCTGGATTTTTTAGTGGTTATAAAACTGAAGGATGAGCCCATGCTCCTTTGTTTTGGTATCATGATAACTGAAGAAGCCATGTAGATTCCTGTTGATCAGCAGGGTTTTCCTTTGTTAATTCAGTTGCTGATGATAGCAATTAACTCTTTAGGACTTCATAAGAACTCTCATTATGGAATGAATGTGTCTTATGGCTATTTTTTTCTTGTATTTATGATTCAGAGGGTCACCCAAAGGCAGCCCTAAGAAGCAGAGGAAGAATGGTCGGGCCAGAGCACATGTACAGTTGCATCTCTTGAAGTTCTTAATGTATTATTATGGTATTTTAACAGGGTGCTCTTATTGTGAAATATCTACTTACAGCAAGATCTGGGAAGGAGTCCATTGTCGATCTTCCAGAACCCCTCTCTTTTTGCAGTCTATGCTCATGTTCGCAAAGCTGTAGTTGATGAACAATGCCAAGAAGCTGCAGATTTGTGTTCAGCTCTGGTTTCCTCACCCCAGAGTGAGGGAAAACATGGGAATGATGAGAGAAAGGATGGCACTCCTGCAATACCTGAGGTAATGCATATATGTGCTTGTAATCTTGGGGTGCATTCTGCATTATTTTCTTCATTGGTGGTGCAGCTGGTAATTACAGAAAGTTTACAACCTGTAATTTTGCTCTGAGTATGAAATGCACCATGTTCAAATGTCCATTGAGAAAGCAACAGACAAGAATGCTAGAAGTTACACAACTTGAGGCATTGCCTTGACTGAACCATAGATTACAAGATTTATTCTTGACGGTGAAAATTATGCACAATAGTACTACTTATTGCTTGCCTTTCTAACCAGTGGTACTTATGTGTGAAGAAATTCTTACTTATTGATATATAGGGGTCACAGTTTCTCTAGTTATTCAGATATTATGCAAAAAAATGCAGTTGTTTCCTGGCATATACAGAAGAGGATTGGAAGATTTATTTAAAATACTTGCAGCTTGAGATGGCATAGTTTGCCTTACATAAGAGTGCAAAAGCATACTTGCATGAATGGAGATATGAGAAACAGCCACTCAGAGAATGTAGGTACTAAATTAATCAGGATGTGTGCTCATATAAAAGAGTTCCCTTGTGGAAAATGTGGAAGAGTATTCTTTTGTTGTGATTGCATGGGTCAATTTCAGTGGAGATGGTTTACATTTATTTCTCATAAGAGGGGGAAGCTGCTTCTGTCACTGGTTTCCTTAGGGTCAGCCTAGGTAAGATGCTTTTTCAGCAATGAATTGTCAGCAATGAATTACTGATGGCTTCTGTGTTTAGGGAGAAGAGAAGGCAACACAATGTTTACAATTTAACCTTTAGCAGATGGATTTTTAAATCCCCAGTACACACAGCACTACACCATTTTTCTGCATTTAAATCACATTTTTGTTGAACTTAAGAAAAAAATGTATATCTTCATTACTATTTGCAATAGAGATGTGAAAGAAAGATTACTTTCCAGAAAAAAAAATTGGTGACTATGGCCAGTAGCATGCCCAGGAAATCTGAATGGGGGGGGGGGGTTGCCATATGAAACACTGATTACCCACCCTAATGGTGGGTTAACATATGAAAAAAACTGGTAACCCACCCTGTATTTGTTGCCAAATTAAAAAATAGCTAAAATCGAAGCTGTAAAATTGACCCCAAGGGGAGGGTTATGACCCTGAAACCCCCCCCCTTGGGCACACTACTGACTATGGCAATACAGCATTACAATTCATTAGGGATGTTATTGATAATTTATTGGGCCAATAAAAAAGCTGGTAATTATCTGTACCAGTTTTATTGGAAAACCAATACAACTAGCCCATCAATAAGCCAATATCAGAGGTTACCTTTTAAATGTTGGTTTTTTGCAGCATTTGAATCGACTAGAACAGAGGGTAGGCACAGAGGATGCTCTGGAGAAAAAAGAGCCAAGAATCCAACTGCAAAAACCTTCTGATTTAATACATATTTTCAATTCTCCAACAATGGTGCAGTTGGCCTGATGGTGAGCAGAAGGAGGTGGAGATATCCAAAGAAATGGAAAACCATAGAAGAGACACTCTGTGAGGGATATGTGTGATAGGTAGGATAGGGAGTATCTAGACCTACTAGACTAGAGCATAAACAAAACCTGTAAAACTGTCTTCATTCAAAGAGACATTGCATTATTACTTTATGTGTTCATACCTTCATTATCTGAGAAGTAAAATAATTATTCTGCAGTGTGAGTCTTACATTTGTTGAAAAGTTGAAGCTGAAAGCCTACATTTTTCTTATATTATTATACTGATAACAAAAACTAATTAGATATATAATAAGACAAAAGATTGGGCTCTCTCCTATTAAACATTACATTAAAATTAACCAGTTTTGAAGCAAGATATAAGATAGAGAAGGTTTAATCCAACACATTTACTCATTATCAAGATGTCACTGAAAGGTGTTTTTAGAGTGTGCTCTTCTGAAATTCCAGCGTGTCTTAAAATGCCCTACAAGATTCTCAATGACCAAGCTTTTCTACAATTTTCTAGGATTCATGTAGAATTTTCCCCTTTGGCTTTCCTGCTCACGTCTCGCTACAAACTGAATTGATTGCTTCACTGGATCCTTGACTAGGCACCCCATGATGGTTCACTGGCATCACTGAAGTTTGTTGCTGTCATGTTTGTATTTTAATGTCTCACATAAGAATTGGTGTATTCATACACTTTTCAGCAAAAAAAAAACAAATAATTTGTTACCATTTTTTTTACATTGATCATCTAGATGGAAAACCCACCATTATCAAAGTCCATAATGGTCTTAATACTTCTTTAACTCCCCCCACCCCCGATAACCATCTCACTGATGGATGCAGTCCCAACCTACAGTATTGAAACCTTGCATACATGAAAGTCTCCTTTCCTCCCCAATGATTTTAGTTGTCTGCTTTCAAGCCCTCTCCAGTGACCCATCAAATTCCCCTACTTTTGCAAACTTCAAAAGCCAAACATAGCACTCAGACTGGGGTTTTACGTATTTTGTATACAATAAAAGAGTGCTGTGTTAACTCTTATTGCTTATCAACTTCCAGATCTTATTGAAGTTAGCTGCTTTTGCCTCAGTGTGCTTGGAAAATCTTAGTCCTGCCTTGATAACACCTAAATTTCCCAATATTTCTGCCCATTTGCCTCCCCAAGGCTATCTTTCTCCAAATTCATTCAGAGACCCCATCATTATCAAGGGCAATGGGAATGAGAAGAACTTCACATTTACTGAACAAATTGTGTCATTATTTATTCTTAAAGTCTCTATCTTGTCCTACCATACTACCTCATGGTGGAGAAGCCTGTTTGCAAGTTGTCAGCAAGGTATCAGTCAGACTTCAATCTGAATCAAGAAGAGAAATAAGAAACTGAAGTGCTCCCAAGACAGAACCCTGGAGGATTCTGCTAATAACCCCAACTTCTAAGGCACCACTCATTTACAAGTTCTTTCTGTCTTGTATGAGAACCGGTTACATATCCAGATAATCACCTTGCTTTTAATCCCATGAGGTTTCCATTTAGCTCATCATCATTTACAAGAAATGGTGTTCAGGGGCTTAGCAGGGTACAAGTATACAAAGTCAGTGAGGTTCCTTTTATCCATAAATAAATATCTAGAGAAAGCAACTCCTATTTCAGCAAAGGGCTGTGATGGAGGGAGAGGTTTTTCTTCTTTAGGCTTGCTTGAAAAGTCTCATTTGAGCAACATACCCTAAAATAACAGGTGACTGTAATGGACTTCCATCAAGAAGATTCCATATTTTGGCACCATTTCTTCATGTGCAGGGTGACCAATCAGTTGGTTTTAACTACTTGGAGAACTTAGCATCCTGATGGGGAATATAATATTCATTCAACATCATCACTTATGAGGACACCAGACATGGATTAGAGTGATTGCCAGGAGTGGGCACCATCAATAAGGAAAATAGCATGCATTTAGAACATATATTACACCATTGACTATTTCAACCTAAATGGTGTCAAGCAAAATCATTTTCATAGGTGATGATATTGGACCCATGATCTCACTTCCCTTGATATTATGAACTGCTTAAACAAGACTCAAGGCCACATATAACCCAGAGGTACTGTGATGAACATCTGAGTAGCTAAATCAATTTTATTCGTCAACTTTCACTTTTCTGCTTTCCCATTTTGAGTTCTTCCTCTACCAAAAGTATCAGTGATAAAGTGGTTGTAACTCTTGCTTCTTATCATAGAGAGTACCATGTTTGGATACCTGACTTGACAAAGAATTTGCCAGGAGGTTCTTCCTGACATTGACTTGTTCTCATGTGATGAAAATGTTGCCTGCAGCATATTGGTTCTGTTATTAGGCCCTTATTTTCAATGACCATCTAAGGGGTCTGCTTGTCACAGGATTTGGGGCTTGTTATCATATCATCTTGTTAGCTTGCCAAAATGTTTTATTAGCAAAAGTTTGTGTTTAATTGGATGAGTATGTGATTTTTACATAATCAATATATATTTTTTTCCTGATAGGACTCTCTTCATCAACTCAAAGTACAACTTTCATATCATAGAGAGTTGTACTTCCTCATGTGGATAGTGACTTCCAAAGCCTCAGCTCTCTTATACAGCTCTCTCTTCTTTCATCAGTGCTTTAGCAAATTTTTTTTCAAATGCAGTGAATGCCAATTCATGCTGCAGAAAGAATGCACTCCCTGACCTTCCCTTTCTAGTCTCACCACATTCCATGAAACTACCAATGGATGTTTTATAGGTGGTGGAGGCTGGTTTGGAAGCAGTCTTCACCTTGATCAAAGAAAGCAGTACCAGCCATCCGCAGCTATGCTGTAAGGCATTGGATTCTCTCCTAAATATTCTTCAAGGCCAGAAGTTGGAAGGTCTTCAAAATGAATCAGTTGCTATCCTAGGTAATTTGTTTGATCTTGTGCATGAAAGAGTGGTGTCAAGAGGGTGTTGCATGTGTTGCTGCTGCAACATCTCAAATCGTAGAGATTCAGATAAGAAACCATTCATTTGAAATTATTCTCCTGACAAAATGATAAAAATGAATTATATGAAAATTTCTCTTGTCACTGTTAAAAATCCTATTGATTGAAGATCAAACCAAAGAAAGCACAGTGGTCCAGTGGAGTAGGAAACCTGGCCAAAAATAGATATTTTCTACACTCTAAACTTGATATTTTTCATACTTGCCATCTCGCCATGTGTCAACCTTAAGCTAGTTTGCATCACTGCGTGAAGAAAATATATTTTCTTGTCAGGGAACGTGGAGTCTTGATGAGGAACATAAAATATAGGAATAAGTAGGTTGATATGACTGGGTAGGTTTCACTCAATGATAATTTTATTTTATTAAGAGCTTCCATGGAGATCCATTCTCATCCAGTAAAACAAAATACTCATACTAGCTAAATACTCCATTTTAAGCAGATCTCATTCCTCATGTAATCAGAATCAAATCATCTAATTGAAACTGATCTGATGCATGTTATGTTTTACATACTGCTCATGTGCTGTTACGTGGCTTTCATGTTTTGCTGTACCTGCTGGAAAATTCTGTCATAATCCAAATGAGTAAGAATGAGTATTTCAATTAGACAGGACATTAATGGAACACAATTGAACAAATTGAACACAATTTGAGCAGACTATGATGATGCATAATTAAGGAGTTTGATGGATAAGGGCTCATGTACAAGTCCCTGCCAGAATAAAATGGCCACCCTTATATGTGGTGGATTTGTTCTCCCCACCCACAGCTCCTTGCAGCCAAAGATTTGTAAGGCCATGACAACTTAGGTCACATTGCATAGCTTAGGCCTTCCTATGCATTCAACATGCCAAGGACAGCTGGTGCAAGGTATGTCAATTAATTTACATGTGGACATTCTGAGTGAGGTCAGAGTGGGAGGCAGATTGCCTGTAATCTTGGGCTCTCCAAGACCTGTGTGCATAACATTGTAGTGCAGTTTTATCATTCAAACAAGACCACCACTCAGCAAATGCCTTGATGCCTGCTGTTGAACACTCCACAGATGGAACAATTGGTGGCATGCCAGGCTTGCAACAACCCACGTCAGAACCTTGATAGCTTTGTAGATGCTGTAAACCTGACCCAACAACCACTTGACAGATTCTGCATAGACTTGGCTACTGTGGGTGCATTGCTAGGCAGAAACCCCTGCTAAGCAAGGTGAATGTGTGACATCAAAAGAAATGGGCTCAACAGATGTAGGACAAACCACTTCTATATTGAAGGTATGTCCTATTCTCTGAAGATTCTCAATTCCAGCAATTCACATCTTTCGGCCAAACATATTTCAAGAGGAAATCTGGAGATAACTTTAAACCCAATTGTTTACAGCCAACAGTGAAACATGGTGGGGCGAGTGTGATGGGGCGGGCAGTGATTTGGTACTATGGCAAGATAGACTTGATATTCATCAAAGGATGCCTTAATTCAGCTGAGTACATCACTCTCCTTGAAAGCAGCCTCTTGCCATCATCTTAGCAGGGCATTCTTCAGTATGGAACTCATATTCTTGAAGATGATGGTATCATCTGCCACACTTCAAGAATGACCACTTCTTCAAAGAAGCAGGGCCTGCAAATTCTGCCATAGACACCTCAGAGTCCTGACATGAATCCCATTGAACACTCACTGGAGCACTTTGATTGGCAGCTGCAGGCAACGCAGACACTGCCCACCAATATCCAATGAAGATAACATTCAACACTCTGTGGCAAAATGTTATTGATAATCTCATAGAATCCATGCCTGCCTGTGTCAAAGCTCTAATTGATGCACATGGTCACTCTACCAGGTGACTGATTGACTGATCTGTCAATTTTTCCATATTTTGTACACTATCCATTCAGTTATGTATCAATGGGAAAAGGAAAGAAAGAAGGAAAATATGTTTTCCTTTTTTCAAGGAAAAACTCTTTTTCCAAGTTCAGTCATTTTTATTATGGCAGGGTTCTGTACAAAAGGCACAATTTGAGAAAAACAGCAAAGTCTCCCCAGGGCTTAGGTGTGACCAACCTCTATCTAGTTTTTGGTGATATGGTGACTAAGGACCTTGACTGGTCCTTATTCAAACTTTTGCCTTAAACTATATTTTTTCCATTAAGGTACTAGTGTGCAAGGAGAAACTGTTTTGTACATGCACCCTTTTTCAATATACACTCTAAATTTTCCAGGTGTTCTTTCAGTTGTCATATTCAATTTGCAAGAAATTATTGCCTCTGAATAAATTTCTAGGGTGGGTTCTTGCACTCCCTTTTAGTGCAGAAAGACCTTTTAGGTCCATTGCCAGCATAGGACTAAAAGCCCATTAGCTGCTAAAAGGGAGTACAAGAACCCACCCCTAGGCTTTAAGAAACCCTTCTTCAAAGAGAGATGAGGAAAATAGTAGCATTTGGAAAAGCTTTCGTGACATTCCCACACCTCCCCACTTAACTCTTTCACTGTGTAGTAGAATTGATACAAGTTAGGGAGGACAAACTTCTGTGAAAAAAGTCTACCACTGCAGCGAAAGAGTTAAATATCACCACTATTCCATATCCTTTTCCATTGGGCATCTTTCCATAGGATTGTAAGACTAGTCCTTCCACTTTCCTCCTCATAAGTAGCCACAGTTAAGACACATTCCTGTCATCTAATCAGAGCTTCTCCATTGCTACAAATACAAGAAGGGACTCCCCAAGTTTGTTTGCTCGTATCTTTTTAAATAAAGTGATAGAAAAATAAAACATGCTGAAGCACATTCCTCTGACTATTCTTTATTTGCTGCAATAACTCAGGATTACATTTTTTAATACCATCTTCAAAGTGTTCACCTCCTACATCAAGACATTCTTGAAACTGCTGATAATAACTGAATGTAAAATGAAACATTTCCATAGGTATTGCCTCAATTTTCTCTTTGTTCAGAGAAAATTCAGTTCTTTCCCCAAGCACTTTCAAGAATGTTTCAATGTACTTTGTGAACAGTTTGAAGGCATTTATTTTAAAATTTCATCTTGATGTTATTGCTGTAAATGAAGAAAAGTCAGAGGAATGTGTTTATTTTACATTTCTGTAATTTTTAGTTGAAGGTTATGAACAACTGATCTTGGGGAGTCCATTCTGATACACCCTGTACACTTGAACCATTATGAGCATAGGAATTGAAAAATGATGCATTGACACTTTTTTAAGAGAATTATGCATGAAATTTGAATGCTTTTCTCCAAGGCTTCATATATTTTGCAGTAGAGTCAAGTTGGATGTATGTATGAATTCAGTGTGAAGAAGGGGCTCTTGAAAAGCTTATCTATTATGTTTATACATCTGGACACTATTGATATAAAAGGTATCTTAAACTGCTGTTCAGGCATTGATAGGATTTTCCCATTTGATGATGATGATGAGGGGTTTATTTGTTTGCAGAATCCTTGTTTCAAATGCTACTAGACTTGGCCAAAAAACCAAGTGTTGATCCTGAAATCTCAGGCAGAGCATGTTCCTGTCTGTTGAGTCTAGTCCTTGGAATGGGAAGCACTGGGAAGTTGCTGCATGCCATAGTCTCCATTCTTACATCATCTCATATTCTGCAGCTTATAATGGTGAGCTTTTTTCCAAGTCCACTTTGATTTATCATACATAAGTAGTACTTGGTTTTATGAACTCCATTGATGTTCTTGAGGCTAAGTGACTGTTTGGTGCTTCTTCCAGTTGCCGCAGATATTGGTACAGTTTCACTTCAGCATGTGTGCTCTTCTTGTGAAAAGCACTGTCCTTCCATCATGGTTGACATGTGGAATCCCTCAAAACTCATTAGTGTTGTCATTCAAATTGAGCAGCAATTTGATATCAGGCAAGATTTTTTCTCATGAATATAGATCATCTGATCTTATTTTTTCTTATTTCTGTATGTCCCTTTTTACTTGCCTTTCATGTTCTAATTGTGTTTACACAGTAGGAGATTCTTTGGGACCAGGGAAGCCAGCATGTATTGCAAGTGATGGCAACTATTTATATATTCATGGTTCTCATGGACTTCTCAAAGTTGGTACTGGTTATGGAGGGACAGTTAGGGGATATGTGTATGCTTCATCCTCTGAGTGCTTCCCTGCAGAGCCTGCTTGGATGGGCATATCAAAGGTGAACATAGTATGACAGGAGAGACCTAGTTAATACAGATGGATGCTATAATAGTTTCATGTGACTTTCTTGCCACTTCAGGGTGAGCTGTATTTTGGAGTCCGGGGGAATAAGGAAGCAGCTCTTCTCCAATTGGACAAAGAAAATTTGAATGTGAAAAAGTCATTCCTACTGCCAGTGTCACCATCTGAGATGCAAACTCTCTTCAGTGATGGCCAATCAATTGGTTTAATCAAAAGCAGCCCCTCTTCTGTAAGTTCCTTTTATTTTTTTTATTTTTTTTTAGCAAAGGGCTAAAAAAAAAAGTTTTGGGCTGGACATGTGCTTGTTAAAATTTGCAAAAAATGCTTGCCATTTTATTGCTGAACCATTGGGATCATCTTTAATATATTCTTCATTGTTCATACAATCTATCCTTTCTATCCTTAATACAGTGATTATTTAAATTTAAAAAGTACCTCAAAGTATATCTGCCATAGCACCCAAACTGTAAGATGAATGATGGTGCCTTTGCACATGTCTGATAAGATATATGTGGATAAATCAATTCCAGTGCTTTTCACTACTTTGCCATCAGGGTTATAACCATTCCATACTTATAGTTTCAATATCTTGCCACCAAAGCATTTTAAAGCATGCCATTTGTGCTGGAAAACTTCAGTTCCGTACTCCTGTCAACTTCTTGATGCATATTGATCTGTATGCCAGTATCAGCTGCATATTAATATGATTTTTCCCTTTGGCATATTCCATTTTCCATGCCTGTGTGAAAGCACTATCCCACATCGTTTAGTTTAATTAAAGTATTGCTCTGAAGTGGGATTCTTGTTTTATAATCACCCTGTACTTAAAAATATTCATTATGTCTAAGTGAAGTGCATAATAGGTATTTCTTTCTATTTCTGGAAGGATAACATCATTGTGCGACTCATAGACCCAGAATCTCAAGGCTTCTGGGTTGGAGGAGAATTGAGCCTGAAGCTGGCCAGGAAATCATTGGATGCATTTGGAGAAGCAGTTAGTGGTGACGGTGAGGGGCAAATTCAGCACGCTCATCTGACAGGACTTGAGGAAGAGCCATCTTGTATTGCAAATGGGAAGGACTTCACTCTTGTTGTAACTGTTTCTGGCAAAGTGAGACTATTTTCATAATATCTTTCTAAGGAATTCATTTGACAATTCTCTTGTTTCCCCACTCTAGAGCATCAGGTATTGTTTGCTTTATTCTGGTATTTCACAATAGGTACTTGTGAGTGGGTGTTGCCAGAGTTTATGCATGAAGAGGGGTCCACCTCCTGGCTCCTGGTTGGAGCTGCATATCACAAAGGCACCTAAAATCATCCAATGCAGTGTTGGCCATGAAGGGCAGCATGCTCTCCTGGTTGGTGAAGATGGAGGAGTGTTTTTTATTGGCACAGCTCGCAGAGGAGAAGATGGTGAACCTGGTTGGTATACAGGCAATTGTATCCAAGAATCACACCTGTTTGCTGATGTTGCATTTTAGCCATATAAATCCTTCCAAAAATGTGTGCATCATAAGTAGGGATGGGGCGGTAAATTGACCACCTTTTAATTAACCATTATTGACCACCTTTTAATTGACCATTATTGACCACTAAACTAAAGCTGAAAGTTTTATAGCCTCAAGGAATTTCAAAGTTAAGGTTCAAGATCTAAGTAACAGCTTTAGAACTTTAGTTTCGTGCAAGGTCAATCATGGTCCTGGCTAATAGTCTGCATCAGAGCATCAAATTATTCTCAAAGTCTGTGATCAAGGGACAAGCACTTGGGTTATGCCTATGCCTATGCCTATGCCTAAAAAAATTAATCTAGCTATGAAACATGATTCATTACTGTTTACCCTGTAGATTGCATGAGCTGGAACATTAAATTTTATCTTAGCAATGCGATGTTGACTGGTCAACATGGTCATTTATGATCATATAGTCATAAGTCCTAACCTCTTGTTGGGCTCATAACCATTATTTTCTGAAAATGGTCAAAAATGACCATGTTGACCAGTCAACTTCCCATCCCTAGTCTATCACTTGTGAGTCATGACATACATAATGGTGCAAAAACTACAAAGAAAAAAATAAAAAAAATGAATAAAAGTTGGTCCTATTTACCAAAATTGACCATAGTTGACCATATTGACTGGTCAATTGACATGTTTTTAATTGACTGGTCTATAACCCATCCCTAATCATAAGTTGCTTTCTGTATGTTACCTATAATTTCTTCCAATAATGAAATCATTTGGTGTCATCAAAATTCAACAGCACCCACTTCCGTTTCCTTAGACTTTCCAGCTTTTCTTTGCATTATTGTGATCAGTTCTACTGATGCACTTACTGTAGATTAATTTTGCACATAATACTTGCAAAGATGGTATGAGGAAATAGTGCAGATGTACATCCATCATCTTCATTTTCTTGTATATGTTTGGCTGTCCTATATTTTAAATATTTTCATAGTGATAGTTGCTAATTTGCTGAAAAGTGGCAATAATGGATGATCCCATGCATGCAAAAATTGTATGGTGGTGAAGTAAATGGCATTGTGTGTCCCCTGAGTATGATACTTCTGTTGCACCTGAAAGCACACTTGGAGAAAATTGAAAATACAAGAGAAGGAAAAAAAAGATATATGTCATGACCTATGCTTGCAATTTTGGGTCATTTGCAGTTCTTTGTTGTTACAAAGGTTTTCATAGACCACATTCACCAACAGGGAAAAGCAGGAGGTTGCCAAAGACCATGAAGCCCAAAAAGATGATTCGCATGGAGAATCACCATATTGTATATTCAGCAAGCAACAGTGGCAGCTCAGCATTGGTTACAAAAACTGGGCGTGTCTTCATCTTTGGCAAGGATTCCACCCATTGTAATAGTGCAGGTCTGGATGAGTTTGTTGTCTTAGGAAGAAGTCAGTCACATTATCAAGACTTCATTTTCATTTTCTTCCTTTGTAGGGGAAGTCACAGGCCTGCAGTCAATTCATGTGGTACAGGTTGCCCTTGGAAGTGCTCATGTTGTAGCAATATCTGATAAGGGTGATGTATATACATTTGGTATGAACCACAAAGGTCAATGTGGACTAGAGAAGCCTAGTGGTAAGTTCCTGTTTTGTTTTTTTTCACCTCATAGAAATGTCACCTTTGAGGCTCCTGTAATGAACTTGCAATGAGCTCTAACCTGTTCTATGTGCTTCAGAATCAGTTCAGAGAAATGAGATGGTGGCAGATGCTGGAGATCCTCTTGTGGAACAGCGTGTAGATGAAGGCAATGGAGAGTGGGCAGAAGATGGTTCTCTGGATACAATATGTCCTCCTGGTGAACATAATTGGGTCCATGAGTCTTGTCTTATTTGTAATGTCTGCAAAGAATGCACAGGGTATGGCCGAAAGTGTGTCTTCCGTGGGAAACCAGATCGACATCCTTGGATGTGAGGCAGATTCCAGTCTTCTTTTTACTCTGTACCCTTTTCACCCTTTTATACAGTTGCTTATCTGGTCCATGTTATTTCCTGAACCCTATTCTCAATTGCTAGTAATTGAATGGGAAAGCATTTATGAAGAACCACAACTGACTCAATGTGCAGGGGTATTCTGCCACCTATTTTGTTTTGTACCAGTATGTAGAAACCAAACAATCCCATGTGATTATAGGGAATGTGGGTGTGGAGCTGGAGATTCAGGTTGTGCAATTTGTGGCTGTTGTCGTTCATGTGCTGGAGAACCTGAATTTGACTTGCCACCTCCTCAGGAAGATGAAGAGGAAGAAGTACTTGATCAGGAGGATCCATTGGAAGATTTCTACTACATGGGTGAACGTGAGTATCAATTAGCCTGAAAGTAATTTTTTAGCCAAAAAAAGTGAATTGAATGTGTTGTACAGGGAAGCAAGTGAAGCTGAATTAGAGAATATTAACCCAGCAAATGTGAATCTTAGACAATCATCAATCAAGTGAACCTGGTAAAAGCATTTAATTTTCAAGGCAAGGAATTTCATGGCTCACTAGACTGAAAAATCAAGGGGAAAAGATTGTGGAGAGTGGAAGTCAGTGCATTTCATGCTACAAGTGTGTGTGGATCAGACACGAGATTGGTGTCTCTCAAATTAGTCTCACACTCCCATTTCCTTTGTTCACTTTGAAAGTGAATTATAAGCATTTGCATTTAGCCAACAGGGTTCCAATAACTTGGTTAAGACATTGAATGCATAGGTAACATGTGATGGAAGTACTTGAACCCTTTGTGGTCCTTTGTCCCACTGGGTTGGCCGTTGGTCATAGCATTCCAAAAAAAATGGACCATGAAGGGTTAAATGTGACATTCTTCCTGTAGTTTTACTGATTCTTTCCTATGGTGTTGCATGATATGCCAGCATGTCATGTGACAGTCTACATGTTTAAGTTACATGTATTAAATCTACAGAGTGGACAAAAAAAGTCCACCTTTTTAATTCCTCTTTCAAATTTTCACAAATAAAGTTAGGTGGCTACAATTATGCCAGTGTTAGCATGGCTAGATTTTAATCAAATGCACATTGTTTTGTGAAAATCAGTTCTGAAGTTTTGCACAGTGATAACTTTTTGGTGAGAGGTGAAAAACCATCCCTGCACCATCAAGAGATCTCCATTGGTTTATCTCATTTTCAGTCAGCCACATGTTTTTATGAAAATCATTGAAAAGGAACACTTGATTAAGAAAATTAGTGGAAAAGTACATATGAAAAGAGCAAAGTAATAACACTCAACTAAAAAGACTGGATTAGCGGAAGCAATGTTCTATATGTTTTGATATTTCTTCTACCACAGCAATCCACATGTTTCACCACTGCCAGATTGTCCTATTGATTGCTGACTGACTTAAATCATCCCAGTAAGCAATGATTCGTGTACCAGATATTCTGGATTTTCCTGCAATACACCATCTCCTGTTATGAACCTCATATGGTAATCCAGAGGAGGTCAAGCCAGTCAAGGCTGTTTGGAAGCCATTTTCATTTGCAATGAAATCAGGACACTGCTCATGAAGAAAGTTCTCCATTTTAACATTTGAAAGGTGAGATGGCACACCTTGGTTTGCACATCGGCGATTTTCCCCTCTCACTGTGAAATAGTCTTTGTGCAAAAACTTCTCAATATGTATTCACAAAACAAAACATTTGATTATAGTTTAGCCGTTCTGAACAATGCCATACATTGGAAGCACCTAACTTAATTAGTAAAAATTGTAATTGCAGATTTTAAAATGTGGAACTTCTTTTGGCCCACCCTGTACTTAAGTAGACTGGCAGAATTGGAGTGGATTTTCTAAATCGACTTAAGTTAATTTGGCAGTGATTGTGTTAACATGTCAACTGCCAAGGATTTAAATTCTCAGCCAACCTCTCCTAGCCAAGTACAGAAGTTGAGGTTCACAGCAAAAAACATGCCATGTGGTATGGAAGTGTTAAACATAAAAAATTGCAATGGGAACCTGGAATTCCTGAAACTAACATTGTCCAGAAAGAAACAAAGATGTAGTGCTACAAGAGCTCCCTGAAATCACTACTAGGGACATGACCATCTCCAAAATAACAAGAGGCTCATGCCACCAGCATGCCTCTGTGGGATACTGTGATGGTGAAACTAATTTGTACTTGCAGAATCCATTCCCTAAATAGCTCTGTTGGGCTCAGAACCCAAGTCAACTGAATTATAGACATGGTTTCACCAAAAATTTTCTTGCCAGGGCATGAACCCTTTCCCTTTTGCTTCATCTTCATTACTTTTTCTGCTGCTGTTGGCCCTTAATTGAAGCAAGCCCCTTTGCACCAAGTGGAAAGAGAACCAGAACCAAATATGTCATCTCAGTTCTGTACAGGAGCAAATGACACAAGCTCTAGCTGATTGGTTGAGGGAAGTGAGCATTCAGTATGGAAAACAATACCACATGCCTCTGTACTTCCTTGAAGACTATCTAAGCTTCTTCATTTTCCCCTCCTATATCTCAAAAGCAAAAGACAAAAATCCTGTTCAAACAAAGTTTGTTGTTGATGCTGTTGCCAGTGGTATACATTTTTCAGCTGTTAAATTATATTAAAGTGAGATAAACATATGCAAAATATCATACCTCATGCAACTCCCTTTCTATCAGACACCATTCTTCTCCACCTACATCTCAATAATGACATGGTGAACAAAAAATATATTCTGACAGGATTCATAGTCCCAAGTCAATCCTAGACAGTAATGCAATTATCACAGCTATATGCTCATATTTAAGTCAAATGCACCTCTAAGTAGTATCATGCCTTGATCTTTCCATTCCAGGGAGTTCAGACAACATTCTTCCCTCTCTCACTTCTCAAAAATGGCTTACCTCCCATAACATCTTTTTCAGACAAGACTTGGAGTCAGATTCTATCTTTGCCAGGAATATTGTTTTTGCAATTGTATGTTCATATTTATATGAGGGAACACTACACCTCTCCTATGTGACTGAAGAATGTGCTTCTCCCTCCTATAAGTTGACAACACTTTGATTTGCTCAATATGGACATGTAGAAGCATTTCTAGAGCAGTGAATATCAAAAGTGATAGAGATAACTGCAAAATAATGTAAGCATGAAATGGTATTAGCTGCCTGGTCTGATCATGTTAAGTTTGGGTGGGGGGGGGGGGGGAATAAGGGAATAATCCAAAACTGGACATTATTAAAAATCATTTAATGTCTCACTAGGAGAGGAGGATTCTCTTCCCATTCATCTTAAGGTGATATATTTATTTCTCTTGTGCCTTCTTCTGGATTGAGCTAAAGTGGATCTTATCACAGGGGCATCTCATTTTTCATATTATGCTGTAAATTTATTGGTAATTTGTGGTAATTTCTTGGGAATGATAATCATTTTTCATATCACCTGAAGGTGGTGATGACCTGTTCTGTTTTTGGAGGTAATATCTCCACCTACAGTAAATTATCTTCCCATGCATTCCCCAAGGATCTTGATGAAAGGAATGCTTGGATGACGATGAGCCATCGTGAAACTTGGCCTACATCAGAGAGATCAGTAGTATGCTGCAGGCATTTCCTTGAGTATGACTGAGAATCTAGCTGCCAAGTGCAAGATTTTTCAGAAAAGCATCATCCTATCTGTGAATACTCAAAAACTCAAGGATGAAAGTGTCAGCAAGAGGCCAAATTTGAGGTAGAATTGATTTTTAACACTTTTGTGCTGGGAAAAAATTAGGATTATAACAGGATTAGTAATAAGAATACCCCATGTAACAGGAAGCTTCTGCTGAGGTTGCACAGTTAAATCAATCAGTGATGATTTGTGAGATGAGCCATTTTGAAAAGTCAGAGAGGGAGAATGTCATCTGATCTTTCAGGAGAGATAAGAAGAAATATATATACAGGGTGGGCCAAAAAAACCGCCCCAAATTTGAAGTTTAATAACTTGGGCCCTGTTGGACCAATATCAATTTTATAATATGCGAAATGAAGCTTGTTCACTTTTCTTTTGAATGATATATAATTTTGGGGGGTTTGCTTCAGAGAAATAGCTGCTATTACAGTTTTTAAAAAAGTGATGAAAAAATTTCTTCAAAATGGGCTTTTATTCCAAGTTCCTTTTCCTCAACCTCGAATTTATCACACATGCTCACAGACCCTTTTAATGACCCAAAAATGGTTCAATGTGCCCCTCTCCACAATCAACAGCAGCCTCATTTTACTCGCCTCATGATTGCATGGTCTCTCATCAACCAATCCGTATCATACAGGGGTGTGTGGGAAAAGGGGGTGCGCAGGAGAAACTGGCAACAGCTGCAGCACGACATTGGAAATAACTCAGGAAATTTTTTCGTCACTTCTTTTTAAACTGTAATAGCAGCCATTTCTCTCCTCCAAACCCCCCAAAATTATATATCATTTGAAAGAAAATTAAACAAGTTTCATTTTGCTTTTATAAAAATTGATATTGGCCCTACCAAGGCCAAGTTATGAAGCTTCAAATTTGGGGTGGTTTTTTTTGGCCCACTCTGAATGTAGGAGAAAAGTAATGTGATCCCATAGCTGGCTCACCAACACAACCAATTCCAAAAAGTAAGACAATGTTATTTAAAAACTCCTTTCCTTTCTTTCTTCTCTTTCTAAATTCCATTGTCTTTGTTTTTGGAATTGGTTGTGCTGGTGAGCCAGCTATGGGATCACATTACTTTTCTCCTACATTTAGTTGTGTTGTCTGCTGTGGTTGAGCTTCTCGCACGCTGCTTCACAACTTAGAGCAATTGGGTCCATTGGGTCCCCATCATACATCCACAGGATAATGAAATCATGTATACACTGTCATAAACTAGATTCATTCCTCTAAATGGAGATATATGACCCTATTGTAATAAATACCTGATACAGTGAAATAATTGTGTAGGCTTCATCGGATAGTTGTTTCCTGAAGTTTAGAAAAAAGAAGTACAGGCCAAGGATGGCAAGAAAAATTTTTCCAATTTATATAAGATTTTCTTAATTTTTTATTATTATTCTATGCACAGTTCTTTTCTTAGCATCTTCTTCACTATATATTGTTTGGGTGGTTACTAGGACCAAGTATACAAAATGCATGTGTTCATTATGTATTTAGAATAGCCTCACCAACTTCCATGCACATTCATTGGATCCCTGTCATTTTCTGTGGCTTTTTTTGGCTCTGGTCTCTGGACCTGCCATTTGTGCAGTTATAAGACTTACTCCCACCCATTTCCCAGTCAGATTCTCCTGATCACTCCTGATCTTATAAAATAATAAAAAGAAAATTGCAATCAGAGGAGAAAGACTGATGGTAGTGAGTCACAAGAAACTATGCAAGTGTGTTTGTGTGTGGGTGAGATTGAGATTTAGTGTTTCTAAAACTTTGCCTAAATAACATATTGATATGCAACAAAGTGAAATATGTAAAAATAAATGCATAAAACCAAGGAAAAACCAGAGGATAAGGTTAGGTTGCAAGCTATAATAAACATCAGACCAATTTTAAAAAATGGCATGTCCACAGGAATATGTTTAATCTCTTTAAACCTTTCCTTGGATGAGTACTACATAAAATCATATTCTATACTGAAGAAGCACTTAAGTTAAATATCATAAATGTGCATAGTTCATTGCTTTATTACAAAAAAATGACAATCTGTTGATGAGAAGGTTTTCAAAGGTAGGAAAAGCAAGTGAGAAATGTCCTACATTTTAATCTGTCAAAATATGGTTGGGCCCTGTGTGGTGTGATATATTGGCACCAGGGAAATAAGTAACAGCTACATTTTAGGTCACTATGACAAATATTAGCCCTATATTTTCAGACTTCAGCAATATCTGGGTATCTGAACATATACAGGGTGGGCCAAAAAAAAGCCGTAATTTTTGGTAAGTGGTCAATCTGATTGTAGGTTGCCAATTCTAATGAAATTTGGTAGACACATAGGGTAACTCAACTATGTTTTGTGTGCCAAGTTTCAAATAAAACTTCGAAAAATTGTGAAATTAGCATTTAATTTACTTTTCATACCAAAAAAGTAAATGTTCATTTTTTCTTTCAGCTTCAAATGTTTCACAACTGTCAAAAAGGAAGGTCATGAATTTGGTCCTCCTGTTCATCCCAGCTTCAAGTTTGTATCACTATTGTCTATAGCACCTTTTGTCATTGGTCATCTGAAAATAATTACAGTTCCTTTAATTTTAGAACCATAAGGCTGAAATTTGATATACAAACTCCAATTGTGTTTCCCTATAAGCTTCCCAATTGTAATCACAATTGGCTGCCTACAAAGAAAATGATGACTCACCAAATATGACAGCTTTCTTTTTTTTGGCCAACCCTGTATAAACATGCAATTAGGAGCTTCAAATTCACTAATGCACAGCACTAATACCATCATTTGAAAAATAGCATCCAAGCACCTAAATACAGGAAAGTTGATTTAAATTGGCCAACACTGATGCAGACCCAATTGAAGAGAACTTGAACTCATTGACATGTCTTTTTTCTTGCCTGAAATACTGGGGGTGGGGGGAAAAAAATTCACAGTTGAAATGTTATATCTACGAGGGGTCCTGCATAAGTTTCAGGACTTTTTGTGTTGAAGTGGTCCAATTGGACGTAATTTTTTCCCCAGTTTCATATATTATTGAATGACAAGGGAAAAAATGTTTGACCACACAGAATGTAATGGAAACAAGAAAAATTAAAACTAATGAATGCGATCGACCAAAAGTGCCTTGCATCTTGAAACTTTTGAGCAAAGGCGATGCAGGCCTCCTTCTCCTCTTGTTTCAAGATGCGAGGCACCCATCTGGCAGTTTTCTTTGTCATGTTGAGATGATTATGCAAAATGTGAAGAATTGCTGTTTCTTCAATCTCCAGATTCTCTGCAAGCTTTTCCACTGTCTGACATGGGTCTCAATGGCAGCAGCCACAACCATGACATTTTGATCATTTGCTGACGTTCGGAGGCATCCCTCACATGGCTCATCTTCAATTTAAAAAAATGCCCACTTTTGAATCAGACAAACCACTCGAAAACCACTCCCTGACTTGGGGCTTCATTGCCCAAAACTTCTTTCAAGTCATTGAAACAGGTTTGGGCACTCCAACCGTGCTTGAAATAGAACAACATGATTGTTTGCACTTGTCGCAAATATGATGGCACTTTCGGTCGATCGCATTCACTAGTTTTTATTTTTCTCATTTCCATTTCGTCCTGTGTGGTCCAAAAATTTTTCCCTTGTCATTCAATAATATATGAAACTGGGAAAAAAATTATGTCCATATTGGACCACTTCAACACAAAATGTCCGGAAACTTATGCAGGACCCCTCATAAAAGGCATTCAAAGCACAGCTGTGTATGCTGCAACAGGTATACATCAGCATTTTGTCTCAAATGTAAATTTTTTCCAAAGAGTTTTCCAAAACTTGTTTTAGCCACAAAAACACTTGGAAATACATTAGTGATATATCAGATGTAGAGAAAAAAGTGTGCTTCTCTTTGTTTCTTTCTGAAAAATGGTGAATACTTCTGTGTTTGCCCCTCCTGGTATACATATAGATGTTTTCTATCTTGTAATTTTTTTTCAGAATTTTCCACCCAATGGTTTAGCCAATTCACTTTTTAAAAATATCTGGAAATCCCTGCATGTCCTCAGAAACTTATTGAAATGGAGGATGGAACATCCTTTCACCTGGACACTGGCATTCAGCTGCTATTTTAATTGATGAATTGCTCTTTTAATTAAATCATTGCACACTTTGTCCAGAAAGTAGGTTCTAATACTGCTTTGACTTCTAATACATAAGACAACTGCATGATCACAACTGACACAGTAGACAAATTGAAGCAAAAATGATCAAGCATACTATTTTCAGCATGAAGCTAATAACGAGTGGGACTCCCAAAAACTTTCCTTGGCAACTTCCAAAATGCTTTTGTTGCTAAACCAGATGGAGAAAATTTCAAAGAAAATTTTATTTGGAAGATGAATGCATGTATCCTGGAACATGCAATACAAATACATATACAAATTTAAAATATAAATATATGTACAAATACATATATTCTAATGTAAACAGCAGTGTTTACTTCTCAGCATTGGGTATTTGGAAATCCCCTTGAGTCCCAAGAGTCTCACTGAAATTGATGCATGATCGACCCTCCTTGCACCCAGACAATTGCATTGAGCCACAGTTTCTACGAGGGACACTCCAAAATTAATGCACATTAATTTTTTTCTGGCTTACCTATTAACAGAATGGCTCCAAACTTTTCAGGTTAGTTGCCTAGTGCTCTCTGGAGGCCTAACTATTTTTCAACATAGTCCTCGTGATCAAGGCACTTTCTTTAGCGTTTCATGAGGGCTTGTATGGCATCACGATAAAATTCCTTGCCAAAATCTCGAAGCCACTTATTGACAACCTCTTTGACTTAATTGTCAACCTGGAATGACTTCTGAGGGTGTTTTCAGAAGGGCACTTTGACCAATACTGATAGTCTCACACATCTTCCTGGATGTGACACACCTGTCATTTTGGATGAGTTCATCAATTTTTGTGGTGTTCTCATCTGTGCTCGAAGTCACAGGATGGTCAAAGTGCTGCTTGTCTTTGCCATCAGTTTCTCCTGACCTAGAGTGACTCACCCATCACCTGACTTTGCTCTCATCCATGCATGATTCTCCATAGACTGCCTTGAATCAGTTGGCCACACACAGAAATTAAGTCACTGCCTGCTGCATCTGATATTTCGGCACAGCCACAGTTTTGAACGGGTGTCCTGCTTGAGCACTGAAGCAGATTTTAATGAAACTGCAGCCACTACGGCAAGAAGTGAAAAATGTTAACTCCTACATTTCATCAGCCTAGCACAAACACAGGGAAAAAAATTAATGTGCATTACTGTTGGAGTGCACCCCCCCCCCCATATTAAAGATTTGCTCTTTTGCTTTTCTGTTGGAGTGCCCCCCCCCCCCCCCCCCCCATATTAAAGATTTGCTCTTTGAATAAAGTCAGTATACACTTTCATCCAGAAAGCATGCTTCAATACTTCTTTGTTTGTCTTCGAAAATGTAATGACAGACAAGTTCACTTGAAAGTAATCAAGCACACTGGCTTCCCTCCTTTGGTGGGAAACTCAGTAGATGGGAATTTTGAAATATTTTGCTCTCAATCTTCAAAGGGCTTACTGGCCCAACCAGTTGGGTGAAAATTCAGAAAATAATTTTCTTGGAGGATGCATGTATATCCTGGAACATACATAAATGGAGCACTGACCGTTTTCCCAATATGAAATTTCCAACAGTAGTGCTTTTTTTCTGTATCCAGTATATACATAGTATTTATGAAGCCCTTGACAGGTTTAAAAATGTAATAACTTTTTATCCATAGAAGATAGGACAAAATAGTGAACTGCTTCACAAAGCTTAACTCAAAAAGTTTTTTTTAGTGAAATCTTAAACTTCCACATAACTGCCATCTTGAGCTATGCAACATTCAATCCTTGATTGCACCAATGCAAACACATTCTCAAGCTGCTGCTGTGTTATGCTGCTGATAGCTGATTTGAATGGGCTTGGAGTTCTGCCAAAGATTGGATTGGCAGAAGATTACCATTTCTGTGGCCATTGTGCTCACCTGATCTTACTCCTTTTAACTTGTTTTGTAGGGACATGTGAAGAGTATAGTTTATGCAAAAAAAAACCCTATCTTTGACAGAATTCCATGCCCCAATCAAAGTAGCTATCAGCAACATCACACAGTTTGAGAATGTGGTTGTCTTGGTGCAATCTAGGATTGAACACTGCATAGCTCAAGATGGCAGATATGCGAAAGTCTAAGAATTAACTAAACAAAAACCTTTTGAGTTAAGCTTTGCGAAGCTGTTCATTATTTTGTTCTGTCTTCAATGGATAAAAAGTTGCCAATTTTTTAAACCTGTAATGGACTTTTTAAATACCCTGTATGTATGATGGTTCTGTCAATGTTCATGCATGTTTCATTACATCTCTTTTGAAGTCTGTATCCTTGTTGTGCAGCAAAGACTTTGGAGCAGCTAAGGAGGTGGAATGAGAGGGAAAAAGAATTGAACAAGAGGCAACACAAAAAAGATTTGAACAAGAGGCACCTGGAAAAAGAATTGAACAAGAGTCATCATGGATTTCCATTCCCTCGAGGTTAGCTCTATCAATGTAAATGCATAATTCAAGTCTTAATGACATAAAGGATGTCCCAGAAAGATGTTTATGCACTTCAGCACTTCACTATTCTAACACACAGAGACATGTTGTCCATTAGTGTTGTGTCTTGCTTTATCAGGAAGCCTTCAGATGATTTACACAATACACTGAAGTGTTCAAAATGTCCATCAACAGTCAGGCAGGAATAGCAGCAATGAGCCACAGAGTAACACATCTGCACATGTTTCAACTGAAATGGCAGTGTAAGCATCAGCAGTGCTTTGTTGGAATTCCTGGAGGATTGCCAATCTTGTGGTTAAGTCCTTCAGGACACCCCATAAGGAGAAATCTGGGGGTGTTAGATCCAGTGACTGTAGTGGGTATTCCACTGGTCCACCTCATCCTATCCTCTGCTCAGGAAATTGTTCATCTAAAAATGACATCACATCATGATGGAAATAGGGAAATTGCCATTGTGATGGAAGTACATCTTGTAGTTCCTCAATGGCTAGCACAATGCTGCTTACCAGGAGATTGAGGTACCAGTGATCTGTCACAGTGTCAGTAAAGGAGGAAGGAATGATAATTCTTTGGGAAGATACTCCAATCCGCAGGGCGTCCTGAAGGATTATGTGTATGCCACAAAACCAGTGACCCTCCAGGAACTCCAACTGAGAGTTGTTTGTACCACCCTTCCAGCTGAAACATGTGCAGATATGTGTCACTCTGCTATTTGCCACTGCATTGCCTGCCTGACTGTTGATGGTGGACATTTTGAACACCAAAACTAGTGTATATTATAGATCAGGGGTCGGGAACCTTTTTGGCCACATGAGCCATACTAAGATTGAGCGAAGTGCTTGTGAGCGAAAGATTTTCAGAACAATTAATTTTTCCTGAAGTTGATAACAGTCATTTGCATTCTTTGATACCTGAGAAAATGAGGAACAACCTTGATATTCATCCATGACTCAATGAGCCAAACTTTTTGGCTCGTGAGCCAAATTTAGCTCATGAGTCATAGCTTCCCAACCCCTGGTATAGATTATCTGTTGTTACTGATGAAACAAGGCTCAACAATGACAAACTACATGTCTCTGTATGATAGACTATTGAAGCATGTATACATCTTTCTAGGACACCCTGTATTTTGCCATGCCACCAGTTAAACTAATGTGCAGCAATTGGTAACCTATAATACTCCATCTGCTGCACATTGATCAAACTTTCACTTATTAAAATTGTATTGATTTGGCAAATTAGGTAAATTGTCATTTTGGAAAATGCAGCTCAGCTGACATACAGGATGCCTGGTACCAAACCCTTGAGTTATTTTATCTTGTAAGAGAACAATTGAAGAAAAACTGTAGAGCCAATGAATTCAAGGAAAGAGGGAATAGTGCACAAAGACTCAGACCCAAATGCACAAACCTCATTTAGGGGAAATTAAGGAGCCTTTAACACATTGATGCTGGGAACTGTATTATTACATTTTGACACAGCTTGTTCTTCAAATTTTTTAATATATCAATACACACAAATAGTAGTGTGACCATAAGTTTTGTCATGTTCTAAGTACCACAGAGCTCCAGGATCCTGTGTCCAGACTGGCAAACACTATCAAAGAGCATTCATTGTTGCCAATCCTACCAACACCAAAAAAGGAAGTTTCCAGCAAGACATTGCAAAGTGTGTTTGAAGATCAAGAAATGCAGTGAAACTATGTACATTTGTGGATCATGTCAAGTACCACTCCACAAAGGGGATTGTTTTCTGGCATACCACACCAAAAAGCAGTATTAGTTGGTTCCCTAGACATTTCTGGACAAATTGGTGTTTGAATTTTCCATGTATGTAGTTTAGTTTCGGAAATATAATTTTTTTTGTAAAGTGTTGTATTTTGTGAAAAATGGCTAGGCTACAGGGATTGTGCACACTTCATACATTTGGGCATCAATGTGTCTAAAGAGCTCTTTTTCTCTCATCAGAGTCCATGTATTCTTAATGGATATTTAACTAAAGGAGGTTTCAGCATTTTTGCCAAGATCCAGCTGGAGCTGGAAGTGCTGCTTCTATGCTATGCTGGTGCCTGCATTTTATGTGGAATTTTATTGCAATCTCTCTCATTGCTAGTGCTATGAATATCATGATGTCCATTTTATGCAATCCATTTGGATTTCAGATAGCCTTTTCTCCTAGTATGTTTGTTGATCTACCTGTGCTTAGTTCTGTTGCATCTTGTGGAATTTTTGCCATGCAGGTCCTGCCAGTGTGATTTTTTTGCTTTTTCTTATCACATTATTGTTCCAGATTTCATCTATTCTCCCTTGATACTTGAAAGTGAATTTCCATATCAATGAAAAAGTCTGGGCTTGAGGAGTTAGCTATTGACTATGATTTCACTTGCAATTTGAAAAGGATTTAAGCATCCATGCTGAGACTAGGGTAATTTCTTCTTGAAGTTTGTAGAATTGACCGTGGAGGAGGTATGAAATGTCAAATTCATATTAAACTGGGTAGGTGAATTAGTTTTCACTAAACTCCCTCCAATTTAAGAGGTCAATCAGATTCAAGGGAAGAGGAGAAACATTCACCAAGACCTGCAGATGCATGCTTATATGTATTTGTGTTTGATCTGAATTGGCATTTATAAAATTTATTCCCCTTGATTCAGGTGTGGTCAAAATACAATATTGCTGAATCTTGTGACTTACCCTTTGTCTGCCAGGTCATGCTGCCCCCTTGAATGACAAAGACAGAGACATAGGTTCCAGTAAAATAGCTTCTCATCCACCAACAAAGCTCAGTCTGCCATGTGTCCACCCAATGCTTCAAGTTGCCTGTGGTGTTCATCACACATGTGAGTGTCTAAAATAATTTCTTCCTTTGGTGTATATCTTGAAATGCTATCCTAGCATGCTATGAACATGATTTTCATCTCTACAGTGCTGCTCTGTAATGGAGGAGAAGTGTTTGCCTTTGGGAGCAACTCTAGAGGTCAATTGGGAGTTGGAGATACAATAAACAGATGTCATCCAGACCCAGTCAGGATTCCTCCTGATGTGAAAATTGTTCAGATTGCTGCCGGCAGCTACCATTCTGTGTTCCTTGCTCAAGATGGAAGAGTCTTCTCATGTGGAGCATTTGAGGTGAAGTCACAGATATCTGTCATCTATCAGTATGTAAGGTGGTTGATCTGTTTTGTAGGACTGTCACATTGTGTATTGGCATGCCATTGTCTATCAATAATTGAATGCATTGATGATTTTATGAGCCTTCCCTTTCACTCAACAACTCCATCCCTCAATTGATTGAAGTAAGATAAAAATTAAGAGTGAACTCTTATCACAAGAGATGGCAAAAGGTGGTGCTCCTCCTTTTGCAATGAGATGGCAGAAAGTTCCCCTGATCACTAGCAAAAAAGGGATGAAGGAATTGTCTCTCCCCTATGGCACTCAGAGCCACTAAATAATTTCCCCATTCCTATGAAGCACCATCAATAGCCTTTGTTAGTCTTTGTTAATGTATGAATGTTTTCAAAACAATCCCCATGACAGACAGTCTTTTGCAGCATAAGCCTGTCTACAAACTGTGTTCATTTCCAGGTATAAAGAAATCAAACTCAAGCAGCCTGAGGAATTGGCTTTTTTGTGTGTACTAGAATAAATTTATTCAATTTTGGTTTATCTAACTTTTATCTAACCCTTTCAATGCTGTTGACATGTATACACATCTGCCAAGTATGTACCATTCTTAGTGCATAGTGCAGTGTCAGTAAATCTAGTCAATCAGGCATTCATCTGACATCGGTTCATTAAATTCACTAATCAGGGGAATGTGCATAATTCAAATTAGTACCATCTTAAAACAGACAAAATCCTGAAATATACAGGGTGGTGCATAAATGCCTCCCAGGTTGTCTTTCCTGTTATGGTTGCCAGCAATACATTTCACTGAGGTTTACCCTCTTTAATGAACTACATCATTCTTGAGATCATTCAGCAATGAAGCATTGGTTGATGAAGGAGCATGTGAAGGAGGCAGAGAAGTTGATCCAAACTAAGTCACTTGTGGCAACCCACCAGGCAAGGCTTTATGCACCACCCTGTACTTGCATAGGGGGTACTACCTCAAAAAAAAAAACTCAGCAAGGAAAAGGTTAATACTTTCAATATGGTTAAATGCTGCCCTTGAAGTTGCTCTGAAATACTAGTGGCATGGGTATTTCAAATCATCTCTCATATAGAATCATAATCTGCTCTTGTCAATGCCATGAACATAAAATATTGCGTACACTGATAATATTCTGTCCCTATGTCTTATTAATTTCTCTTTTGTTATTTGAACAGAAAGGGCAATTAGGGCCAAAGTCAGATGAAGACATTCAGGCAGGAGAGCGGTTATGGTTTTCCATTCCAACTCCTGTGAACAAGCTTGGGCCAGTTCATGGTCATCAGGCCACATGGATAGGAGCATCAGGAAATCAAACATTCATCAAGCAAGATGAGAGTCTTATTCATTTTCAGACATTGTCCCAGACTTCCATAGTAGCCAGTCGAGATTTACTTGGTATGGGCAGATCCTTCACCATGTCATTTCTTGCATGATGCTTTTAAGGAAAGTTAGCCTTAAGTTCTGGTTTTCCCTTGTTCTTGCAGGCCTTTTGACTACAAAAGATAGTGGTGGCTCCCCTTTCCAATGTCTCATGATCAGCCGCAGTGATGGGGTCTGTGAAAGCTTTCAGGGCCCAACACAAGTTGACTTTTCTGGTTGTGCTTCTTACCTTGACCCTATTTATGATGTCCTTTGGAGGTATGAACATAATGTTGTTGGATAAGTTCATATAAAGTCAGATCAATGGCATTGATGGTCTTTGATGACTGATACTGCAGGTATAATCCATGTGATGGGACAGTGTGCTGCTTCAATATATTGCAAAGTGGAGTCAAACAGCAGGTGCCTGCAACCACTATTCTCACCCCAGAGGTTGCCCTACCTGTCATACCAGGCACTCGTGTTTCACGGTCCCAGGTGACCTTATTTCTACTCTGCTGTCTGGACCTTCTTATGATTCTGGATGATTTTACTCTGGTGCATCCAGAAGAAGCCTCTGCAAAGCCCAGTGTGGCACAAGTGCTTAGCAGAGAAGATTACTCTGTTGTGAATCGGTTTGAAAGTGAGTCTTACTTCTTTACATACATTAAATGCTTCAAATGCTTTTTAATATTGAGCTGTTTTCTACTGCAGGACATGGAGGAGGTTGGGGTTATTCAGGGAATTCAATAGAAGCTATTCGTTTCAGTTGTGACACTGACATTCTATTGGGGGGATTTGGCTTGTTTGGAGGTAGGGGAGAATACATGGCAAAGATAAAGGTATTGATATCAGCATCATCTCTATAGTTTTTTTCAAAATGTATGGAATGCATTTTGAATGTCATCATTCTTGCATATTCTTTGAAGCTCTTTGACCTTGGTTTGGATGGGGGTGCTCATGAGATAGATGGAGAGGTTTTGGCTGAGACAGACATGATGCCATATGAATGTGGTCAGAGACAGAAGCATTCCATCCTCTTTGATGACCCAGTCCTCATCCAGGCACATAGGTGGTATGTTGCCTGGGCAAAGATAGATGGTCCAGCAAGTGATTGTGGTTCCAATGGTCAAGGAGTTGTTGTTACAGATGACCAGTGAGTTCATTCTGGCTTACATTAGCCCTCTTCTTTTCTTTACTTCCTTCTGAAAAGTCTGACTTGATGCTAGATTGCTTCAATATTATGCAATTAAAATATCATAAGTGAATTGCAAAGCTCAGTGAGAGAAGAAAGGATATGAAAGTACTATTGGGGAGAAGAAGAAAAAAGAACAGGAGACAGGTTCCTCCCCTTCTCAAAGTCATCCACTCCAACAACCTGTAACTATGGCCTTCACTTCTCTGATGTTATGTATTTTGACACATTAGTTAAGAATGGGGAGAAAACATGTCCCCCCAACATAGAAACTTATAACACCATTGAAAAGAGTGCCTATTGCAGTTTCCTTATAGACACAGTGGTTTTAATTTCTGAGATACTCCTCATGCTCTCCATTTTGAATGGTACCCAACCAGCAAGTGTTTAGAACTGAATAAAAGAGAATGTCCTTTGTCCACAATGCATGACAACAGATCATTTAGAATTCCAGCAGGGATTCCAGTTGATGATGTCAGTATCAATATGTGGCCCTATGTTGCTCCACATCCTCATCCATACCTAAATACCTGGTGAATTCAGTTCCCTCTCCAAAATATCCTAGAAATATACATTCTTGTATCAATATACTTTAGAGAAAAGTCAGTTTTGTTACTATGCAGAGAAAAGAGGTATTCCTTTCAATGGTGCATTTGGTTTCTATTAAGGGTAGGCACGTCTCTCCCTGTAAACATGAATATAGTGGCTAAAACTTAAGAATAAACATGTACAGGGTGGGCCAAAAAAAAAAAACCATAATTTTTGGTGAGTCTTCAATCTCATTGTAGGTTGCTGATTCGGATGAATTTTTGTATGTTTATAGGGCGACACAATGGGAATATTCATGCCTGAATTTCAACCTTCTGGCTTTAAAATTATAGGAGCCGTAATTATTTGCTGATGACCCACAACAAAATGTGCTATTGAAATTAGCGATATGAACTTGAGGCCGGGATGAAAGGGAGCCAGAATGACCTTCCATCCCTGCATGATGCTAAGGAGGAAGATAGGGAGGCACTGCAGCCCAAAGAAAGAATTTATATGGAAGAGAAGTTTGACATGGTCTTGACCAGGAAGGACAGTGCTCAAGTGTATCCTCCACTCCACTACCAGCATTCTATTTGTCCATTCTCAATGTCTAACTTCTTTTCAATAATTGCTGATAGAATTTCTTCAGCTCAACAAATGTGAATGGAATTTTGAGAATCACTTGGAAACCTGCTCATTTATGCAAAGTGAAAGTTCTGCAGAAGTGGCTTCATTGTGAGTGGAGACATTAAGGTTAAAAGTAATGAGTCTTATTTTTTGCCATATCCTGTAGATCAAGGCCTAAGAGAGTAAAGTCAGCAAATTTTGCTGATGGTTCCAAAAAGATTTCTCCATCAGTGAGTAGGACAGGATGAGAGCAATTTACAACTTTCAGGCATGTGGAGTAAAAAAATAGTAATAAAAATCTCTTAGGTCAAAACCATTGATGCCCACATATTAACATTTTGAATTTCTGTTGTGATTACTTGAATATAGGATCATTTTGATTACCATTACTTCAATTGATGCATTTAAAAAAAAAAACATTCCTGGTCCCATATGAGCCAAGGGGTTGCAAACTGCCCTGTGAGCATAATACCTGGTAAATAAGGTGAATGTAGCCTGTATCCCAGCAACATCGAGTCAATGTACATGGGATAGTGTTTCCTATATTGAACCAAGATCACCACCTGTATTATTCAATATTTTAACTTGAACTTGAGGTAAACCATATTTTTAAACCAAGCATGAAAAATTTCCCCCCTTAATTTGGAAGCACCTCATCTCAGCTTTACTTTTTGTCCATGATTTATATTGGTGCAAGTGCAAATAAATGCTCCCCATTGCTTTGGTTATTATTATCCTGTTGAAATTTCAAGGCAGATTCTTAAACATGTTTCCTACTTCAATGATTTGCAATGTTTGTTTTCCAATGATGAGTGAAAGGCGAATCTGAACTCAACTGTGAGGTCCATTGAGCTTCCACCTTTGTGTTGCTCTGAACCTTTCAGTATAGAGATGAACAAGAAATAAAAACTGAGACTTTTTTCACATGACTTCCTTTCCAGATCATGGCCATGAAAATGATATTGAAGTAGTGATCATTTGCAAAATGGATTATTTATAGGGTCACTTTCCAGTTCAAGTCATCCAAGAAGTCAAATAATGGAACAGATGTGGAAGGAGGACAGATTCCACAGTTGTTGTATCGCATGCACATGCCAGAAGCTTGCCCTCGTACTCCTTTCTATGGGCATGTCAAACCAGTCCATATCCTGAAACGAGACTTTGCATGCACTCTCAATACTGTGAGTACTAGTGTCAGACTTCATTCCATTCCTTTTAAGTTTCCACAAAGAATCACAACAGTGCATGCTCTTTTCTTTTTGCAGGAGACAGTGAATTCTTTGCTTTTGCTTCTTTCATGGAGTTGGGACACTTTCAAAGAGGCAGCTGCTGAATTGTCTCACCTTACTTCTGAGTCATTGGGATATTCTGCTTCCTACCATGATGTAGAACGTTTGGTATATGTATGCCGGGCTTGCCTGCGTCTTCTAAGAGCTTTCATAGAAGAAATGTTTCCTCTTGGTGGTGAGTTTTCACAATACAATTTGTTCCTTTCATTACCTTTCCATGGACATTGTTCTCACATGGAAATCATGGAGAATCCTATGGAGTCATGGGATTCTCAAGTTTGCAATCAGAAAACATTTTCACCCATGTTTCATAGTTGAATATAGGATGCATTTATTGTGTTTAGTGGAATGGCCTGAAAGATGCCACTGGTTGGTTCACCTTTGCTTCGACTTTAATTTTGTCAGTTTTTTAAATTTACTTTAGATGAGAATCATTAGGGTGGATAATTTTTTACTCAGTCTGGATGATAGTACAAAATTCATGTTTTGATCATGGGATCAAATGGATGATGCCTGCATTGAATTAGCATTATGCATAATATGGCTAGCCTGAGTGAGGGGAAAAGTATAATCACATTGACCACTTGTGAGAAACACATGGTTATTGACCTATTGCAAAATTAGTACCATTATGAAGTTGGCAAAAAAGTCATCAAATGCTTGATGATAATGACAATAAGGAAAGTAAAATAAGTAAAGCAGGTTTATAGGAAAGTAAGGTTCAAAAAGGTCTTCAAGCTTCTCACAGTATTACTACCATAACTTTACAAGGTCACTGGAAATTAGCAGGTGTTGCACATACAGGGTGTTCCATAAGTCCCTTATCCCCTGCCCCTTTTTTTTTCTTGTAAAATAGTGACAGCAAAATAAAACATGCCATTTGAAACTACATTCATTTTAACATTTAATAACCCTCACGCAAGAAACTGGGGATCAAGGGGATCAGTATGAATGAAATTGTTTTCTGAACTCAGAATAATGTGGTGCCAGATGCAATGAAACATTTTTCAAAGCATAGCAGGGGTGGCAAGGTGAAATGCATCATGAACAGCTTTCTTTAGTTCTTCTGAGGTTTCGTATCAACTTTTTGCCACATTCTCTTTCTTTCTTTTCATTTCCAAGGTCTTCCACTTCAAGGAGCATCCATAATGCATCTCGTATGAAACAGCTTTTTCTCCTACATGAGAACTGTCTGTTTTGAAGGAGGATTCTTGCCAAATCCTCTAAAGTTGTCAAAAAAAAAGGTCTTTTTTTTCCATTTTATTGGGGATCATGCAACCACCCAAGCATTAATCACTAAGCTCTCTTCTAGTGTAAAAGGGCTTTGGTCACTCATATCTGCACAAATCCCAATCCCAATTCACCTGGAACAATAAAAAAAAGGGAGGGGAGATCAAGGGACTTATGGAACTCCCTGTAGAGAGCCCCTCCCTCCACAGCTTAAACTATAGGAGCCAGGAAAACATTTAAAATATATTTGGAATCCTTGTTCAATTTTGAATCTATTCTATCCCATTTTGTTTTGTTTTCCTGATGTTATATGATGGTGAAGAACTTAAATTCATTGATTGCATCCATGCTATTACGTTTCGAGCTTGTGATGCCAGAGCTTAATTCATTACCTGTTCATGGTTCTTGAAATAGATTAAATGTTCAGTTTCTGTCTGATAAAGCCCCATTTTTGAAAGCTTTGATCGCACAGCAATAGCTTAAAGACTCAGGAATTGATTTTTTTTTTTTGGAAGTGTGGAATGGCCAGGAAACTCTTCTGATCTGAATGTGGCTGAGAACACCGAGGTTTTCCTGAAAGAATGAGTTCAGGCTCATGCACATAGAGGGCAAGCAGCATGGATTCTCCCAGGAAGCTTTGTAAAAAGACATCACCAGAGTGTTGAAAGACATGGAAGATGACGCATAACTATTTAAGCGTCTCTTTTCATCTTACCCTGCTCATCTTAAAGCTGTCAGAGACAAAGCCAGGGTGTGCACAAATTATGAGAAGTACATGTTTATATTCAAAAATGAATGCTCTTTCTCACAATGAGTTTTTTTCCTAGCTCTTTTAGTTCAGGCTGTGGAGGGGTGGGATACCTATGTGCAACACCTGGTACAAGTATGTCAAGACTGGCTTGGATTGGAATGCCATGGTAGTAGAGGTGTGAAGCATGTAGGAATTTTTACTTTCATGGGTACTAGTACATGATTAGACTTGCCTTACTATATTGGGATGGAAAAATGGATCATTGCATTCTCAGACTGAGGCCTACAGACCTAAAAAGTGTCTGATGGTTGCTTTCAGGAAAGAGAAAGAGTGAAGAGAAAGCTTGGGAAGGAGAAAGTGTGTTGGAAGCCAGACAAGTCTTGGAGTCCCTCTTATCTGACTTTTTGCCCAACTCCCATCTGCACTCATTTTCTGAATCTTCATGTAGTGAGTTCTTTTGTGGCATATTTCTACTTTGAAATTTCTCAAAATCATGCTGCTGATGATGAAAATTTTGCAGAACTCAGATGATGAAACAAAACAGGCTCAGTTTTGAATAAAGTATTAAATTCTACATGTACAACTATATCTAGATATCAGGTGTTTCCACCACTGGCCTGGATGATGACCTGAAACCAAGATGCACAATCCCCAATAGAATCCTCAAATATATTTATTTCCATTACATTTCATTAGGTTCTCCCATCCAGCATCTGAATTAATTTAGTTTATGTATATATTTAGTGAATGTAGTTGGTGCATCTCTTGCTTAGCAGAAAGTGATGGCACAATTATGATCAACTAATTGTCTTTTTTCACTGTCTCCTGTTCACATTGATTCCATTGCAGCATTTAGATATAATGCAGATTGACATGGCTTTCATATAGTGATGCCTGTTATATGCACTAATAGTTAATTACGGTTAAAGCTGTGGAAAAGGAGCCTAAGGTTTCATGGCATTCTATACATATGGGTAATTCTTTGGCAGTCTAATTTAATTCAGTATTCTTTTGAAATATGTATACTGGAATGTGAGATTCAAATCTGGTATCACTCTTATAAGCTAAATTCCATTTGTTTTGTGGAGAGCTCATGGAGTTGGCCACAAGTAAGCTTATTACAGACCTATAGAGTACAATGGCATTGGTATTGGCCTAATTGGCAGGGTGAGTGAGCATGGTTGGCCTACTTGATGGTTTCTCTCAGTTGGCATGGACTTTGAACTGAGGGAGGTGTTAATCTCTGGGGACAACACTTGTGCAATATGCAGAATGCCATGAGATGATAGTTCCCCATATACAACTAAGTACATTGCTGGTATGCAGAAATCAATTGCAGGATTTTAATTTGTGTATTTGTCTTTATCTTTAAGGTACTAGCAACGGCTGTTTTACTTGGTGGCTGAAAATAGATAGTGGATTGATTGCATTCATGCATGAATTTTCTAAGCGACATTAGATGCTAATCTTACATTCTCTTTTTATATACTACCCTAAAAGACTTACTGCTGTTGAAAATGTAAATGGTGAAAGCACCATGTTCTGAAATTTTAAATTCTGAAATATTCTGACATCAAAAATTCAGTCCTGCCCTTGCATTTGCTTCAGTTTCATCTCTAGGGGGGGAACCATCATTTTGTGGAATTCTGTAGTCTATACCTAAGGCACCTCTCATCAGCACCCAACTATTATTAACTCCTATCAAGGTTTCATTGTTTTAATTTTCTTTTCAACACCACATAAAGTGTGAATATGATTGAATAGTTCTGACTTTGAATTCTCCCTTTGTGACTATCTCCTCTCCACTACAAAGGAAGGTCAATGAAAACCTTTTGGGAGTTGATTGCCATTCCTTTTAGTCCTGATGAGAATTTCATGGCCTCATATTTTAAATCAAATTGATTTTCAACTCATGGTGTACATGGCTATTGAGGTTTACTGGAGTGCAGTTCTTTTTTGAGACCACTTCAGGAGTGGAGGGTAGTGTGATGACTTGAGGAGTTCAGAAGCTGGGTATTTTCTGCTGCCCTTGGGTGGTTTCAGTCAGAATTAACACCAAAAAATAACTTATTTACTCTATCTCTGTGGCTTGGTTGGGGACAGTTTACTGTACAACCAGATAATTTGAGTATATTATGCCCTTTTTTGTTGCTGCAACCTTTCAGCAATTTTCTAAACTATATCCATTTTTCGCTCTCTTGTACTTCCTTATCCTTTTGACAGATGGAGAAGGAAAGCATGAAGAACTTTGTTCAATGATCATGGAAGAGTGTGAGAAAACATTCTTATCCTGTTTTCCAATATTCTATCCCACTGGGAGGATGAAGTGGGATCTCCTTTCCTCCCTCTTGTATGGAGATGAGGTAAAATAACTTTCAGTTTATTCCTCCTGTGCCTCTCACTCTTTATTGTTTGCACATCACTTTTTTTCACAACAGGAGGAGCATTCATTCAATCGATTGTTGAGTGCCACCTTGAGTGCAATGTGCCAACCTCAAGTGAACCTTGGGAATATTCTCATGTTTCTGAAAGATAGAGATGGGTTATGTGAGAAGGGTTCACCATGGGAAGAATCGAGTCCCTCATCCACTTCTTCACCAAGTTCACTCACCCCACTTTCTTCTCCTACTTCTGCTCTCCTCACCTCAGATCTCTTCAATTATCCACTCCTTGTTGATACTGCTCTTCGACATCATTCTGAGGTAGCTTAAATTATTTGATGAAGGAAAAGTTTACTTTGCTGAAAGCTTTCCCTATTATTGTGTTTTATATTGTTTAGTATGTGGGTAGACGGCACAATCTCACATTCAAGGAACTGACAACTTGTGTATTGAAAATCATATCCAAGCCCATTGAGGCAAGCTTCACTGGAAGGAACTTCTCTACTTGGCCAGCTCTCATTGAAAATGCTTGCCACTTTCTTGCCACAGTTGTGGCTGAACTCATTCATCCAATCAGGGCCATGGTGAGTAGCACCTATATTTTCCTCACAATTTCAACATTTGTGCAGTCAATTTCTTCCACTTGGCATGACATTTCTCACTTAGAATAATAGAGTTGTGTGCATCACTTCTCCTTCATTGCATACCTATGTCATTGCTATGTATGAGACTTTTAACTTCTGTCAGGGATAGCTCTAGCCAATGTAGACTTCTGGGTAGTGACCCTTGAGGGTTCCAAGAAAGAAAAAAAATTTTTTTTCAAGTATCATAATACTCTGATTCCAAACCTTGCCTGCAACCCATGGAAAACTTGTTTCATTTGGATTCTGGATTTGTTACCATCAGCATGTTCTCTCAACATGAAGGAAGAAGCCTCTGTGGGAAATTCTGTTTGCACAATCCAGGATCCCTGAAGCCTTCAAGGTTGTATGGGTGCTAATAATTGTCTGATTCCCAGGAATGGAGTTAATTCAGACCTTCCTCAGTCCCCTCCATTACTGCATTCAGGCCATGCATCAAATTGTTCATGCTAACACACTTCACTTTTTCTGCTCAACCACAAGTGGAGGAATTTTGATTGAAAAGGAAATTAATGCATACATCACTTTCATCTGAGCTGAAAGTAGGGGTTCAATAAGGGTTAGAGTGGGAGATTATATCCATGATGACCTATTTTCAGTGAGGAATGTTAGTGTCCTGGGATACATGGTGGTCAGTTAAATCATATCATGTGCTCAAAAAATTGCTTTATAATGTGGTATAGAGTCAATGTGACCCCTATCAATGCAATTGCTAGGGTCTTGGGGCTGTTCATCTTAGACCTGCTTATTGACTCCAGCTTAGTGGATGCTAACTTTCAGGGTCTTCCAGTTGAATATTCTGCACATTACTTCAAATAGGCACACTCAACTTATTTGAGGAATTATCTTGTGTAAAACATACTCTGGATCACTATGAAATGTATTAAAAGTGGTGTATTCAATGTGCCAAGAGTAACATATACAGTGAGTTAGTAATATAGCAATAATGCCATCATATACATGAACAATATTCGCAACCTTAACAGAAGTCCTCACTGGGAGAGCCAGAATGTGCATTGTTGGTGACACCGTCTCGATTCTTACGCAACTTGTCGAGTCGTATCTGGAACACAGGGAATGGCTCACCAGATGCCATTGCCTTCTCTGTGGACCGATCAGGCATCTTAATCGCTGGAGCTGGGATCTATGGAGGTGTGGGTACATATGACTTTGAACTGGAACTTCTTGCTGAGGATGTGAGGAATCACTCTCCAACTTTCCTGCATGAAACAATGAATCTGTTTGTTGTTAACTTAATCTTGAACACTGAATAGTCTCAAGGATCCGTTGAAGCTCATGGCCAACGATGGAAGAGTCTTGAGGTTGTTCGAGGTACCTACAGCACTGATGATCAAGTTGGGGACATTGCAGATATTAGGTTCCAGAACCCTGTCCTCATAAAGGTAAGTCAAAGTCTCTTCAAAGAGTCATTCTCCTGAAGAATAATCTAGTATCAAGAGTTGTTGATATCTGGAATTTTGTTAAATTTTTTGTCATCATGAAACTATTTTCCAAAAGAGTAATGCAATTTTAGCCATCTATTGAATTGTCTCAATATTGCTGGTTTTGGCATCTTGCCTACACAAAGAACTAAGTTGCTATTATATTACTAAGGGGGGGGGGGTCAATCAAATGGGTCATTTTCGGTCTCCTTTTTAAAAATATTCCTTACAGGTATATCAGCACTTGACTGGTATTGCCGAATGCCTGAAAGTGGAAGAGAGTAAGGATGAGGGGTTTAATTTGACATTTTTGTGATCAGTGGAATGAAATAACATGCAGGAGTGAGTTTCATAGGGATCTTGCTTCATGAAGGGAAGTATGACTCATCCACTCCTAGATTGCCAGGATTGAATGAATGAATTCATTTGCAGAGAGTGATTTTCATACCTTTTTTTAAGTTTTGGAAGTAAGGAGAACGTCATAGATCTCTTTGCTAGAAGGTGAAAAGAAAAAATGATAGAACTTGAGAGTAGTGCAATGAGAATGCAGTTAGAGAGGATAGATGTCCCATATATCCTTTTTGATATCAAATACCCTGAGGAAGTGGGGTTGAATCTTATTGAGAAGCTAGAGTGGATGCTTGTAACACTTGCCCAAAAGTGGATTAACAAGCTCTGTTATGGAGTTTAGTACAACTGGGTAGCTGAAACTGAGAAAGAAGTTTAGAAAGTCACAAAGTGGCTTCAGGAGCAGGACACATACTTCTATCGGCAGGGCTTCAACGAGCAGATCGTCCGTTATGACAAGTGTCTCAATAAGTCTGGTGACTACTTTGAAAAATAATAAACGTATGTGAGGACATTTCCTGTATCTTGTATTCAATGTAATTACCTGCCCTCCGAATAAATTAAATAGGGAACCTTACTTTCTGACTTACTTTAACCCAGAGGTTTTCCCATGTATTTCCTATGGGTTTCATCCCAGGCAAAAATAGCCTGAGTTTAGCTCTACATTCATTCACCATGATTTTTTTATTGCTAGTGGTACTGGGTATTGAAGCAAAAATACAAATTTTCATTAATTATTGCAAAGTTGTTTATTTCAGGCATGAATGTTGCAATCACAAATCTGCTCAGACTTTGCTCATGTTATATGTTGGAAATGTCTAGGTTTTAATTTGAAAAATATACTCATAATGGGGCTCATTGAAATTTTTCAGCAAGCAAAGCAATTCTTTCTCCCATGGATTAATCTACAATTCTCAAAAGATATAATACTCTAATAAGGATCATCACCCTGAGTATTAACTCAATATACCCCTCTGATGAGTCCCTTCATTGGACCAAGGAGAACAATGAAGTGACATAAGTTAAATAACCATAAGTACAATGAATTTTCAGAGCTGAATTGTGCTACATTTGCAGAAATTCTTGAAATTTTAAATCATAAATTCATGAACAATTCCTGGAATCATTGAGAGGTGAATGCTTTTTGGGAAGTAGATTGTGAAAAAAAAATTGCCCAATCCCAGATGCAATGTAGAGCTGTAGATTGTGAAACTTAACCCTTTGGCTGTTTGCCCAAGTATATACTCGGGCTTATGCAGTGGTAGCATGGGTCTATTTATGCATGTAACTGCTATCTTCAATAGTTATCATGATATGAAACTATCTTACATGAACTATTGCTTTTAAACAAGTAGTGCCAATTTTTATGTGAAGACGTATCAGCCATCCCCCGTGTTATAACAGTCAAAGGGTTAAATAGGCTGACTCCTGATATTTATTACTTTTATCTAATTTGACCATGATGAACAGTTTTTGTCTTCCCAGGATCGGGCTTGGTATGCTTTGAGGCTGAGGAATCATGGAGGAAGAACATGTAGTGGCGATGGTGGCTTGAGTAACGTGAAGGGACCTGATGGGACCACCTTTACCTTCACCTCTTGCTCATTGAGTTTGAATGGGACTATGCACACCCGAGGACAGTTGCCTCGCTTACTGTATTTTAGGTGCTGTTTGATGTGTAACTGTTCTTGCTTTGCATGCTACATGCATTGGTGGATGCCTTCTTATAAAGAGATGTTTCTGCTCTGATTCAGTGCAAAGCCTGAGCAGCCACCAAAAGTGGACCAGAATGCTCAGGTGGAGCTACAGGGAAAGCAAATGGCATTTCGTATAGCTACATCAACATTCAGAAATGCATGCAGACTTCTGGATGCTGTGAACAAGGAAGAGAATCCCAGAATGCCAGAATCCATGAGTCTTCTCTCCACCTCTCCCTTCATCAAGAGCCTATTACCAATGGTCATAAGCCATATTTCAAGTCTACCAGATACAGATGCCAAGGTAAATGACAGTCATGTCCACTTGGAAAGTAAGATGCACATTCATTTCCTTTCATGTGAATGGATTCATTCCAATCAGCTGGCAGTTCAGATCATTGGGCTAGTTCAGGAGCTCTTGCCCATTGTATCTCAACTCAACCAACGTTGGCCTGAGCAGATTCAGTCAAGTGATATATCTGCTCCAAAAGATCTCACAACTTCACCATACTATGCAGTGGTGGAAAGTGAACATCCATACAAAGCAGCATCTGTATCCTTCTTTCGGTGTGTTCTTGCTGCTTTCATGGCATTTCTAAACTGACTATAATTTTAAAACCTATTGATATTGTTCTTATCTTCCTATAGGCTTACCTTCCCTGCATCTGTCAAATGGATGTGCATAGACTTTGATTCACGCTCTGAAACAGCACAATCTGAAGACACCCTCCAGGTCTTCCTGAGCAGACATGACCAAGATTTAGATATTATATGTCAAGCTGAAATCAAGTCCATTCCTTATCATGCCCTCTCAGACAACTGTCCAGTCTCCTTGAGAAGTCATGGTAAAGAATTAAATATCGTTTCTCAAGCTGAAAATGAATCCATTCCATCTCACTTCATCCCAGCTCTACCCAAGTGTAGTGGTTCTTCTGGATGGCCTGCTCATGCAGTTGTTCTCCCTGGTAAATGATACCTGTTCACCATAAAGAGAATGTTTATTTTCTGTAAAGAGATCTGGAAATAAAAAACCATCACTTTGAATTCTATTTTTTAAATAGGAAATGAGCTGATCTACTCTCTGGAAACTGCCTCTAACTATGTGAAGGAAGAAGGAGGTGCGTATGGTTTTTCTTGTGTTGCTGTTGGCCATGAATGGACACCTTCAGGAGTTGTTGGAGATGCTCTTCAAACATTGGAGAAGGAACTTGCATATCTTGGCAGCAAGGCTGCTGGGGCACTACTCAAGCCATCTCTTTCTCTTGCTTCAGGTATATTGATTTCTATCTGTCTTTACTGATGGTTACTGTTGTGGCAATACTTAGATTCAAGTGATTCTCATCCTTTGCATAGCTGAATCTGGAGATGATGAGGCAAGAGAGGGAGCTCAAAAGTTGTTTGAACTTTACCATCCACTTTTAAAGAGAGGGTTCTCTCTCACACACCCCCTCACCATCACTCAAGCTCTTGAGGGCATTTTCCCCTTTAGGTGAGCTTCTCACTGGTCCTTTTGTCTCTGTATCACTATATCCATGATCTACGCTGTGGTCTGCAACTTTCATCTATACCAAGTTGATGCAGGTGGTCATTATTGATGGGATTTGTAGATTCACTCACAATATTAAGTTCTGTCTCTTGGTAAGTTCGAGTTTCAGGGAAGGCAAAAATCCATCTTGGAGTTGCAGGCTCCTCTTCAAGACTCTTTGAGATAGTTTCCACAATTTTTCTTTGATTCATATGATACCTCCACACTATCACCACCAGGACTATAATGGTGATGAGAAGAGCAACTGTCACTGTTGGGATGAGATAGATAAGAAGTTTTTCTTCATCTCTCATCATGGGGAGACACACTTCATGTTCATAGTCAAGGATTTTATTGTATTTATCCTTACTACGAAGGCAGTAACTTGTGTGATAGAGCCGGCCAAAAAAGTGATAGTAAGGAGACTCGTCTTGTAGGAGTGACTTGTTTGAATCACTTGCTTGAAAGAGTGAGGATAAATAAGTGTTGTAATCACAATCACAAGGTGTGTAGAAGCGGGTTTCATCAACTTGAGCTGCTTCAATGTTTTGTAAAAGTAGTGCTCCTTTCTCAAACCTTTCAATAGTGTTGTTTGCAAAGGAAAATGTATATTTGTTATATTTCTCACCATTCTCATTAGGCTTGATTTTGTAGAAAGCCTCTTGGTCAAGCAAATCAAATTTATTTTCTTGTATCCGGACCACCAGCCTTGGAGTGGCAACAATGAAGTGCTTGGATAAGTTCTTAAAGCTATTTTCAAATATATGGATGGCTTGAAGAGTGTTGCCTTCTAGCATAAATGCTTCTGGATGAATCTTGTCAATCTTGTTCTTAATGAGATCCAGTTCATTTATCTCACATTCTTGAAATGAGTGTAGGTAGAATTCGCTGACCAAGCTGTTGGAGAAGATGACTTTTGATGATGTCAGTTGATAAAAGGCCTGAGTCTTTGCAATTCTGATGTCACTATTATTGAAATGAAGTATTTGCATTCTTCCCATGAATGCCTTCTCCTCTATCTTCCGAATGACACAGTCAGAAAATGTGATGTTGGCATATGTATCATTCTGGTTGAAGGTATCCTTTGAAATGACAGCAATTGTTGTGTTTAGTATGTTTATGGATATCCCTCCAGATGGTGGAATATTGAAGGATCCAGAATTCAGGGTCAGTTCATGGAGGCTATGCATGCAGATTTCCTTTAGATCCTGAGTATGCTGAAATGCACCTGACCGAATATGTGTTTGACAGCCACGAATCATCAGTTTCGTAGTGTTGGCAGTCAGAACCACTTGCTCTGTATTCAGTATAACTACCTGCATTCATTCACCAAAAAAAAAAAATGGTATGATATGGTATGTAAAGATCAATACTTGGTATTACAACTCAAAGGAGTAGAATAACTTCTCCCTCACCTGCTGTGTAGAGTTGCATATGCATTCAACACTGGTTCCATCATGCTTACAAGGTGAAGCATAGGAAATGAGGAGCAATTGTGCAAAAAATAACAAAATATCAAGTCTAATATGAACCACATGCCTGAGCATTTTGCATTGTGTCACCATGCAGTATCCCATAGGAGGGAAGTATTTCAGGCCAAAGAGATTGTGATTCACACTTGGGGCTTTCAAGAAGGAAGTTCTTATCATTACTCACTTCCTTATTATCTGCGAGTTCTTACTGACTGCCTATTGTCCCCATACGAATGAGCAAATATGGGATTCTCTTATACAGGGTGTCCCAAAAGGTATGGAAACATTTCAAAAAGTAATATCTCTCTAAATTATGCCTCAAATAAAATGATTACAATAGTAAAATGAAGTGCAACTCAAACATTTTTCGACCTACTACAGTATTGTAATTCCACACGGGCACCATTTGTGATTCTGCAGATGTCTAAGCGATGTTTGAACTCTTACCACACCTTTTGCAGAGTGGTAGGCATAACTATCAGGATAGCTCAGACGATTTTGTACTTTGGATCTTGATCAATTATATACTTTTCTCCAGTAGGCGATGACCTTGACATAGACCACAAGAAAAAGTCCTTTGGATCTTGATTGATTATCTACTTTTCTCCAGTAAACAATGCCCTTGACATAGCCCACAAGAAAAAGTCCTCTAGTGTTAGTTCAGGTGATCTTGGTGGCCATGGAATGAACCTGCTTTATCCAATCTGGGTTTTTTTCAATGCCTTAGCTTGCTAAAATGTGGAGTTGCAACATCTTTGAAAATTACACTTTTATTATGCCTGAACCCTTCCCTCTTGGATTTATTTTTCTTGTGGTGCTATGTCAAGGACATTGTCAACTTTTCTTGAGTAAGCAATCTCCAATCTGTTGCTGCTATCCAGGCAGTTATGCATGACTTTCTGAGTAAGTTGTGGTAAGAGCTTGAACATTGTTTGGATGTCTATAGTGCCACAAATAGTGCCCTCGTGGAATTGCAATAACAGGTTGAAAAATGTTTGAGTTGCATTTCATTTTACTGTTTTCATCATTTTATTTGAGACATTACTTAGTGAGATATTAATTTTTGAAATGTTTCCATACCTTTTGGGACACCCTGTATTGAGTGGTTAGGACTCACACATTTGAACATAAGGGATTGCTAAATCCTGGATTTTAAATAATATTTCCTGATCTACCTTTGCAAACCATTAAACTTTCCTTACATATATGCTACTTGACAAAGGTTTGCATTTCCAAGCCCTTTTCATTCTGTTCCATTATATATTTTTTTGATGTCCTCCATGTCTTTAAGAAAAAAAAAAAACACCACCTCAGCCATTTCCCCCTCCCTCCATGTTCCTTTTTCCCTTATCTATGGCTTCATCTTGTCACTCATCTATATCTCACTGCATTTTCCTCAGTTTTGGACCAGATGTATTCATAGCCTTGAATGAAAGTCCATCATTTATATCTAATATCAAAGATATAACTCATGGAATACCCTGTAGGGTATTCCATAAAAAGTGAGTTATTATCTTTGAGATCCTTGCATAGTTAATTTTTTGAGGGTCTCTTGAATCAGCTTATTGAATGACCTAAGCTGATGGTTAATTCCATTGGATGTGGTCAAGTAAGTTTGGTAGGGAGTAAAGTGCACTAAGTTTACCCAATATAATAAATGGTCTTGGCTTTTGGAGAAATACATGAATCTAATGATCCTACTGTTTCTCATTTCAGCCAGAGATTCATTGATCTAAAACACAATGTAAATCTCAACCAGTGAAAGTTGGCTGACTTTCAGATAGTAATAAAAGTTGCTGGAAGGAATTTCTAATCATATCAACTAATTTTACCCATGCATGCAGCCTCTGGCCTATTGTGGACACCTGCAATTTTGTGAATACACCTTGCCAAATACATGGAAGACTTTGTATGTTTAGATTGAAATATAAACAAGACAGTAAACTTTGATGCTAGAGGTACTTAGTAGCATCATGCACAGAAACATGGTTAACCATGTTTCTAAAGTTCATTTATTTTACTTCTCTGAGATGACTACTTAATGAAACCAGGAGACTCAGCCTACCTCACAATGTTAGCTATTGTGTCATTTGTTCAAATTCATTTTCTTGAGTCAATTTCTGAGGTAATCCAAAGGTGTGAGTTTTACTGCCTTCTGAATTGTCTTTTTTTGTGATAGTCATTCAAATTTCCTGAAAAGGAATAATCAATGTGAGTCACTTCTCAAGTCAAAAGGTCTATAAAATTTACTGTCTTAACTCTTTTCATATATGCAAGGCTGCAGTTTTAGGTGTATCAGTTTCCTTAGCAGTTTCAGTTCTGGAAATCTGAATGCATTAGTGACTTTACCTGTGATATTATGAGTGTGGACCTTGAAGTGTTTAGAATGAGATTTTTTGTCTTTTTGAAACTATTGCAGTCAATTGTTCTCAGAAATGTTCTCCTCACCCCATTGTCATGCATTAATGAATTTTTTATTATCTGTAACTCTAATTCTCACTTGGACTTGGAAGCCAAAAGCCATGAATTTGAAGAGTTGTAATTCTCATTTCATTCCTGTTTTCTTCTGTATTTATTTGTTTTGCTGTGATTGAAAAAATGTGATGTTTTTTGCTTGTCTTGCTGAAGGGGACTGTCCATTTGATTTGGCAAATTCCCTTGGAATACAAGTGACAGAAAGATGTCATTCACCAAAACCAATGGTTGCCAATCTTATTCACAGAATGACCCATATTTTGTTTGTTCAAGCTTCTGCAATTTATAAGAAATTTATATATTTGGTGGCTGATGGAAAAGAATAGAGGTGAAATTATACCAAGTATGGCAAAAATAAAACATGCTACTTGCATTCTGTGCCCAAGGCAATGCAATCCAAAACTTCACATCAACCTAGGAGCAGATTGCAACCCATAGTTTGGACTACCTTAATCAAAATTAATGCCATACAAGGTTGTAATTTATCACCAGTACTCAATGTTTTCTTTGGCACACTATGTAGTCTTTGCATGTACACCTGTAAGTGAATGTTTTTCATGATGCATCTGCATTATTTCTTCACATATGCTATGTCTCTGGTCATGTTAGTTTTCAGAGCACTGCTGGACTATTCTTGCGTGATTTCATTGGAGGATGTGGAGGGACATCTGGTGGACGTCTTGCAAGGTGGCTTCAACCAGAGTCTTACGTGGATCCTCGACTTTGTCAGGTGTTATACAGCAGAGATGATATTTGTTGTGGCTGGCCTGCTATCATCACTGTTCTCTCCAAAGATCAGTATGGAAATGTTGTGCATGCTCCTGGACTGAAGGTAAGTACCATTTATTGCACTGTAAATCATATATCTTAAAATTTAATTGCAATACTTGATTTTCTATGGCCTACTTCTATCACTCCTAGGTGGAAGTGAAAGCCATGCCTATAGAAAGGGACTCTGAAAGTGCAGCACACAAAGTGAGGAAGATCAGTACACATCAAGAAGAGCATTCATTTTTCCTGACCAGTCTCTGTCACGCTCTTAGCACAGCATATCATGTGACTATCAAGGACAAGCTTCGTTACCATGCCATCACTGTCATGGAGGTAGTGTAACCAAACATTCATCTCCAGGTGCAATTTATTGGGCTCCCTGTCATGTTGGGGCTGTTGTCTTCTTAGGAATTTGAGAATTGGAGCTTTGAAGAGTTGAGGTATTTGGCCCCTCCTAAGAAGCGTCCTTGTGAGAATCTTTTGGTCCGATCAAATGGGGATGGAACTTATAGTGCTAACTGGACTCCAGGTAGTGTGGGGTGGTACTCTGTACAAGTCACAGTCGATGGCTACAGTCTGGATGGTGTGAGTGCTCCACATCAGTTTCTATTTCACCTTTACTCATGTCACTGTTGATAAGTCTTGATATAAAAGAATGGGATTCTCTTAGAATTACAAAGTTGAAGTCAAGGAGCCACCCCAATCCCCAGTCCTTTCGAGTGTGATCTCAGCTCTCCCAAAGCCAGTACATGACCAAACATCAAAGCTGAGACGTTTCCTTGGAAAGTACAGTGCTGGACTGCGCATACGAGCTCACCCATCTCTCCAGAGTGAACAGATTGGACTTGTTCAAGTGGAGGGAACCATTTCCTTCACATGTGAAGTAAGTGCTCTGAATTGCTTATTTATTCAAGTAAGTCATTATTATTCTCATGTTTTATCCAAGTGACACAGGAATTATCAACTTTCAAGAGGGATTGTATATACAGGGTGTAACAAAAGTCAGGAATCATAGGGAAATAACATGGGGATCATTTCCAGCCTAGATTGTCTGAAACTTACAAGCTAATCTGAGTTGATTCTGAAACTCCTGAGTTTCCTTAATCTCAAAGTCTGGTTCAAGTGGCCCAAAATGATAGTGGGTGACCCATGGTGACCGAAAGTGGCCTAAATTGTCAAATTGACGGAATATGGGCCTAATTATCTGAGAGTGATATAATTTTAAAAAAATTGAAACAATGACCAAATTCAACACAGAATGGCACATTGCAACCCACAATGACCCTTTTGACTCATTTTGACCAATGGTGACCTTCCCTGAATCTCACTATTTAATAGTAGCCAGGGTTGACCAATAGAGATTCAAGGTGACCCATGGCAATCAAAAGCGACCTAACTTGGTCACCCCTCTTAAATTTTAGTAAACTTGCATCGCCTTTGGAAAATGAGGCCCAAGTTGGATCAATTGGATAATTTAGGTAAATTTGGGTCACCTGCAGTCACTCTGGATCAAATTTAGTCACTCTATCTCAATTTTAGCATTCTTCAGTCACTCTAGAATAATTCGGCCCTGAGTTGGGTCAATCGAACAGTGCAATTCTGGAGGTGCTGGGAGGCACCTCCAGAAAGCTTATCAAGAGATAATATTGAGATAATATTTTATGACCTCCCCCTTCACCCCCCACCATAAAAAGGATGGTAGATGGGGGTTGCAAAATTTTTTGGCATCAGTCTTAAGTGTGGCCCAACTAACTATACAGGCATAGGTTGCTGTTCAAGGTCTTATAGCCTTAATGACCTTGAAAATTTTGGTTCAAGATCTAAATTAAATCTTTAGAACTTTAGCTTAATGCAAGGTCTATCATGGTCTTGGCCAATAGTCTGCATCAAAGCATCAAATTATTCTCAGTCTGTAATCAAGGGCAAGTAAACTTACTTTGATTATGCCTAAAAAAATTGATCTAGCTATGAAGAACTTCCTTGAGCAAGGCAGAGGCTTTTTTTTATGACAGGAACAGGAATAAATACTTCTACCAGAAACCAAGAAACTTCAGTTCTGGACACTATCTGCTGTATTCTTCATTATTCAGAGCAGTGGTTCTCAACTAGTGGGTCATGATGGTCTTTTTAGGTGGGCCACAAGAGAATGAAATTAATTTAAATAAAATTGAAAAAATTGGTGGGGGGTTAGAAAAGACAGAGATCAATCATAAGCGCCAAACTGAACTACAGAGCAGTATTACATGAGCTAAACTTTCCAGGAATGACCTAATCTTCTCATCCAGATTAGAAAGCAGCACAGGGAGAAGGCTTCCTGGCAAGCAATTCCAAGTAGAGCAAACAGCTATACATTTTCTTTTTAATAAATCTTGCTCTTAACCTTCATCTCCAGTCAACTCCTTGTCAGTTCCAGCATTCTCTCTGGTTCTTCATTACTGTGGTGATGCTTTTGTTGTGGGCAGAATCAAAAGTTTATATTCTCAATTTTGTTTCTCTGCCATCTGAACTGATACATTTCTTCTTTTTTTTGGAAGGGGAGGTTAATGAATCTCATCACATCTATAATTTCCCATAGTTACTTATTTAGGTTCAATAATGAAATGCAGATGTAACATTTCCTAAGGAAACCAAGTGAAAGCGCTGGTACTAATGGGTGGTGAAGTCACTGGGACAGAATTAGGCTTTCCTCCAAACAAATAGTAAAAAAACTAGCTCCAATCTGAAAGCATAATGATTCATACCTTCAGTATGGTTTCATAGTGTCAACAAGTATGGAACCAGAATGCATAGTTTGTGGTGAACTGCTTCCCAATGCATCCATGAATGAAGCTTCCAAATTTGAAGTGGCAATTAGATCTACATCCATCACTAGCAAAGAAGCCGAGTTCTTTCAGAGAAAGCTAAAAGAGGTAAAATAGCAAAAGAATAATGAAGGAATCAGCTATTCCAAGAGGAATATATTCAAAACATAATTTCCATGCTTTAAGAATTCAATGAATGCTTTTCACATCACATGACTACATTATTTTTGGATGTTTTTGCATTTGTGGGTCACATAAGTATGGAAAGAGGGCTTGATGGATCGCAACATCAAAAAGGTTACGAACCACTGATTCAGAGTACTTCTTTAGCTGACTTGTCACAGAATTTGCCTCTCAAACATGACTGATAACTGTTTTATTTTCAAACTCATGCATTCTTTATGGTAAAGTCTATCTTAGTGATGAGATGTTATCAGCATCTCATTGCTAAGATGGTCAACATGGTCATTTATGATCATATACAGTCATAAGGCCTAGCCTCTTGTTGGGCTCATTGACCATTATTGTCTGTAAATGGCCATAAATGACCATGTTGACCTGTTAACTTCCCATGCCTAGTCTATAACTTGTGAGTAATGACACAAATGAAGCAAAAACTGTTCAGGAAAAAGACAAAAGTTGGCCTTATTGTCCATAATTGACCAGTCAATAACCCATCCCTTGACATGGCAGTGGCAAATAATTATTTACCTTCTTTATCCACCATGATGTGGAAAATAGTACTACAGATATTTATCAATACATATCACTAGAAAGGGCACTTTGTTCTTCTTGCTGTTCCATCAGTAATCAGCATAAACATAAACCACAGCTCTGAAAGCAGCTAGACAATTAGGGTAGCTCCAAAGTAATGCAGCCAATTCATCTATGAAAACAGCAACTTGCATCCCACACCTTATGAAAGTTCACACACCTAACGCAATGCATCAATTAGTTCTATTGGCTATCATTCAGTAAAAAATACCATGACCACATAATGCTAGAACCACAACTCGAGCGGTTAGTCTGAACTGGAATGCCATCCCTGTGCATCTTATTGGCTGGGCAGTAAGAGAGGAGAAAATTGTTTCCAGCAACATTTTACAAGGGAAGTGGAAAACTTATATTTGAAAAGGTTGAACAATACAGCCATGACAAAAGTTGTAGTGAAAGCACACAGTTGCATGAACAGATAGCTTCCACAACATTTCAAGCTGAATGCTCATTGCTTTAACCAGTTCCTTTTGACTCAGTGATCTCTTGTGTTTGGTGGGAAACGTTCTTCCCTTTTCTTCACAATAAGAGAGAACTTGGGGAGTACCATTTCTTTCCATGACCCTGTAGAATTTGCTGTGACCTCTGTTGTGATTACTACAGCTTCAGAATGATGATGGCATATGGGTCCGACTGAGTGCAGATAGCATCCAAGTGCACTGCAAAACAAGCTATCCTGAAGCCTGGTGTCTCCAGTACAATCAGCAGTTGGGCAAGACTTTGCTTGTTCCTGTAGAAGAGCCAAAGACCATCTTGGATGAGATAATCACGAAAAGGATCTCTGCAAAGCAAGTTTTGTTAGTCAGCACTTTCCCTGTCTTGTTTTTATGTACTCTCATCCAAAAGGCTCATAGCACATTTTCATGGTTGAATGTCTGTACCCTGTTAGTACCTCACAGCATATAGGTGGATACTGTCTAATAAATTATTCTTTGCAGAGCTACATCAGTCTACATGCATTGAGCCAAAACTGTGAAATTTCCTTATGGATTCATCCAATCTTTTCTTTGCTTGTGTGCCTGAGAACATGGTACATTTTATGTTGTTTGTATATCAATCTATTTTCTGTATCAACTAAATTGGATTAGAAAAGGAAAAGCTCAGTCACCTTTGTGTCTGGTATTTACAATTCTTTCACACAATTTTACAGCTTGACCACAATGAAGCCTAGGTTTTTCATTGACATACTCAAGGTAGCCAAGGTCCCTCCATCAACCTCTCTTCACCTGTCCTCCCCCCAATTTGAATGCAGAATAGGTCTTATCACCTAGGCATAAGCATCTGGACTTTACAACACCAAGCAAAATAAAGTGTACAGCTTCAGACTTCACTCCCCCCCTTCTTGTCAGTGAAGACAACATTTTTGTGATTTCATGTTCTGAACTCAATGAAAACCATAAATGTTGTACATCCTTACTTTTTAACACCTTGCAATTTAGCAGGGTCTTCCCTCCCAGCTGCCACATAGCTACTGGAACCCAAGGATGAAGTAGAATCATCTCACACAGGGAGGGTTAGCTGGTGTTCCAGACTCAGGGAGCAATCATGGGCCCATAGTCTTTTGCTTGATACCCCATCATATTGTATCATACAAAAGGGTGAATCCAAAAGTTTCCACCCTGACATATAGGGAATGATCAGAGACATACCAAATTTGGTGGGCACCTGGCTTACTTCTCTAAATAATCACTGGACACTGCAATACATTTCTCCCATTGATCTTGTAATTTTTTAAGGCCATTTGAAAAGTGAAGCTCCTGTCCATTTATCCAAGCATGAACTTCATCCATGACTTTGTATTCAGACCAAGAATGCTTTCCTTGTAATGCTTCCTCCAGCAGAATGCAGAGGTGAAAGTCCAAAGGCAGTAGATTGGGCAAATAAGGCAGGTAGGGCAGGATTTCAAAACCTCACTCCTCTGCTGTTGAAGTTGCATCTATGGAGCAGTGGGTCAGAGTGTTGTCATCCTGCAACAGAAGGATGTCATTGTCCAACTTTCCTGGCTGTTTCTCAGGAGAGCATCTTTCATTTGCAGTAGGAGGCTTGTGTAATATTCTCCCATTATTTTTTTTAACCCTTTTCTAGAAAATCCACCTAGATCACACTGCATAAAAAAAAAATGGATGACATGACCTTTCCAGCTGACTGTGTTGTTTGGAAATTGTTGGGAGTTGGGGACTCTGGTTGCTTCCATTGCAAACTTTGTCATTTTGATTCTGGGTCAAATTGATGAATCTAGTTTTGGCACAAAGTTCTGTGGGTTGGCTTGAAATTGTCTCAGCAATTATTCAGAAATCTGAAGTCAACACTTTTTGCTCAGGTGTCAGCATCTTGGTACCCATCTGGTAGAAACCTTTTTCAGTCTCAGTGCAACTGTCAGTATGGCATAAGCACTACTGTAACTGATCTTCAGTGTTTCTGCAACATGCTTCACAGTCACTGAGCACCAGAGCTTCTGCCTTTTCTATGTTCTCCAGTGTCATTGATGTTGGTTGTCCTGAACAAAGTTCATTATCTGTTATTCTCCCACATACAAATGTGGGAGAATAACAGATACACTAGTACAACAGTGTATCTGTTACAATCTGTTACAAACAGATACAACAGTGGGTGAACAACGTTCACCCACTGTTTCACAGTGCTGTATGACATTACACTATCACCTAACGGACTCACAAGCTCAGCATGAATGTCCTTTGTTGACAAGTCCTTCAAAAACAAAAATTTCATCACACTACTCTGTTCCTTCTTTTCCATCATCCTCTGATGTTCACACATTGAGGGTTCCACAGATACCTGCAAAATCAAAAAAAAAAAGTTAGACTCTTGAAACTTTGTATACCCTGTTATGTTCAACATTGTGTCCACCAAATTTGGCATTTCTCTGACCATCCCTTATATGTCAGACTGGAAACTTTTTGATTCACTCTTGTACTTCTTATTTATCAAGTTCCATCAGACACATCAGAAAAAATGTCAAGCTTTCCTTGGTATGATATATGAAACTTGCACCAATAAACCATATCATTCCAGAGAACTAGCATTGAAAGTTAGTCATTCATTTTGAATCATCCAGTTGTTTGAAACCAAAATTTTCATGCCTTATTCTATAATTCCTCATGATTCTATGTTGGACAATGATCGTTATGTATATGAAGTCGAATTTTAAATAAAATATACATATTTGCTGTGAGATGCAATGAGCTTGCAATCGCATATCATAGATTAGATGCATATTTCTTCATGCACAATGCTCCAAGTGCTAATTAATTCAATAAGAGTTGCTAGATATTCTTTGGAGTTATATCACTGGAAGTGACCTCTATCAATTTCAGAAAAGGGGTCCCTTCTCCTTCAAGGGCAGTGTGTTTATATACAGTAGTGAATTGTGGAATTTCTGGGCACAACATCAGGAGTGGACCATCACTCAAGTCTCCTCCCATTGGGATTCTTATCCTTGGCAACACAGTCCAAGCTTTAGCTTCAGTAAGTCACCTGTCCTCATTGGATTTCAAAGGAATTATTGAGTGTACTGTTGCTCATCCAATATCAAATTTAGGAGAGAACAGAAGAAGGAAAATGGATAAAACTAGATAATGCAAGCCAGAAGCAGTACTGCTTCACATCTGCTGGGGAAGCATGGACTCTTGTTCAAGACACTTCCAATCATGTGTTCCTAAAAATCGAACAAGGTACTATATTTTCTAATGCTTTTGCATCTTCTTGTTATTGCAGAATTACTTTCTATTTACTTTCCAATCATTTGTGACTCCATCTCTTGTTCTCTTCCAGATGAACATGCAGAGCAAGAGCAGAAAGGCTTTGATTTTAGTGTAGCTGCTATTAATCCCCCCATGACTGGTTTTGCTCCTCGAAGCCCCATTCATCAGCCATATGTCTTTGGAACTTCAACAGACCGTAATTGTTCATCCTCTGATGTTTTTGACCCTATGGTACCCCCAGGCTTCAATTGTGGTTCCTTTAACTTTTGACTCCAGAGAGACGTGTGAAGCCACCGCTCCTTCCAAAACCTGTCATCCAACCTAATGCACCTCAAACTTTCCATATCCAAGATGGTCATCATGGCAGAACTCAGACCTCAAAGTATGTATTTGTCTGTTTTGCAAAGTCACTGTATGTGATTGTAAATTTCAATGGAAAGAGCTCATCATACATCTACATCAAAATGAGTTCTCTTTCTTTTTTTAGGGATGCCAGAGTTGAACCTAATGTCTCCATAAAGGAACTTGTCAAACTTGTTGGAGAAAGTAGGGCAAATGGAAATGGACCAACCCCACCTGTCACTCCACCAGGTACTCCTGCACACAATAGTATTAACTCGTATATACGAGTATATGTAGGATGGCACATAGAGATGTGCTTGAAAAATTCTCTATTATCACAATCCTTTTTTATGTTCCATCTCTGGAATTCCAGGAACTCCAAAGAAAGGCTCCCGCAGCTCAAGCCCTAAAGTATCTGTTCGAAAGTCAAGCCCTGTACCTATCCCAGGTATTCAAATAGATATTGCTGTTGATATTTCTTTTCTCATTCCTTTCAATGGTAATATTACGGAGATACTTCACAGGAGTCAAAGGTGATAGTGACCCAAAGGGCAGTCCTGAAAGTCACAGTTCCAAATCTCATTCCCCCTCAGCATATGCCTCTGCAGCTATCCAGGTAGAAAATGCAGAAAACAATTTTCCATTTCTTTGCGTAGCACAAGGAAGCAGTGAGCCATCATCTTGAGTGATTCTTTTTGTTGAGTAGGAGAGTACAGGGGAAACAATGCATGAGGTGGGATCACTAGAAAGCAACACAAGTGCTCTCATCAGCAGTCTCACCCATGATCTATCTCTCAGTGGAAGTGCTAGCAGTGTCCAGCTGAGGAGTGAAAGCAGCATTCCTGGGACCTCCAAGAAAATAGTAAGTCCTATTTATAACTTTTTCCTCTCTATTATAGAATTGTTGTAGTAACAAAGCACTGGAATTCCTGAAGGAACTATTGAACGATAGCTCAAGGAGCACATCCCAGGCTGAGACACAGACAAGCCCTGAGATTGGAATGACTCAATTCAGCATAGGGAGTGGAGGGAAGAATGATTCAGATAATTTGGAGAGGCTCTCCCCAAGATTGGCTCGTCGATCCATGTCGCCTCGCTTGAAACCAAAGAGAGACCAGTCACTCTCTCCTGCCAAGTCACCTCAGATTCAGTCCAAGAAGCCATCTGGGGGAGAAAAAGAGACCATCCAGGAAGCCATGTGGCCCAGTATGGCTGAGAGTCAGAGAGCTGTGTTTGCTGCCCTCCTCTGGCATGAGGGCATTGTTCATGATGCCATGGCATGTGCATCATTCCTCAAGTTCCATCCTGATCTTCCAAAGCAGGTTTTGGCAGTGCCACTGAAGAAGGAAACGAGGCAAGAATTAAGCAAGGAGGAGAAAGCAAGATTTCGACATTCAGTTGAAGTGAGTACCTTTTCATTTGTGGGTAGTGTCTGTTGTCCTATGTGTATGTCTTTGTTCCTGAAACTGGTATCATTTACATTCAAAGGTGAGTAGCCTTGGTGCTTACTGTCATGGCCCCAATGCAAACTTGGGAAAGAGAGCACAGCCTATCACTGAAGAGGTTCATCTGGATTATGAATTGGGTGAAGATCTCCTCCCAAGCAAACTTCCACTTGTATTCAGCCAGTTGGAAGTGGAGTTGCCTCGTTCATTGAGAGATTTTGTGACTCTTTGGGAAGACACAGTGCGCCAGTTTCGTCGCATTGTTGAGCACCAGATCATCCTTCCTAGCCCATTGATCTTGTGCAAGGAGAATGAGAGACTAAAGGAAAGGTCTATGACTGGGCCTAAATACGAAGCCCAGTGGAAGGGTGTTGTCTGTGAACTCTGTGGTGTCATTCCACAGAGTTCACTAATTCATCATATGCAAGACACACATCCAGGCTGTGGCAGGGATTCTGGCAGCCGAGGGTATAATCGTGCTGGGATCTATTGCGGCAATATGGTTGGGAATTGTGGAATTGCTCTGCGGGGGGTGCATCCTGGATATCTCCTCTGTGGGAAGTGTCGAATTGAATACCTGGAGTTGAAGAAGAAAAAGAAAATGAACACCTTTGCCACTACCGCAGCGTTTGGAACAAATCCCCCTCATCAAATTATGAGGAAGAATGCCATGTTTCTTCTTGAACTTGGAAGTGCCAGCAGTTTGACTGCTCCTGGTTTAACTCCCAGGTCAGGCTTCCAAAAGTTGTTTAATGAAAGTGGGTTCACCAAAACTGACCATGAACCATTCCAGTGCCTAAAAGCATTGGGAGCTCAGAAGGAAGTATATGAATTCATGAAAGAAAAATTCCTGAGTGAAAGCTTGATATATGGTAGTCAAGAATGGCTTTATGAGAAGAGAAAGCGTGCTGATCCAGTGAGTCAGAGTTATGATGCTTTCATGTTTCTGAGCTCTTTCTGGAGTAATTGATTTTTTTTCACTAATATTTTTTACAAGGGAGAACAAAGGGATGGAAGGGAAGTTATTGGTGGTTCCCCACCAGGGAGGGAACAAGGGTGGAATCGTCAAGAAAGTGATGGTAGAGTGGTCATCACCCGCAAGCGTAATAGCTCCAGTGAAGACAGGCTTCGTATGTATTCCCTCTTATTCCACATATGATGCAAAATTCTGAAAGGTGCAAAGCAGAAATATTTATATGGTCACAAACTCCTGTTCGCAGAAGGGGATGTTTCTTTGCTTTCGGCTCCATCTCCACAGTTACAGAATTTGGCTTCATCACGTGATGGACTTTGCCGCCGTCCCCTCATGGCTTTCCTCATTCAATCACACAATCTGGAAGCTTTGGCAGCTGTCATGAAGATGTCTCTGAGAAGAGGGGCATGTCGCATCTATGCATTCCAGGTAGCCCTATCTCATTCTTGTGTAATTAAAGGAATTCTATTAATGAGTTCTATTAAGAGTTAGAGCCTACAGGTTGTAACTTATTTTTTATTTCCTAGGCCTTGACATGGATGCTACATACTGTGACTCATCCAGTGTGCATTCATGACATTCTGTGGAACTTTGTGAAAGCCTCCTCACTTGACTCACCTGCAAATATGGAACCGAGCCAAGCCAGGCTACAAAAGGATGATGTAAGCTTTTATTGCCTAAGAACTTGATGGGAGACTTCCACATGAGGCCTTAAATTTGAGGAACTTTGCAGGAGAATGAAGGAGATGGGGTTCTTTTCCATCCAATGAATGGGATAGATGTGGCTGGAGAAGCTGTGAACTCATTGCCTCAGGCATTTTATCACTTCATGCAGACCATCTCTGACCTGATGCTATTCCTGCCACCTGGATCAGCTGTGCAGAGGATGGCCATTCGGTGCTGGAGACTTCATTTCAGGCCAGAGGATCACCTATTCTTGCACAGGCTAGTTTCTCTCCTCTCTAGGTAGGTCTCTTTCCATTCCTCATTTTAAAACATACTTCAAATTTATTCTTTTACTTTTATGATTTCAGGAGTCATGTTTTCTCAAATATCAATAAGATCTTATCTGGAGGGGATGAGAAGCTGAGTAGGAACTCCAGAGCAGGGGAAAATGTAAGTAAATGGTAAATGTAGTCCTGTAATGCATTGAATGGAATCAAATGAACTTTGCTCTTCATAATCCCATCTAAATATTGATACAATACATGGTGGGCTAGGTTGGTTGCTTTTTGGAGAAACTGGAAGACCTGACAAGTTCATGTGAGTTGAAGTGCTCAAGTCGCCCAAGCATGATTGGAAGCCTCACAGATGGATCAACAGAAACCTTTTGGGAATCTGGAGAGGAAGACAAGGACAAAATAAAGCATATACTCATCACTTTGTCTCATCCCAACTACTCCATTCAAATGGTTTATGTGCATGTGGACAATGGACGAGATATAGGGGTCAGTATCCTATTTATTTGTTATCTTCTCTGTGCTGGAGCTCAATGTGATTTTGAAAATCTGTATTCTCACACAGAACAAAGTCTCTCACATTGTTATCAAGTCTGGTGTAAGCACTGATAACCTGCAGAAAGTGAGCCAACAGGAGTTAGATACTCGCTTTATTGGTTGGGTCTCTGCCTCCATTCCTGGTTAGTATGAATGCATGCCAGCTGTCTTTCTTGGCTCATATGTTAATCCAGATCTTATTATGTTTGTTTCAAATTGATTGTATACACAGATCCTGGGCATAGAATAATTAGAATAGAACTGAAGAGCTTGGACCTCACCCTGCGTGTTCGTGGGATTCGGATTCTGGGACGAGATGGACATCCTGCATTCCTTCCACCATCAAAGGCATCTTCCTATCTTCGCAAGCAGTGTGAAATGGAAGCCCTCAAAGTTTTTCGTCTTATCACCAGCCAGGTGTTGTACCTTAACTGCTGTACCTTAAAGTACCATAAATAATTGTACTTTTGGATTTCAAAATGAGAGGGAATCCTCTTTTCTAGGTGTTTGGAAAGTTGTTGTCAAAAGAGGATGAGGAGGAAGGAGGAGAGAGGGGAGAAGAAGAAGGTTCAGAGGGGGAAGAGAATGACTTAAGAGAGCACATGGTTGGCATTCTCTTCAGCCAGACCAAGCTGACAAACCTCCAGAAACAAGTTAGTTGGAACTTCCCCATGTTGATGTCCTTTGTTATTTGGCATTTACTAATTCCTTCTCTGTTGGAATAGGTATGTTCACACATTGTGCAAGCCATCCGGCAAGAGGCAGTGAAGGCACGTGAAAATTGGGAGAATGGATTGGCTTCAGGGAAAGGAGATGCCACATCTGCAAGTGACAATTACTGCTTTGAAATGCTGTCCATGGTCTTGGCTTTGAGTGGCAATGCCGTGGGGCAGATGTTCCTTGCTGAGCAAGGCTCCTTAATTGTTGATCTTCTCAGTCTGCTTCACACAAGCTCTGGGAGAGTCCAGAGACAGGTCCATTCTGCATCCATCCCCAGTTCATCATGTATGGTCCACACTTAAACCATTTCCCCTCATGCTATGGTTGTATCCATCAGGTCATCTTGCTGTTGAGAAGGGTGTTGCCTGGGGTGCCACCATCTTCATTTGCATCCTTTCTAGAGATCAAGAATCTTCCCTCTTCAGAGTTTGGAATCCTAGAAAGAGGATCTGGACAACCATTTGATGTTCATCAGTCAGTTATTCATGTCGATACAGTTGATTGGCACTATTTGCAATGAATCATTAGGATGAGCTATTATTGCTACCTTTTACTCAGGCATGGGATTCTGGATGTTCTATTGGCGTGTATCTCAAAAGCCTTGAATCTTCAAGTGAAGAGCAAATCAGATGGAGAAGTTGGTCGAGTTCACACATTCACAATGTCTCAGAAAGACTGTATTCAGTCTGACTCTCCTTGCAAAGACCGCTGGTACATGCATGGATCCTGTTCTAGAAAGTTGGCCCAAGACATCATCAGTCTATTGCAAGATATGTCCACTGTTAGTATCTGTCAGCTTCTTTAGTATTTTCTGCTTTGGACATTGTGCATTCAGGGGTTGATGACTTGCAGGGAAAGATATCTAAACCATGGGAGGAAGTGACAAAGGCTGCAGTTGCTGAGAATATCCTCAACCTCACTCACATTGATGACTCCCTGCGATCTCCTCAGACTTTGCTAGCTCTCCCAACCTGTTGGCTTGCTCTAGCATCTCTATGCATTATCCAGCAAGATCATGTTGAGAAGCTCTCCTCTGGATTGAGGAAAGATTCACTGCCAGCTAAGGTCAGCTCCTCACTCTGACATTACAAATAGTTGTACTGTTGTAAGTTTGGAAGTGCTCTGTACGGGGTTCCTTTCAGGCAACATGTGACAACCATGAGGATGGTGAGACTCTGGCTGTGATAGTATGTAATTCCTGTGGGAACCTGTGTGCTGAATGTAATCGCATCCTTCATCTTCCAAGACGAACTCATGGGCATCAGCGTCAGGTGAGGATTTGCAGATGGCATCAGTTACTTCTCAAACCTTCAACTCTTGATGATCAGGTCTTTTTTACTCTAATAGATATTCCGAGAAGAGGAAGAAGCCATTCGTGTAGATTTACATGAAGGATGTGGGAGAACAAAGCTTTACTGGCTCCTGGCTCTTGCTGATGCATCATCCCTGAAAGCTATGGTTGACCTATGGCCAGGTTCCTTGGCTCAAAAGCCTCTGGCAGGTTCCCTTAATCCTGGCATGTGTCGGTTCTGCAGTTCTCCATGTTTTCCTGGCAAGGGACTCTTGACTGGGCCACCTGTTTGCCACAGTAACGAATGCCAGGTAAGTCTGTCACCCCACTGGATTGGACAAGAGTGATTTTAGGACTAGACTTCTAAGCAGATATACCATTTGGTGGGATTTTACTTTTTAGGTATATGCAAAGGAGGCTTGTCAAAAGATATTATCATGTAGTCATCCATGTGGAGGTGTGAAAGGAGAAAAAGAATGTCTTCCATGTTTACGTGGATGTCGAGGGCATGCTTTAAAGCAGGATGCAGATGACATGTGCATGATTTGCTTCACAGAGCAGCTACAAGCTGCTCCCACCATTCAGCTCAAATGTGGTCATCTCTTTCACCTGCATTGTGCCAAGAATGTCTTGCTGAAACGTTGGCCTGGTCCTCGGATCACCTTCAACTTCACCCTGTGTCCCATTTGCAAGGTATGCATATTAGCTTCTCTTGAAGCGTTTGGCTAAAATTGTCAGGATTGGACATGAATCCTCTCTTTCATAATGATCTATGAAATGAAGATCTTTTAACTTCTCTGAACTCTAGGTGTAGGTAAACACTATAACAGATAATGAAAAACCAGTTATGTTGAAATCTTTGGCATTACCCATTAAAAAAATTTTTTTTAATTTGATATAGTACAATTTCAATTACAATAATCAATTCTGGTGTCCCCAAACAGAAAGGACACAACTCCACAGACCTTTTGCAATGTCTTTTGATAGCTCTTGAACTAGACATGATAGATATCTCAAAATCCTTCCTCAAAGACCCATTTGACCAATGGCTGAAGGGTGTGTGAAGGCTCTCTGGTCACATGTTCCTCATGGTTTTCCACATGATAGTTTTCCTATTGATCAATTCAGTTTCTTCTGAGCAGCCAGTTCATGTACATCCAGAATAGGAAAGGTTTGATATTGCCCTGTTTGTCAAAATTGGTATCAATGCAAACAATCATCTTGTTACCGACAGTTTCTCAGTTAAATTTATTCTTAAATTGTCTAGCAGTTTTCATTTTGTTCAAGCTAAGTTCAGTTCAAGCTAGTTTTTGCTGCCTATCGATAGTCAATTTCCTCTACCTTTCCAAATTGAAATCAATTGGACACAATGGGCAAGAGTGTTTTTAGATTGAATTAATTTCAAAGTGAAACCCTTAACCCTCCGAACAGCAAGCATCACAGTTGCAATGTGATGTTTGCCACATAGAGGATTGAAGGATTTCCATTTTATTTTTCAGTAAAAAGTATGTCTCAGCAAAATAATTTAAAATGTATCTAGATTGTGAATTTGCATGTGGTTTGAATGCTGCAAACTATATCCTCAATCCAATCTAGCATTCCAAAGTTCTGAACATTTGATGAAGGTTGGCAGTATTTCTTACTTAGCCTTAATGAAATGGAGACTTTTGCACATTTAAACACTGTGGTTATTTGCAGTGTAGCCCCCTCAAAACCCTTAGGGTCTACATAATTTGCCCATGGAAAGATGAAATCGTGTAAAAATGGACATACGAGGGTCGCTTGGAAAGTAATGCACATTCATTTTTTTCTCACTCTGTATTGAAGATAATTACATGAAATTAACAAGTAATGTCCATCAAGGCTTTGCGACAAACCACCTATTTTTTTGACATAATCACCATTACAGGTAATGCACTTTTCCCAACGTTTTAAAATGGCATGAATTCCATCCTGATAGAAGCTCTCACCCAAGTGACAAAGTCACCTTCAAACTGCAATCTTCACATCCTCATCATTCTGAAAGTGATGTCCCCTGTGGTCATCATTCATGGGTCCAATGAGGTTGTAGTTGAATGGCGCCAGGTTCGAAACATCAATTCGCATAGCACCCAAGTGATAATATATCGTTCAACCACTTTCTTGATGCTCTTGCCAGTGATGGGTCGTCCTGATCATGCCTTGTCTTTAACCCTCTTCTCTCCAAATGTGAAGCGACTCACCCATTGTCAGATAATGCTGTCATCAATGCAGGCATCACCATAAGGAACTTTCCAATGGCAGTGGATATCTGCAGGCTTTACACCCTCCCAGCCGAGGAATTCAATTACTGCTCTCTGCTTTTCACCCACCTGAAGTGTGGCGGCCATTTTGAACGTGTCTCCTGCTTGTGTCTCTCCCAGCAGATATTTGTCAAACTTGTGAATTTTTGGCAGGAAAGTTCATCATTTACGCAGAAAATCTTAAATCGGACCTAGCATGCATACATTTAGTTTTAAAAATTATTGTGCATTACTTTCCGAGCAACCCTCATAAAATAAGTTGTTCTTAATTAGAAATCTATGACCCTTCTGATATAAGGAAAGCCTTTTAGAACAAATTAAGTCCCATCATAAGCTTTATTGACGTCCTTGAAATAAGGAAATAAGAATTGATTTTACTTGGCTTACAGAAAGAGATAGACCATTATATGCTGGAGGAGCTGTTGGGGCCAGTAAGAGCACTGAAGAAAGATGTGAAGCGAAAAGGAATGATGCGTCTGAAGTATGAAGCCACTGCACTCTCTGAATCCATCAAGGATCCTGCTGCATATGCTATGGAACGATATGCCTACTATGTGTGCTTTAAATGCCAGAGGGTAAGTGGAAATCTTTCTTGTTTCTCTACTCATTAAAGGTCTACAGGATTTATGCTTCAAGTATTTCCAGGCCTACTATGGAGGAGAGGTAAGGTGCGAGTTGGAAGGGAGTGTGAAAGATGAGTATGACCCAAGTGAACTGGTATGTGGCGCATGCAGTGATGTTTCACGGGCTCAGATGTGTCCCAAACATGGGACAGACTTCCTTGAATACAAATGTCGCTACTGCTGCTCAGTTGCTGTCTTCTTCTGTTTTGGTACAACACATTTCTGTAATGCGTGTCATGAAGATTTTCAACGTGTTACTGCCATCCAAAGAAGTGACCTCCCCCACTGCCCAGCTGGTAATGTCTCCTTTCAGTTCTCTCAATTCAATTGCCTAGATATCAATGAACTTTAAGTTTCTGTCTCGTTTTTAAATTCAGGTCCCAAGGCCATCCAACTGGAGGGTCAAGAATGCCCACTTCATGTGGAACATCCAGCCACTGGAGAGGAATTCGCCTTGGGGTGTGGTGTCTGCAGAAATGCCCACACTTTTTAATTTGCCTTGGTTATTCTTGTGGTGGCTGTTTTTTGATCAGTTGCAGTGTGTTTCTTGTGGCAGCTTGTGATTTTTCACTATCTGTGATTTTTGAATGTCAGTACTCTGAATCTGTGTGGAAGTAAAGATATCTCATTTAGTCTAGAATATCCATCACGTTTATTTCAATGAAAAAGTATATCGAGCTTGCAATGGAGGAGAGCTCAAAGTTGATTCATACAACAGATAGAAACTGATTGAAACAAAAATAAGAGGGGTAAGAATGAGAATAATTTCTCTTTGGAATTTAGTTGCTCTCGGTTGTTCTGTTTCTCTAGATTTCAAGCCATCCTGAGATCGTTGGAAGTTCATGTAATGCTCTCTCAAGTGCTACTACTTTATAAAGACATTCATTTAGTATAGGCATATTTAAACTGCATGAGCTACATCTGATCTGATACACTGAGAGATGCATGCACACAATGCGGTCACTTCGAATCTTAGGAGCCCTCATTGAAGACCCCCAGTATAAAACTTGAACGACGCAGGGAATTACGTGTAGTATCAGAGGAGAAGAATCTGTTCATAGTGAATAGTTGAATAACATCGGGCTGGTGTAGGTAATGAAAGAAACTCATTCCCACACCCATACCCATACGTAACTGTTGGTCAGACTGCAGAACGGATCCGAGCCCTCAGCACCCTTACGTGGGACGGAGATACGGGTTCTGTCTCCTCACCTTTCCAGGAGAGACTCGCAGATTTCGGTTTTGGATTGAAAATGAGCTGCTCAGTCTCATCTGAGGCCTTGGTGCCTTCGTAGGTATCTAGTCCTGCCACGTGAATCTGTGGGAAGTGAGCCGGGTTCTCCTTAATGCTCTCTTTGTAATGCAGACGATTCTCTGCCAAGGAGGGACCCCACTGCGGCGAGGGACGTATCGTCGCGATCAAACGCTGAAAAAAAAGAGACACCATCACTTTGTCTACTTGAACATACGTGTTGGAGTGTCTGTTCGTTCACCCATTCATATTTTCTTGACTGCCAACCTAATGGGTTGCGGTTCAAGTGAGTCCAGAAGCGTCTTTCAGTGTTCCCAATCCTCAGCAACTGACTGAAGCTCACCGGGTGGGGATAACGTGCCTTTCGTGACAAAACTTCGAGACGTAGTCCCTCCACCCCGTATTAACTCTACCGACTGATACCCAACGGTAAATCTCACATGCGGCAGACGTTTCCAAACCTCCGGACAATCTCTCGATCTGGAGAAATAGCTACTCGACGTGAAGACACTTACGGATCCAGAACGACGGGTGGCTGGCCGATGCAAGAACTTCCTTTCGGTAGCTTGCACTCGCGATCTGATTCATTCTATCATTGCCCTAAGTTCGTGGATACATGAGATGGTGGGGAGACAAGCAGTTTTAAAGAGTAAGAATCGTCTCCTTAGAATTTCCGATTTGGCAACTACGGTCCGCCAGAGATTCTGCAAAATTGCTAAAACCTTTAAGGTGCGATTTCCTGTCTCATTTCCAAATGGGCAATCACGCGGAAACCAAAGCTCGGGACACTAAAACTTCTCCATTTGTTCCAGTGCCCCCCCCCCCCCCGACATGTAGTTCACCCTGCACGGGATTTCTCGGGAGAACCATAATCTGGGTTTATGGGAATGCTTAGTTTCATTCCGGCAGCAGTTCATTCGCAGTTGAACCAACTCAGCTTGCTCTGAATCTCCTGTCTAGAGTAATTCAAAGAGACAGCCTCATCGGGGAAAAGATGTATCTCTACCCCAACACCACCAATTTTCACTTTCACTGTATCTACTTGATATGTCATGTCAATGAGGTAATGTTACTATAACCGCTGCAACTCACAGCCTTGAGGGATCCTTTGGCCTTGAAAATCTGAAAGAGAGCAACAGCGGGGATGGGGACAAGTGAACAGAGAGCCATGACCCATCCTAGAATGATCGCCCACGTAGGGTATTCGTAATCATTATATGTCACGGGGGTGTGGTTCACGAACGTGAAGATCAGGAGGAACTGGTATCGAGAACATAAAAAAATGTTTCAGTCTCTTCCTGCCCTGCATGGAAGCTCCGTATAATCAACAGGCAGCAGCTTACTAGGATGCAGCCAGGGGTGATAAACTTCCAGCAAAATTTCAACCAAGCTGACGGAGGTCGACCGACCATGAGCTTCATATCCTCCGCGAAGCGATCGGCTCCTGCATGAACAACGTTGTAGGAATTCCATTTCCTTGACAGTCTGGAGTGGAAAGGGAAATGTCTCCTCACCGTAGACCCAAGCGATGACGATGGCTTCGAAGAAGGAAATGATCATGAGGGAGAAGGCGACACTGTACCAATCCATCAGCGTGAGAACGTACATCCCTCCCTAAATTTTCAAATAAATAAAAGAGAGAAGGGACGGTCCGGCAGGAAAGTTAACTACGGAAGAGAGAGAGAGCCTTACCTGCATGACGCAGGGGATGCCAAGGAGGAGGAGGACACAGCACATGAGAAACATGAAGAGACTCTTGTGAGGCCTCAGTCGTGGGAACTCGTCCACAACGGCCGATATCACACATTCGAACAACCCGAACTATCGCGGAATAATGAAAGAGAAGAAAAAGCATACATTAGACCGTGAGAATTCATTGCACGTTCCAGCTTTCGCGTGGAGTGTTCCAGCTGGGTCTTAGCCTGTAGTCTGCCTGTTGACCAACAACGTTCAGACGCGTGGAACTTAAATGTGAACCACATGGAAGAGGCTGAGAACTTGGTGAAAGGAGTATTACATCCGATAGCAGAAGAAATGGAAAATATTGCTTCGTGCACACGCGTTACTTCCCATTCAATCTCCATGCAAGTCAACACTCAAGCAGCCGGCGTGATATGACCACACACGCTGTTGTGTTTATGAAGATACTCGTGCACGAGAGCAGAAATGCAGAGGAGGAAACGGACTGGTACCCCAACTTCAACTCTGTATCTGGTTTACCACGGATTTCCTGTTATTTTTGTGCAGAGGACAAGTGTGCAAGTTAGAATTGCAACTAGAAATGCACCGAGGAGAGTAAACGGTTTTGGGCCCCTGTTCAAAATCCATAAAGTAATTGTCGCCGTAATGTTGCCGGAATGGCATGTCTGAATGCAAACGTTCTGGTTGGAAGTTTGAGCCCGAGTTCTTCGAATCGGATCGAAACAATCCTGGCCGGACCCAACATTTTTTAGTCCAGTACTCGCAAGAACCCACTCTTTTTCTGTTCATACATATGTACCTGCTGAATTGCATAGCATTAAAGCTCCCTAAAATCTTGGGGAGTCCCCGTTTGGACTTCAATGGCGGGAAAAAAAGGATGAAAAGGCTAGACACTAGACCGACGCATAATCTACCACCCTAAATACTGCAGATGAAACCGGTTGAGATTTCGAGGTTGTTTCGACAAGAATTTGATTAGCTGTAACTAATGTTGAATGTCCAACTAATAACCGTTGCATTAATCTCAACTGGTTCCAACTAAAACCTCCCTGAAGGGATTTCTTACCAAGATCTAACGAAAGATTGCTTGCTTTTCCAACTGGAACCAGTTCAAAATCCCAGTTGGAATTCTCGGTAGGGGAGGTACATGTAAAAAAAACGTACACAGGGGGAAGCGATCACAACGCAACCGTATCCACTATGAACCTTGGATGGCGAAGACAATGAGCGGAAGAAATATGAATCTCCAAGTTCGCCAGTGTTGTTATCTCTTGAATATCTACAAAGAATATCATGGAATCGTTTCTCTGCCTGTCCCTTGAGGTCAGCAGAATCGAGCCAGAGAACTTTTCACATTTTCAATCGACAATTGACTGGAATTTCAGTGAGGTGCAATGAACAATCTTCGGGATGGTGTGTTCGCAGTTGTGCTTTTATAGGCAATACCAGGAGTTCATCATCATTATCCCTCCGACTAGTTGAATCGCCTTGCTTGAGGTCGGCACGGAACGAACGAAAGAGGGGTCAGAAGGCGCCCGACAAGTTACAGATGGAAAAGAAAAACAGTACCTGGGAACCCAGACCAACGGAGAAGAGCATCGAGAAGAAGAGGAATGCCCAGAGAGGAGAGATCGGCAATCTACTCACAGCCTCTGGGTATACGATGAAGGCTAGACCCGGCCCTGATGGAATCAAGGAGTCACATATTCACCTTCATGACCTGAGAATAACGATCTCATTTTTTTCACGTTCGCTTGCAATGACCGAGGAATGACCGACCTTGAGAGACGACCTTTTCTATGGGAGAACCGGTTTCCTTGGCCATGAAGCCGATGACGGCGAAGACGATGAAGCCGGCCAAGACAGAAATGACGCAGTTGATGATGGGAACGATGAGAGCTTCTCGATTGAAATCGTGATGAAATCGATTGTAGCTGGCCATGGTCAAGAGCCCTCCCCACGCGGGACCCACGGAATAGAAGATCTGCGTCGCCGCATCTCCCCACACCTAGCCACAAAATAAATGATTTGGTGAAGATATTTGAATTTCCCTCCCTTGTTGCTACATGGTTTCTATCGTGAAGTGTATACCTTGAAATTCCGGAGTTGCTCCCATCTGGGATGAAGGTAGTAGACGATTCCATCAAAAGCACCTGGCAACGTGAGTCCTCGAACCAGGAGCATGATGAGAACGACATAAGGAAAGGTGACCGAGAAGTACACCACCTTGCATGCATAAAAAAAAATCCAATCAGAACATAGAAAATTCATGAAACACAGAAAAGTCCCTGTTAGTTGCTTGAGACCCTCATCGAGTTCGTCGTCGGTGTTTTTATTTATAGTCTCGTGCCTGAAAATTAGTGTTTCCCTGTAATTCGATAAAGATGGTACGTGAAAGAGGGATGATTGGTGTCATCTTCAGTTTTCCAAGATCTGTTTTGCAAGTTCCTCATTTTCGCACCTTCATTTGGATGTCACCTCCTACCAAAGAATCCTATCATAGAGTCATGAATGCCATCCCACCTACCTTCCCGGAAGTCTTGACTCCCTTGAAAAGGCAAGCACAAATGATTATCCAAGCCACGACGAGAGTGATCATGAGTTCCAATCGAACTTCTCCCAAGTCGTGGATTCCAGGAGACAGCTGCAGTACAAATTTCCTGTCAGAGAAGACCAAGGAGTCATTGAGTCATTCTCCCAGCATCGCGCATCACCGTCAAGCACTTCTTTCTTCCCCTCCCCTCCCCCCTCTCACTCACATCCAGAACTCTTCACTGGCAGGGACTCTCTGCATCAGCGCCAATTCACTAGCGGACGAAATGGATTCATACTTGCTTTCTTCGAAAGGCAACGTCACGTTCCCCATAAGTCCATAAGTTTCGTTACCGGCTCTGCAGGGGAAAAAAAGAAAAAGACACCGATCGTCGTTGAAAACGGAACACCATGAAGAAGCCCTCTAAGCACTCATTACCTAGTGTAACACAGTGGAAGAAGATGGATCACCAACGAAATGATTACTCTTACAGGTAAATGGCTCCACCAGATAGCATGAGGTGCACTATTACCTCAGTTCGATGCACCCACTTCAGTAGATGTATGGCCGCCTTTGGCTCCAACTGATGCTGCATGCCAACATTGAGGTGTACTGAGGGAATGGTGGACCTCACGCTCCTGATAGTGTCACTTGTCGCTTACATCGTGGTCCGCCCCTTGCCGCTTCGCAACATTTTGTATTGCTACGATGACTTCATGGCGTTGCAATTGCAATGGTGACTGGTGTAAATGAATATTTAAAAGCAACTCGATGCTTGAGTTTTCAAATGCACAGAATCAAATGCTGTGTGCCCTGAAAGACGGAGTTTGCCCCTCACCCGGAAGCGCATTGTTCGGAATTCCACCACCCACTGCAAGTAGCCCAGGGCAAAGAAGCGGAGAACGTGAGATACATGTAGTAGATGGCGTACGTGATGATCACGTTGTAGTAGATGCAAACTATGCCCGAGATCATGACCATTCCGAATCCGAGACCTGTCCCGACAGAAAATAATTCAGAATATTGAGAGCAAGTAAAAATTCTGAAATGGATTAGGAAGTTAATGAGACCAAAATATCGAGGAAGAATTTCCTTTCAATTTCCAGCCCTGATTTCACCCTCTTCATTAGGTGGAACGAAACGATCCCTGCGGTCAGGGAAGTCATCGGCCGAGATCCAAATCAGATAGTATTTCACTCAACCATTTTTTTTTTCCCGAGTACTATAGGGAGTTCTGAGGAAAGCGGACAGGCTTTTCAGTCCTTCAAATGGCTGCATTATATTAATATCATACTCGTCATAATGAGCACTTTCACGACTCGTACGTTCGTTTCTCCTTAGCATGTAACACTAAATGTACTTTTCATATATCCAGTGGCGTATTTTATGGGAGGGAGGCAACCCCTCCCCCCCTCCTCCCTCTGGCAATCAGTGAAAGCGTCTCTCTAGAGTCTCCTCATAGGGGATTTTTTTTTTTCGACCCTGAGAACCTTCTCTCATCACTTCCCGACCCGTCCCTTTCGTTTGTAATAAATCGAACGTTAATACAATGACACCTTGTTTCACATCTCTTCGTTAAACTTTACAGCCAATCGAAAGCGGGAAAAAAATTAATTAATATTTTTATTTCATAAAGAAAAAGTAAGTCGCTGAGAGTGCGCGCGGGCTGAAGGAATGGATACTTCGGAAAGTAAATTAAATTAATAAACGAAGGACTATTTGCGGTTATGCAGTGGGTTGTCGAAACTAAGATGTCGAAGTGATTTCCACCGTAATTGTAGTCATTTCTGCCGTGATGATCTCTTTGACATGTTTCAATGCACGAGGATTGCATCCGGACGTAACCGATTCCAGGGGTCCCCATGGAAAGCGATCCAACGATTTTATACGAGGGGGGATGCAAAAGTAGCGGAAAATTTGGAATAACATATGCTGTGTGACTGTTAACGGTGCTGAAACGGACGAAATAGGAAAGTCCGCACATGGGCCCCATAGTCTAAAACCCTTTTTATTATCTTATGAGCCATTGTACCTGTCTCTGTGCCGTAATACGAGTGTACACCACCGTAGAGCAGAATTGCTACTACTTTTGCACCCCCCCTTCGTATCTGGAGGAACATATCGACAAAACGGCTGCAATTACAGTCGAGATTCTGGACAACTTTGGAATGAGTTTCCACAGTGTATGATCCACTTTATAGCTGCAAATGTTCTTCAGTATGTATATTTATATATACAAGTGAATGGGAAAGAGAAGGGATGTGTGAGTGGAATGCACAGAATGTATTTTCCATCACGTGGTTACCTTTGAAAAGAGGAGAGATGGTCCAGATAGTGATGGGTCCCTGGTTGGCGAATTGACCGAAGGCCAATTCCAGCATGTAAAGGGGTGACGCACAGAGCACGAGGAAGATGAAATAGGGAATCAAGAATGCTCCTCCTCCGCTCCGGTAACAAAGGTACGGGAATCTATAAGAATCGTAGAGAAAAATTCAATGAAGGTCGAATCGGATGAAAAGGAGCGAGACGAGCCGGGTGTGCCACGCGATCTCGTACCTCCAGATGCTACCAAGCCCAACGGCAAATCCGACGCAGGAAAAGAAGAAATCCAACTTCCCGCTCCAATTTCCTCTCTCCCCGTTCTTGTCTTTAACCTGTGCCTCGCCAGCATTTTCATTGCTCGTGCTACTCGTGTCGCTTCCGTCTTCATTCGGTATGCATTCGAGTTGTATCGCTGTCGACTCGGACAGCAGCTGCTGAGCCTGAAACATTTTTTTATGCATAGCATTCAATACTATAAATAAATGCATATCTGCTTTCTGCGGTACTGTCCACGAGTCCCCCAAGTTCTTGAAGAGAACCGAGCTAACAGTTCGTGAAAGTGAAGTCCTGGTGAGACCGTGAGGGTCGTCAGTCATTGACAATGATCGCCATGTAAATCAGTACTTTTTTTGTTCGTATCGGGTGCAAAGCATTCGATACCTGATGTATACAGGATTGACTTAAGCAGTAGATTGAAACGATCTCATTTCGTTTTATCGAGTGGGATTGTCTTGAATGCGTGACTAATGGATTCCAATTTTTTCAATTCTAAAAAAGTAGGATCAGAAATGTTTGCGTTTTTCTCCCACCCACTCGGTAGTAGTTATCAGCACCCCTTGTTGTAAGCTGCGGTGGTGAATACCCACGAAACACGGCTTAGGAGGGAACTTCTTAGGATTGAGAACGTTCTGAAAAGAGTGTGGGAGGCAAATGACTCCGAACACTTCGTTCCAGAGTTTTTGTAAATGCCTCAGAACTCGATCCGCTACTCTGATATTTGCATCTTACCTGGTAATAAGTGAGGAAGCAAAGGAAAGCATGCATCGTCTTAAGGCCCAATTACACTTGGCAAGTGTTCAGTAGCACTCGCTAGCAAGTACCCAATCATAGCGCAACATTAAGGCAAGATGGAGCTCCACTAGTCCCATGACAGAAGCTGAAAAGATGAGCGCGAAGTGAATTTGGGATGAGTCCATATCAGTCACTGATCTGCCTCTTCGTGATACCATTTATGGTATCAGGAAGAGGAGGCATAATAGACAGATTTGGACGATGCCCTGGCTCTTTAAAAGATTTACTCCCCGGGGGCGCACAATTGTTTAGTACCGGACTTTAGAGACTCTAGCCCCAATCACGTAGCTGGCTTTCTTCGAATGAACGAAACAACCTTCCAGAGACTCAGAGAAGGTAGCTCTCGCAAAGTCCTGTCGTAGTGTTCCTTCAGTTGGACATTCCAAAGTAACGGTCTCTCTCTATAACAATTTATGAAGGCTCCAAAGCGTTTTTTGACGGTCGGTCTGCCATCGGCATACAAACATCGATGAAACGCTCGAACGAGTTGGTAAATTTGAGTTTGGAGACGTCGTCTCGGTATAGCTTCGAAGTCAAACACTCAAGAACGGCGAAGTGGGGCAATATAAGAAATGGAAACTGATGAAATCATCAGTGATGTCACCCCTCTTCCCACATTCCTCGGGAAGTTCGTCGCATGCCTTCTTCCTATTAGGGTAAAATCACCAATGTTCGGACAGTTAAGCCGAAATAGGATTGTAGTTCGCTCGTCAAGCCTTAATGGTACAACACAGATACTTCTTTTTTTTTGCGTCCAGTAGCATAATATAAGTAGGTATGAGTGATAAAGATGGTGACCATCGAAGCCTTATGGCTTCCAATAATTCCGATTACGTGGGTGTCCGAACTTAGATGAGAAAAAATTAAGTCCGAACAGAACGTAGTTTGGACACACCAGAAGTAAAGCGGAAATTGGCTCTTGGCACGCGTATTCCCTTGTAGCAGTGCTCGACGTTCCCCTAGTTTCCTGTGGAATAAGAATTCATCACAGATTTAACAATAACACGAGGGAAGAGCTTCTCAAGTAAGGTCGGAATTTCTCCCGTCCGCGATATGACATTCATTTCTGCCCGATATTTCGAAATTGTGCCCAACGATCGTGGCCACCGCAAGTCTTTCGCTTTGTACCATGGTCATTTTGGGATAAGAACTCTCTCTAATGTCATTTTCGCAAATGCGTATTTACTGACAATAAACGTTAGAGTCTCCGAACTTAGGTACTGTCTGAACTTTGGTGGTTTTACTCTATCTTGAAACTTTCCTCAATATTCTTAGCCACCATTTGGAGTTCCGGTTCCACATTTATTTAATGAACTCCTTCTGGGGGCTTCTTCAGGGCTGATAGTAGAACCCCCACCGACCCTTTACACGAGGGCATATGACGAGGTTTCTTATTCTACCCCTAGATTGGCGCTGCTTCCAGTATGTGCAAGGCCGTATCTAGGATTTCATTTCGGGGGGGGTTGAGGTCTGGCGTATGCGCTGTGGCTATTTTTTTTTTATACTTGTCATTGTAAGTCTTTGTGACAACTGGATTTTCCTGTAAGTTGCAGTGTTTATCCGAAATATCTTCCTTAAATTTTTGCCATACTGCTATTCGTTGGTGTAAACGGTGCAGTACTTGGTCTTTTCTACCTTTAATAGCTTATGACTTATTAAACACTGCAACTTACAGGAAAATCCAGTTGTCACAAAGACTTACAATGACAAGTATAAAAAAAAAATAGCCACAGCGCATACGCCAGACCTCAACCCCCCCCGAAATGAAATCCTAGATACGGCCCTGAGTATGTGGCGATATTGCACACTGGGAGCATGCCTTTTCAGTAGTTTTCGCACAATTGGACTTCTGATTGCAATTTTTTGTGCCTAATCTTCAGCTTCTGGATTAAGGAGATTCTTACTTTCCAATTGACTCAGCAATATCATGGTCGCTCATCGGTTGGAGAGAATGAGTCTGGGCGCGTTAGAAGTACTGATAAAACTGCTACACTTGTCTATTCTAATCTAATTGTCTAGTCTAATGTACGCAGCAATATGTGACGGAAAATGATCCTGGTAGATCTGTCTTGAGTGCGATTTATGAGATCTCCCTAGCGTAACGTGTGTCCGGGGTGTGGGGCTCGGGTACCCTCCCTGCCCCCCCTCCACTAGTCATTCCACTGTCTTAATGCTGAACTCTCTCATGCCACTTCACTCTACTGTAGGTCTCCCAAAATGGAAACTCGGAATTTTTTGTAATTGTACTCACCGAAGGTCGTGAAGGCCAAGTGTGATGTCCCAATGCGTGTAAAGAACGATCACGTAACTTGCTTGGGCTAGACACGATGTGACTGAAGATGTCTTTGTGATGTTGCGCCATTGCGTTCTGGGTTTGACCTCGAGGAGGGCACGTTCTACTTTGGCCGACCCGGAGGCGAGTATTCTTGCGAGGGTATCCCAGTCACCTCGTCAGACGAACACATGGAATCGAATATGCTTCGGTTCCAGACTCCCGAAAAGACAGGCGAGTGAGGCAGATCGATCTTTATCAGAATGCCTGCAGCTATGAAAAACCTGTGTGGTTTTTTCGCGTCAGTTGAATGTTTCTTCTCGGGTCCTCTGCTGACATGCACGGCCTTAACCCTTATCCGGGCAAGGTATTTTTGTGACACAAACGGGCAAGGCCAAACATTTTTAGAAATTTTTTCCTTAAAAGCAAATCCAAACTTTAAAAGTTCGTTTCTGAATCAATGGATGTCTATGAAACCCATGTCAAATTTGAAGAATATTTTGAAAAACTTGCAGAGAGTAATGAAATGAAATATACCCTGGGGGGGGGGTTCCAATGGACCTCCCTTGCCCGAATAAGGGTTAACCTCTCCGACCTGGCGATCTTCCACATCTAGATCGTTCGTTCCAACTGCTCTTCTAAGTGATGGCATCTTAACTAGTATCGCCAAAATTAGTTAACCTTAAACAAGAGAGATGGTTTCCTTACGTGGCAAAGTTAATGACGACTCTAAGCCAGGTTTCTCACCAGCTATAGTACATTGCCCATTTCTTGTTTCCTCCGTGATGTAACCCCCTTCAGTCAGTAACGTGTATGCCTTTCCTCTTGGGAATCTCACTTCACTCGCTACTGATATTGAAGTTCCAGTATATGGGTGGATTTTTGAACAGAGCATTATCCGATAATGCAGCTTTATTTAAGAGAAAATGCATTATAAATCCGGTAAATAAAGCAGCATTATCGGATAGTTCTCTGTTCAAAAATCTACCCTATATTTTTCGTTCCGTTTGATCATTTTTGGATGAAGAATCGAATTCATCCTTTTTCAGTTTCATCAACGTCCAGAACGTGAATCTGCAATTACATACGAGGGTCACTCATTAAGTATGAATAAGAATAAGAAAGAAACATCCGAGGGGAAAAATAACACTTTATTTTTCAATGTAGTCACCTTTTAACTCAACACACTTATTCCACTTTGATTCCAATGATTTTATCCCCTGGGAATAGAAGTCAACTTTTTGTCCATCAAACCAATCAGAAATGGCAACTTTCAGCTCTTCATTGCATGAAAATCTTTTTCCCCGCAAAATTTTTTTCAAGTGTCTGAACAGAAAATAGTCACTAGGAGCCGGATCCGGGCTGTAGGGAGGATGGTTGAGCTCCTGAAAGCCACACTCCCTCACTGCTGACTGAACTTTCCATGATTTGTGGACGGGCGCGTTGTCATGGAGAAGAAGGACTCCCCTTGACAACTTTCCTCTGCGTTTTTCCTCGAGGGCATCATGTAAATTTTTCATGGTGGTAGCATAGGAATCGCCAGTGATTGTACACTTGTCTGGCATGAACTTAAGCAGCAGTAGTCTCTAACTGTCCCAAAACACAGTGGCCATAATCTTTCCTGCAGATTTCTGAACACGAAATTTGCGAGGCGTTGGCGATCCCTTGTGCTTCCACTGCATGGACTCCTGCTTGGTTTCGGGATCCCAGTGATGAACCCAAGTGTCATCACCAGTTACTATTCTGGGAAAAAATTTTCCCTATTTGTTTAGAAAACTCCAAGTTTTCCTTGCCGATGTCAGATCTGTTCTACTTCTGAGCTGGAGTCAGCATTCTTGGGACCCATCGAGATCTGACTTTGGACATGTGTAATTTTTCATGAATGATGTGAATCACTGTGCCCTCTGGAATATACGAAAAAACGCCCACTGAAGAAATGCCCACGGAAATAATGCCCACAGACAAAACGCCCACAAGAAAAAATGCCCACGGAAAAAACGCCCATACCTGCAAAGTACGAAAAAATGCCCACGTGAATACTTTTCTGGGTTTTATAAATTTTTTATTCTGCAGAAAAGCATCTCATTTATGGCATTGCCATAAAGAGCTGCGTTGATTTTGCAGAGTTCGTTTGATGGATGCCTCTGATGGCAAAGCGCACGAGCATCGTCATCCAAATGCATCATGGCTTGCGAGTAGGTAACACCTGGCTTGTCACACGTCTTGGCCGCTCGCTGCTTCATGGAGACACATTTGTTGATCTTGATAGCTGTCGTGTCCGGAGCATGGTTATGTGCTGCTCCTGGACAGAAATTGGTGCAGTCGGAGTCCGTGAACAAAATTCCCCCACAAGTTAGGACCGCAGGGCACAGCGCCACCGGATTTTGTCGTTCTTCTGGGAGTGCTTCACATACATGAAGCCTTCGAATATAATTTTCCGTCCGCCTTTCTGGTCCGAGATGAACTCCATGGTTACTTGAAGTGAAATGAATAAGCTTAAGACACCGTATTTATATATCATCCGTTTGCAGATACTTCATCATCATCTCCTCCTCATACTTCACAGGGGGTAGGAGGAAATTGTCAATCAAGAGTTGTCAGTGTCTTGTCTAAAACAATGTTCAAAGATGTTTTTCACTTGATCATCTGTATGGAGCTTATCTTTCCGCCTTCCTCGGGATCAATACGCCCCTACCTCCAAGATAATTGTAGGCAACCGGACCTTCTCATGTCAAACGTGGCATGCCACACTTTAATTACTCCATTACTATTGAAATCGGTCCAAAGGACAGGTGAATTAGCAGCAAAATTCCACGCACCAGATCTTATCTCAAGTTACTTTTTCCTCACGTTTTCCTTAGCATTCCCGTAAAGAATACTCCTTTCGTTGATCCAACGTTAAAGTGTTCTGGAATCTTGGGAATTTTCTTCATATTCATGTTTTATTATGTTGATAGATGTGATATATTTAATGTATTCAATGGTTATATATCATGGTAGGATAATTAAACTGCATTCGTTTTTACAAATAAAAAAGAAGCCGCAAGATATATTTGAAAATACGCATGTGGCCATTTTTTCGTACTTTGCAGGTATGGGCGTTTATTCCGTGGGCATTTTTTCTTGTGGGCGTTTTTACTGTGGGCATTATTTCCGTGGGCATTTTTTCAGTGGGCGTTTTTTCGGAGCACCGCCCTCTGAAATCCCCAATTCATGAGCTAAAACAGAGACTTTGGTGCGACGATCCTCCAGTATCGCACTCTCCAATTTGTCACACATTTCCTGATCAGAAGCCTCCACAGGGCGCCCAGACCTTGGGTCATCTTCAATTGACTCTCCTCCCCACTTAAACTGCTTGCTCCAAAATGTAACTTGGTAATAAGAAGGCGAAAACACACCATAAACCTTAGACATACGTTCATGAATCTCCTTAGGTGCTTTCCCTTCTTTGGTGAGGAATTTCATCACTGAACGATGTTCAACTTTCATCAAATCCATGACACAGACTCAGGAAGAGAAATCTAATGCGCTACCACTTTGAACGGACTTGAGCCACTGAGCTGGTACAGTGGTGGGGCACTCACGAGACCTGTCGAGACATGTCACAGCAGGCACAGGCCTGTTGCTCATCCCTTTCATATTCAGGTAGATAACTTATTGAGTGGCCCTCGTATGTTACAGTAAAAGGGAAACCGGAGTCTTGGGTATGAAAAGGACTTTAGATATATAGTATTGATAGTATTACGGTGATCCGTTCCATACTTGACACTCTGAACCTGGCGCTTGCGAGTCATGGGCAACTCTTGTTGGGTATTGCTTACACGCGGTCTCAGGCAATAGTGACTTAAATTTGATTCTTACGTTAGTGAAACATTCATTGCTAATGCTCAGGCAGCCCAGGAACTAAAAAAATATGCAATGTCATCTCAGCCTTTTGTTTTACGAGCATTAGGCGACCTGATTTTACATCCTTCTGCAAGGCTTGAGTGGCGAGTTTTCCAATCGCAAAATTATGTGGGCATCAGATTTTTCTACTCTCATCATGTGGTCAATAAATGTAGATCGAATCGAATTATCTGTGGAACTTACAAGAAGGGAGCAAGGATTTTCCTTGACGACCACGAAGAACGCGAGCACGGGATAGAATCAAGTCTCGTGACCGACAGCCTTTTCCAACTTGAAAGTAGGTTGACGAAGTTTTCGGATTATGATAGTTCATCTGAATGGAATCCCAGTACCTACAGCCGGTTTTATGTCACCCGGTACAAGCAAGGGAGTACGCAGACGATGAGAAGTAAAAAACTATTCATTTGGGTCGATGGGTAAAGACGGGTGTTCTTGGTGCAGGTCGTTGAGAATGGGATTTTGAGAGTGGTAACACGCTTGCCCAGGGTTACAGTCCCTTTGGCTCCTTTCACGATCGCACCGGTCCCCTTTTCTTGTCTGTTCTTCCCCTCTCGAGGCCCTCGAGGTCCACATATCTACTGTCCAACATTGACTGTTTCCTTTCGTAAAATTACCCTAAATATATTATATTTAGGATCGAGTCCCTAGCTCGGAACCTTTGGCCCTCCTCTTCCAGTCGCCCGACATTTTTACGTTACTTACTCTGGATTATTTATTCCCATACTTTTTGGAAATAATCTATCTTTACCCCTGCATTATGCTGTGCACACGCAAGTTCAAGTTTCAAGATTTAGGCTGGGATATGAAAAGGCATTCGTGCCCATGCTGAGACGCCAAGCCCAGAACAAGCGCTGCGGCTACTCCTCTCCGTCCATACATTCACTCTTGCCTTCCTTCCATTCCGGAAACAGCAATAACTTTCAGATAAACTTTGCGAACTCGCTAGAGTCACTCGCGTCCCAGGTAACACATCTATGTGGAAACAAAATTGAAACAATGTTTCATGGCAACATTTATAATGTTGAAACAACATTGAGGTGCCACATTGATTCAATGTGAAGGTGTCATTTTTGTCAACATTGTTTCAACATTGGAATGGAATGTTGAAACAATATTGATGGCAACATTCATTCAACATTCCTCAATGAGTCCCTCGTGATTGGGTTTCTCCACGAATCAAGTAGAGGTAGTAAATTCATCAAAATGAATCGCATGACCTATGGATGATGAACTAAACATATACAAAAGGGATTAAATCCTCTTCAGTATCTATAGGTCAGTACCCACAGAGTACTGAGAAGTTTAAGAGAATGAGTCCTCTTCAGATCTGCAAACAGCACCAAAGCCTTATACGCCTAACCGGTTGGTAAAGCGAGGATAAATTCTCTCAGCTCCTCTCTTAGTAGATTTGTGAATGGATCACTTTATGTCATTTTTGTGTGTGCTCTACACGTCTCCAATCGCCTAGACTTCTATGCGCTCACACTAAACCTGGAAATTTAATTTGTTTCAGAATCAGATTCTGCAATCAGAACATCATAATTCCACATTTTTCTAATATATGTGTCCATTAATTACGTAATAAAATAGGAAAGTGGGAAGAAAACACTTTAATGGAAGGTGACAGATCCCTAATTGCATTAGGAGGCTACAGGGGAACATGGATACCATCTGGTGAGCACTCTTCGTACTTCATTATGATCGCGCCTTGACTACACTACCCTGGTAACATAACTTCCATAAGAAGATGCAAGACGTCTCCGCGATGACCGTAGGATAATTGGAAATAGTTTATGTATTTGTTTCCGAATACAAGAAAAAAATTATTTATTCAAATACTTGATAATAGACGGCATGCAACTCAATAGTTGAGGAGTCTCATTTTTTCCACATTGAAACCATGTTGCGGTAGGTTGATAGTACTCCGAAAACCTATTGGAGAGGTCCAACTCTTTATCATTTTAAGAGGGGTTAACAATTATGCCACATCTAATAAATATAATCCAAATAGTCCTCAATTGGAATTCACAATGTGATGCGACGACATTGTATCAACATTGAAACAATATTCACCTTCAACCCTCAACATTCGCACACTCAATCCACATCCAATCCATGTTGATTCAATGTTCTGTGTTACCTGGGGTGGTGTCTGCACGTCCGGCCAGCATTTGCTCGTGAGTACTCGCCAAAAGTACAGTATTTTAAAGGTTTCTCTTTGAGTTGCGTTCGTCTCTCTGTTTACGAATGGCGACGATAATAGGTACAGATTGTCGCCAGAGAGAGTGCCGACGTGACCATCTCCAAATGGTCTCCGAGGATTCTTTTGTGATTTCCAATAAACTGGAAGAAAAGAGACATGGCTGCCTTCTCTTTCTCTGCTGCCAGTAGCTTTATTTTCGAAACTGATTTTTGGCTTTACCTAAAAGTGACGTCGTCTGCGAATCAGAACGCCTGCAATGCGATTTCAGGACTGTCAAGAGCATGGGTCGGACTATTAACCACTTAACTGGCGAATTTCCCGCGGCGGTTGCAGGCTGGGTGGATAGTTTTTTCTGTGTGGAAGTCGTTAAGTGCAATGGAATTAAATTTCTCTGTATTGATTTATCCCATAACCTTGAAACTTTGCTTGATTTTCTGCACCTCTTTAGGAGTTTTAAAACCATGTCTTATCAATAAAGTCCTTCTAGGTGACCGTTTTGGACGATTAGTATGATTCCATAGACGCTATTGAAATTATGATGTTTGGCAAGTTTTTTCAGTGAATATTCATCCCACAACCTTGAAACTCTAATGGATTGTAGAGAACATGCACAAGAAGTGTACACTCTTTCCATACCAAGGCGAGTACATTCGTCAAATCCGCCAAATTTGAGGGGCTGAAATCCCATGACGAGTATACTGGTCATTCGCGCCACGCGAGAGAATGGCCGTTTAATAAGAAACCAATTCGTTCTGGGACTTGGTCCAGAAAAGTACACTCGAAAACAGTTCCTGTTTAGAAAGGACTCTTGCATAGTCTCTTGACATGAATTTCAGAAAAAGGCAGAAATCACTGCAACCCTTGATAGTGTTTATTCTGGTGACATTACATGTGCAAGACTTGATGGGCATGATACAGGCGTTCTCCACAGATGATGAGGAAAGAACATAAACATCCAGTTGACACTATCAGGAAAGCTGACGATACCTGGAAGAGAGAAGAGTCACCAGCTGTTCACACAAAGTATAGGCAACTACCTCTGATTTCCTTGGCGATATGAAAAGATTGGTTTCTTCCTGCTTCCTTTGTTGTTTCCTGAACCAAGAGGGAACTCACTTCGAGGAGTCCAATTTGACGGTAATCCGTGTTGTCTTGAAAGCATTTGCTTTGAGGCCACCACTTCATCCTCAACTTGCTGAGAATCCCTCCTTCTTTCATACTTCTCAGGCTACAAACATGAAAAATCATCCTCAGCAAGAGCTAGGTACATCACGTCCCTATGTCAAAACAAAATGTAATCGACTTTCAGCTATTTTTATCCATCTTCTTCCTAGACTTCACGTTTATCAGGAGAACTACTCGTTTCCAAGCCGTTAGAGCTTTAACACTAGAGATAGGACGGGCAATATACGGAGGGTGTGACCATGACTTCGTCTTGTGAAGTAAAACCCATGATGCAAAAAAGTTCCTCCGGCTTGTGCAAATCACAATCATGCACACCTAAAGCCTGAAGATATTCGATAATCTCTTTATGATAATCATTTTAAATGCCTTTTTTTTAACAGAATGTTACGTGAGGTATACGATTTCATACGTATTCGACTTAAAGCATCATTATAAAACTCACGAAGTCGATATGGCGTAGGTGTACTCAGAGTCCTTCTGCAAGATGATCCCATTGCTCATTTTCATGTAGTTTTGCTTCAGGATCGTCAGGTCGCATCTCTCCATCGTCAGATATGAAGCCACTGTTGACGAATCGACAAAGCTGTTCGAGAAAAGTAGGCATTAGCGAGTATGAGCATGGGATGGAAGAAACAGACGTGAGACGTCGGTGATGAAGGCGAAACCCCCCTTGGCGACCATACTTGTAGCTTTTTCCCGGGGAACAGCTCGAACGTCTTCCTTGAATGTCTCCCAACGATCGTATGTCCTTTTGTGCAAAGGTAGTTCGGATTGCTACGAAACAGATTCACCAGAAGCGGTTGCTGGAGGAGGAGAAACTCATTGGAAAAATGAAAATAAACACTAAGATATTTGTTTACCTTGAAGGCCTGAACATATACACTTCCAGGCGTGAATCCAAACTTATAGTCGGAATCCAGGAGTTCTTCGAGGCTGTTGAAGGGAGGACGGACAAAAGCGACGGCGAAATGCGACGCCAACGTCGCTCCATACGACGCATACAGAATCACTGCCGAAACCCAAAAGACCCCGAACAAGACTCGGTTGCTGAGTTGGTGTGGAACTCTTGGGTGTCCTATACATTTTGATAACGCGAAATCAATTCCACCCTTCGTTCTCTCGTTGGATTTCCTGCTAATGTGATTTATTTTGTATACCTTGCTGCGCGTAGGCACCAAATGTGAACCACAGAGCGTTCTCGAATCGAAAAGGATGAGGTTCGTCTCTCGTATTTGAAGAGGACAGAGATGAAGATGGGACGAAAAGGCTGACTAGAGCCAGGGCCATGGCAAAAAGGAGAATGTTTCCGAAAATGGCTAGCCAGACTTCCTTTGCGAAAGGTCGCATGAAGAGCAACATCTTTTCTTTCGGGTCTTCCTCCGTCGTTCGCAGCATGATCCCTACGCAGTCGAGAGACGGTTTCGTATCCCCTCGAACACTTGCAAATCGTATCGACTAATGGCCTGTATGAATACCTGCGTATTCGTAAGAGATGTCGACGGAGGGAAAATCGACGACGGAGGCTCTCTCTTTTGACTGTCCCAAATTGGCCAGACCGATATGAGCTTCCCCTCTCATGACTTCGCCGACGATCCCATTCCAGGAGCCGGAAGGTTCCACTGCTCCGTATTTCCCATCTTTCACCACCGTCAGAGTGAACCTGCATCATCATCGACACTCGAAGATCCTGTACGAATCAAACCGAAAGCCTTCGAAAAGCAAAAGATGGAAAAGCACCCACGTGAAATTCAAGTTTTCTGCTAAGGTATTGAGAACATCGATGAGGTAACCCTCGTAACGATTCTCCACCGTGTCGTTCCAGACATAAATAAAAGGTGGTGCCTGCAGAAAACGACAAAAAATTGTCATTTCTGCATCGTGATGAAATGGAGACCAATGAGTGCCCATCTGTTCGTCGCTCCTCGAAAAGGAATGAAAATGTACTTCTGAAAGTCTGAAGGAGACATACATTGATGGTAACCACGCGAAGACGAGCTCCTTGGAAATTCAACGCAATACGTGATTTCTTGTCCTGAAGATCCAACTTTCCATTGGTCCATCGGCCGATTTCCTGCAGTCGCTGATTTGCATTTACTTGATAGAATAAAACCCCATCGCTGCGATAGTCCCGATTTTGAACGATCGCCAATGCCCTTCCTGAAAGTGGCTCCGTTTGCTTCTGGAAATGACCGCAATTCTTCTCATTTCAGATTCATATTCTGATTGTTGGTTGCTTTCATCAAATGTAAATAGTCTTATCACCAAAAAAGCTCCACCAAGACGGAGTGATTTTTATTAAATTTGGTGCACAAGTTCGTAGCAATGTGATATCTAAGCGTTCAGAGTTTCAAGGGTGTAGGATGATTATTCACGGAAAAACTTTTCGAACACTCCAATTTAAATATGGGGTCGTGTTAATCGCTCAAAACGGTCAGCTAGGAGAATTTTATTGATGAAACATGTAACGGGAACTCTTAAAGTCGAGTTGGAACATCGAGCAAAGTTTCAAGGTCACAGGATGAGGCAAAGCAGAGAAAACTTGCCGAACGCCCGAGGAATGAAGGACGAGGGCGACGCCATCGCAATTCCACGTTTCATCAATAAAATCCTTTTGGGTGGTTGTTTTTGGTTATTAGTGAGACCCCCTCGCCCCGCTTTTAAATTGCAGTGTTTGGCAAGATTTATTCGTGAATCTCCATCTTATTCCCTTGAGAATCTTATCGACTCGATGGCACATTGCTGGGAGATTTTGCACCGAATTTCATCTAGATCGCTCAACTCGTTCTAGATGGTGCTTTTTTTTGCCGATGAACGTACTTCGAGGTCGGAAATGAGAACGATATCGCTGTCCGCTCGGAAGTGCTCAAAGAAACTCGAAGCTTCATCTTCCAAGAGTCTCCTGGGTATGAGGAAACTCCAATGCCTGCGATGACGAAATCTCCCCCATTCTCCTACCTGCGATATGTACAAGATCTTCAGCATGACCCTCAGCATATTCTTTCTCTCGAGAGTAACGGCTGGTGGAAACGAAGGCTTTACATTCATCATGTGAAAGAATCCTTCCAAGGAGGTTTCGTTCATGGAGACGGCCAGCAGAACGTTCTCTTCCTTTTCCATTTTTTCCCAAGGAAACTGAGAAGAATCCGTTAGTGGAAAATAGGTGAATCCAAGGTCTTCAGACTGCATGAGCTCGGGGAGAAGTGAACCTTTCCACAAGACCTCGTTCTCTTCATCGGTGAAAAGGAAAACGTGACGGAGACCCTTGTGTGTTGCCCAGGCTCTCAATGCGTTGAGCAGGGTGCTCGGATCCGAGAAAGGTGTCGGGTGCTCCAGGTGGCACCACGGTGTGTCGATGGGGACTGGGTATACCTTCATGGTGCGGAGAGCGGAGAAACTATCCTCTGCTTTTTGAAGGCTTCTGCATTTCCACGCTGCTATGGCTTCCTCGTATGAGCCCTCCAAATGATTCAACATAGATTCTGACGGATGAGACCAGAGGGATTATGCTTTTTTCTTCATGGACATCGGATGATGAGCGTCAATGACGATCGAAGTGTCTCACCCATCATCTCGGCGTTCCAGAGGCATGGAAGAAAGATGAAATCCACCTCCGTGTTGTTATTCTCTGCGCTTGGTAATTTACGATCCCCGTCGCAATCCTCGTAAATAAGCGCTGTCGATACATTGTTAGAACGATCAATAGCCCATGCACAAATACATTATGTGGACGAAAGCGAAAGTCCATCCATGCATGAAACATTTCTGCGACGCACACGGCGTTGCGTCTCACATTAACCTGAGGTCAGATGATGACCTGATTTGGATGATAACCTGTACCCTTCAGCCTGCCGATATCTGCAAGCAGCATACCACATGGTTCCAGAGGGCGTACAGGTTCCCACATTCCCTCATTTGCATGGCGGACATTCATATTTATTCACACGATGTGTGAAATCCTCATTTTCACTATAATAGCCCTGAGAATGATCTGATCATAATATAATTCTTTTTGCACATCGAATCCAATAGGTGACAGGAAACATTCCAAAAGCTTGTATTAAAAATGCCTCTTGTCAGTATTGCGAATTTATTGAGGGCAGAGAGAGGCAATACGAGGCGACATAGGGAGGGAAACCCCTTGATGGCTCTCCATTCTCATAACGATGTTTTTGAATTTGTGACTTAGTGTCAAGACCAACTCAAATGATGATCATGACATGAAGAAAAAGTGAAGCCCGCGAGATCGCCGCTCAGGGGTGGCGCAATCTGGTGCTGAATTCCGAACGCATACAGGATCATTAACCAAGGGGTAGTACCTATGCCTGACTGCTAATCAACTTCAGCATTTGTGGAAAATTGAATTAATACCATTCCCCATTATTCCGTGACTTCTGAGTTGCCCTTTCTGTGCTTTAGAGACCTTTAAAATCCTGAGAGAATTAACCAACTGATGGTTACCACATTCACAGGCGATTTTCAGCCGCCAAAATCTTGCTTCCTTCCTTTTGGACGTCTGATCTCAAACGAATCTTACTGTTAGTACGGTTTTGGCCAAAGCGAGACTTGTCCGTTGGCACCTCATTTGTCGAAATCAGCCTAGTAGTTTACGCTACAGGACAGCTTGAGGATTTTGACAGTTCTGTATAGATTTTTCAGCAGTTTTAGTACTTGTTTAGTCTTACGTTCTCCGAATTCCAATGCCTTTGCCTGAGTCAATTCCATATATGCTTCATGAGATGGCCCCTCTTTGATGAAATTGCTCATTTGTTCACATCGTTGCGATACTTCACTCGATGCACTGCTCCGTACTATCGAACTGAAGAGTTTCTTACCTCAGACCCAGAAGAGATGCTATCATTCCTTGAAAGGAAGTCCATCGGCACTTGTCGAAATCTACCAAGCAGTTTTTGCTCTTGGGTGTTTGCATGTTTCAGATAATATTCTTTCACCACTATCAGCATTGGTTCATTGCCTGAGACTCCCAATGGACTCTCAGTCGACCTTCAGCATGTATTCCAGTTGTTGCAATACGATAGGCAATTTTTGTTCTAGGTTAATATGTAAGATGAGGACATCAAGCTCTTTCGGTACGGGATCATTGCTGCAGAAGACACACAGCCTTCCTAGAGGTAAATCTTTTGGTGCCTCTTTCATCGAGATCAGACCCGTGACTTCCTCAATGTGGATTTTTTGGGGGACAATAAGAACTTTTCAATACTATTCGTACTTGTTGCCCTCATGGGGCACACTCGTGCATCAGTACCTTATATGTTGAAATAAAAACCCATCGATGTACTATTGTACTAGCAGGTCTCCTGAAAGCAACGAACGCGACTTGGTCTTAGAAAACTTGGCGGGTGGGAGAGTCATGGGAAATCGTCCTGGAATGGGCCATTCTGCGCTTCAATTCTTATTAAGAGGCACATTTGTGCCTTCTAATGAACGAATTGCCTCACCTATACTTCCAGAAGGAGCAATTGAGAACGACGATGAGACGTAGAAGCAAAGGCAAGAGATGAGACGCAGGTGCTTCATCGCGACAGATGTGAATGAACGGCAAGAAGGAAATTGTCCGAAGAATGGCTGTCTAGATAAGGTCTCTCCCGGCAGAGAGGCAAATTGGTTTGCAAAACTCAAATTACCTTCGTTCCAGGGGTGCCAGTACAGTATTTTTGTATGCATTATAAACCGTGTAAACATCGATGCCCCTCTGATATTCCAAGATGATTGGGAAGAGAGGTAGATTCTTAATAAGACTTTCCCCGTTCGTCGCCATTGACTAGGGAGCAACTGCAGAGATCCAGATTGTGATACGATAAACAATTAGGGAGACCCTCGTCCTATAGTGAATAGAATCTAACTGGTGATGACACAGAAGGAAAAGATGGAACATATCTTCTTTTGAGAATATGCTGTGTAATTCTGTTCAAAAGGAAAATTGGTACATCTAAAAAAGGAACACGAAAACACATCCCATGCTGTCTTCCTTAGAGATCCACGAAAGTGGGCTTCTGAAATCTGTAAGACGTGAATCAAGATGGTTCAAGAAAATGGGGAATGCTCCTACTGAATCTTGATATGCCAAGCATAAAAAAGGATAAACAACATGTTTATACTCCAATAAGTTAAAAAATTTCCCGGTAAGTTCATCATAACAATAGTCGAAGGCCTAACAACGAATCCATCGCACTAGCTTCTGTCACATTGATAGATTATAAATAAATCTCAAAAGTGTATGGAGAACTCCGCAAAGAAAAAACTAATGCCTTTATTGACTTCCTGGAGACAGCTTCTCCATTCGGAAAGATCCAACATTTAATTGCCAAATTCTTGTTCTTAGAATTATTTTCAGAGGCCACCAATAGACGCGCCATATCGATTCGCGTAAATTCACCAAGGAACCCTATCTCACTTTGGTATGCGATTTCTAGCACAAAAAGCATCTCTCGCGGTACGACTTATTATGCCAAAAGCATCTCTCATCAGCAATTGCTATGCAATTGAATTTGTGTTGGTGTGCAGGTGCATTAATTATTCGAGCTTATATCACGATAATGCCTGACTTTGCTCTTAATAGAGCTCTAAATGTGACAGACGAAGAAAACTGATGGGAAATGATGCACGGACATAAATTATTCCATACAACCATACTATTATGACACAGAGGTATGCTTATGAGGAATGGTAGGAAAGATGCATCCCAGAATGAAGAGGACCAAGGAACATGCTATTCCTCCCGTCAGAACCAAAAGGGCTCCACTCACCTTTCAAAGGGAAAGAAAAGACCAATTTTGTGCTGCTCTTCGCCTATTGGGAATCTAATGGAGAAAGATATGAGAAAGGTCCTCACTTCTAAGATTCCCAGTTGTTGGAATTCTGTGCTGGACTGGTCTCTCTGACGATGATTTTGTGGCCACCATCGTTGTTTCAGCTTTTCTAGGATTCCTCCTTCTTTCATCTTCCTCAACCTCGGACAAAAGAATAAGTTTATCATCCTTAGGTGATCCTTAGATATTGTCGAAAGTCGATAATTTGCCACTATCGAGTCTCACTGGGCGGAGATGGCAGAGGCGTATTCGGAGTTCTTCTGAAGGACGATCCCGTTGTTCATCTGCATGGAAAATATCTTGATGAGCATCAAGTCGGATCTGGACATCATCATATGCTCCAAATCTGTACATGTAAATCGTATTGGATCAAAGGAGGTTAACAAAGGTCAAAGAGCCGAGGAGGGAAGGAAGGTACAGACTGGAGAGGTCACCGATGAAAGCATATCCTCCAGCAGCCACTCGATCGGGTGCGGCTTCGTATTGAACATTCTGATCACCTTCAAGAAATTTCTGCCATCGCCGGTAAACCTCCTGATGCGTTGGATCCTTGGAATACTGCGTATCATGAGGAATGTAGAGTGGAGTCAACATTCTCTGCCAAAAATATTCGCAACCAAGACACTGCGTATCCAGTAACGGCGTACTACAAGTCGCCATAGTCCAAGCCCGATGCAACAGTAAAGAGGCATTGTGGACGCACACCTAATTCATGTCTGTCACAGGCGAAACATGCGGATAAAAAAAATTCAATGACGGAAGAAAGAGAGGTCAGCCCGAGTTCCTCTTCAAGTCTGTTCGTTAGCAGTGGGGAACCTAGTGCATGTATCGTAAAATGGGGTAACATTGACGTGTTTTGCATTATTTCCCTATATTGGGGTCAAGTCATCTGCGCTTGAAAATTATCTTGGAAAATTTCCCATATATAGGCTATTCATGGACATCTTCCAGCTGAAGATGACCCTGTTGAAAAGAACCCAGCAACAGCGATTGCGTGCAAAGAAATACCTTTCGCTATGTAATTTTAGATGGTTTGTAATTCGTTTTTATTATGAATGTTTAGCGAAGAATGTTAACAAAAGAATTGGCGGAAAATGACCCCAGTTCCAGCACATTGAAATTCTCTTTCGTTAATGAAGACTACATTGCTTTCAGAAATGCACGATTTCGGAAAGGAAATGTCATTTTCAGCTCAATTTTGCTTCCTTCTTTCACCAAATCTTATTTCCTCCTTCCTTCCTCTCTCTTTTTTCATTATTGGTGGTTAGTAAGGCGTTGCGGTATATCAGTATTTTCATCATACCGCGATATTCGGTTCTCGTGATAACCATACGAACCCCCTTCTCCGTTTTCCAGTATTATCGTCATTGAGTGAAAACCGTGGAATTTACCGCCCGTGTCCATATCGCTACCAGGACATGGAAACCGTAGGACACCGCCTATTTTCACACCGCCGCCATTCGCCATATCGAGACCGATTTCTAAAAAATAATTACTTTGTTAATTCTTCTTATCTCCATCTACGGTGACGCTCACCACCTGGGGAAAACCGAAGCCTTCCTCTAAGTCACGGGAGAGCATTTAATCCGGATCCTTCACTTGTGGGTTCGACTTGCACATTGACCGTGCCCTTGGTTCATGCGTGCTGGTGGGCCTGAACACTCGAAACCTTCATTTTATGTGCGATTTTGCGATATTGCAGACACAGACATCGTCGCCAAACCCAAAGCGACGAACTG